CACTATATACTAGGTTTAATGTGTTCAATAGGTATTATTAAATTTGGCATTATTACCAAAACATATGACAGTGTAAATATGTTTGTATATCCTAAGAGCATATATATATATATGTATATGTATATTTGTTTTTAAGGAATTTTAGCCGACATTTAAGCTAGTTTTGGAGATATGTAAAAACCTAAAATTATTTTCTTACTAATTAAAACGTTTGTAGTGGCTAAAGATGGTTAGAAGTTACGAAAAAACAATTGAATCTTAGTCTCTCAACAAACATGTTGATTTCTTCAACTACTTGCTACTAGACTACTACCATCATAAATTGGTTCATATACTATTTATTTAGGAAAATTATTTTCATCATTTGGAGATTGGAGAGGTAAATGTACAAATGACAGATTAAGAAAGCAAAACAACTGGATAATGGTACACAATTAGTCGAGAAGATACTTCTTTTTAAGCCCTACATTCAAATGTAAAAGTTGTCTTAATTAAATATGCTTTGTTTTGTCGAATTGTCTGATAATGTATTTTTTATATAAAATTATTTCTGTTTTAATTCATAAATATCAGTAAATAAAAAGATGATAGGTAGTCACAACGGTGATGGTGATCGATCGAATTTTTTTGGAAACGAGTGGTTCAAAAGTTAATTTTGTTTTGTCAACAGATGCAATATGGAGGGGGTTAAGCCAAAAAACCAACAAATAAATGTATAAGTTATGTATCATCATGATCATTTTAGGAAAAAATGGTAAGCCAAAACATTTATATTTAACCATTCCAACTAATGTAAAACATATCTCAATGTTTCAGTGGATCATATTAGAGTTACGTTGTAATTGATATGTAAACAATAAACAAGAAGATAAATGTCAAGCCAGAAAGTTTTTCCAGAAGAAACTAACTAAAGGAATTTTGTCGATCGTACTTTCTAATAAAATTTGATATCTTTTGACTAAAATATTAAATTGATTTTTATATACACTTTTATCTACTGCAGAAGGCTATGCTCTTGATTTTGGGTATTAGGCCGCTCCCCTATCATCATTAGTTTGTCTTTTATTTTTCCGAACCCATTTGTTAGGCAAAGTTAACAAAAAAACAATAAAGGCAATACTGAAAAGGAAAAAAACGTAACTAAAGTCTAAAATCTAAATATTCACAAAACAAAACTTAATCAACTCTTTTCTTTATATTGTAGTACGTAATAACTATTTACAAAACAAAACTAAACTAACTATCATGTGCTACCAATTTTGTACCATGAAAAGACAAGAAGGTAAATCGGAAAATTCCTAATTATCTGTCCCACGTGTGCAAAGAAAAGAATTGATCATTCTTAAACACTGAAATAAAATATGAAAAGATGATTTGTAGACGTTGAATTGCTTGGGATTCCTACAAGGCTACAACCGTGTGGGCACCTCACTTTAGAAACTTGAACCCGACTTTTCTAAAACCCTAACCTTTTTTTCTTTCTTTCTTTCGTTTATTTTTCTAATCTTTTACTTATTTGGCTTTTTAAATACTCTTTCATGCACGCTCTCTCTATGCCCACAAGCATCTAGGAATCCGATGCCTATCTTAATCTTAGCCTTGCTTAAAGATTTCAGTTGATTGGGCCTAAATCACTATAATTTTAGATCCAATTGTATATCTAGCTATGATTAATTAAGTGACTAAGTGAGGAAGTGTATTATATGTAGAGATACAAAGAAATTAGTAAAAGTTTTTTGGACCAAAGTTCAGAAAAAATCTAAGATCTATAACTGTCATGTAAAATTTGCAGTGATCAATACAAAACATGTCTAGTGAAGATTAATAAATGACAAAAGACCGCTGATATACGTACCATCGTTTAATTTCGTGAAAGATGTTTTGTTGTTAACCATCATAAGGGATTAAGGTTTTTCAATAACTTATGCATTAATGTGTATATTGAAAATTGTTATTAAAATTAGAAAGAAAATCTAGTATTAATCTTAAATTTTTAAATATACAAAACTTATTAATAAAAAAACAGTATATACGAGATAAGTGCAAAGATTAAGGTTGGTTGTCAGTTTGACCATTTGACCAAACATTTTTCGCTGTTTTTAAAAACACTATGTGCATTTAGCCAAAGAGTTGAAGTTACTATGATCTCCTAGACTCCTACCATCAAATCTGAAGACATGAAGTTACCTTATAAATCACTTTTTTTTTGCTATGAGATTCAATATTACATTTACTTATCACATATAAGTGCATTTTCAAAATTTTTATTACGAGAAGATTTTGAACTGAGTGAGTGTAATCCACTCCCCAAATTTCTAATAAACATAAACACAAAATGAAAACGAAAATAACTAGAATCAAATTTAGAAAGAGTAAGTTTATACATTATTCAGAAATATTTTACTATGAAACTACCTTCACACATGGATAAATATATATATATATATATATACGTCATACATGATACATGTATGTATAAATATAGGATATAAAAAATTCTACACAATGTAAATATCCATGTAAAATCTCACAATCACATTTACGTATCAGTATTATTATTTATTCACATATACAAGCATCCAATCGACGTACGAATACGTACATGACCGCATGCGCATGGATATATGTAAATACGTTTTTCATGAATGTATTATCTTTGTATGAATAAGATATACTATCTCCATTTCATAATAGTTGATTATGTATATATACGTACGTTCGTACAAAACGACATGCATGTGGCTTCAAGCTTTAAACGATGATAATTTATTCTGCAACTAGTTCGTCTTTATCGAAAATTGAGAGACCCCTCTCTCTCTCTCTCATTATAGTGACAGTTTGTTAAATCATCCTCCATCAGTTTTTATTCTTTGCCAAGATTCCACCGCCAATATTCTCTATATATACATACATATACTGTATATACTCCTAACTAATTAATTATATATGTAAGTACACATAGGTGATTTTTAGCACAAAAAGTACAAATATGTGTTTTTTTTTTTGTCTAAATGTTAGTGCAAATATGTGTTATTGGTGTCTAATATATATTATATATATATATATATATATTTAAAAAATAGCTAGTGTCTGGCAAATGTATTCCACCAATGTTTACGTCATACGTGACTACGTGAGTGAAGAAGGAGTAAGTTGATGTAATTGTATATATATGTATAGATAATAACTATATAATATTTAAAAAGAAAAGAATAATAGTCAATGGAAATGGAGAAGACTGCCTCAGATTTGGCGAGAATGTGTCAGACATCAAAGCAAAGGCTCAACCAAACTCTATTTTTATATACTATGCTTCTTCTACTCATTTAACTATTTATCCCCTAGTGATTCTAGGGAATTCTATTCCTAATACAGATTAATTTGAAATCCGTTGGAGGTTGGTTAACTTCATCTTGATATCTGGGTCATACTTAAGAAAATGGTCAACATGGCATATTAATATAAAGGCCTAGACTATATAGCTTATAGTAAGAATGACAGAGCAATCTGTTTAGTTGGTGCATCGATGGACATTTTCGTTTCGTCGGATAAGATTGTTCAGATCAATTTCTTAAGAATTTTGGATTGTGGTTTCATGTGGATAACGTTTAATCCAATTAGTTTTAATCATTTTCATTTGTTCTTAATTACGTTAAATTTTTTGTCGGTGTTCTCACATTATTTAATAACAAAATTGGGGAATATACACAATAGTTATATATATAATGTGAGGTCGTACTCATTTAATATGCAGGGGGCGTGACCCCAAAGCTTGAAGGTGTGTTGGAGTAGGACCAAACAGTATCATAATTTAATAATTATAATATAGTTTTCTTAAATTATACTAATATATTTTTAATGTTTTATCTACATTTGGCTGTCACATTATTGTCTGATTATAATCATATACGACAAGATCATTACCTGCAGACTCACAAACACATGTTTCATATATATTGTATGACAAAAAGAGAAATTTTAAAATCATTAGAAATAGCAAAAAAAAAATCTATTCAAAAATCAATGTTTGCGAAACAAAATAAAAAGAAAGCTGTAGTAATAAATATGAGATATGTCTTATCTTTTCATTGCCTAATGGGCTTAAAAAACTTAATCGTTAATGGACTAGATATAGCCCACCGATTTTCCGTTTTCTTTTTTGGCAAGATCCAAACATATATACCTAATGAAACACTGTTATATATATTTTTCTTTTCTACTCCCTTCATTTCATAATAAGTTTCAGATACATTTCACACAAATTAAAAAATTAAGAAAATAAATAAATATATCCCTAATTAATATATTTTTATAATATTTAATTACAAATACTATTATCTTTAAATGAGGAATAACACATGAAATAAGAGTAAAAAGTTAAATTGAAAATGCAGAATGACGTTCTTTTTGAAACAAAAAATAAAATCTAAAACGACACTTATTATGAAACGGAAGGAGTAGTATGTTTTCTTATTTGTATAAGCTTAAACAAGAGCCTGCAATCTACCTGAAATTAATTATCAAATTTACACAGTGTTCATCGCTACCATTTTGATAATTCATATATGAACTCGATGACGGTACGTATCTATAAATTGTATTTTTCAACTATTTTAGGTATTTAATTACACTGTTGACTCGCCGTAAAAAGAAAAATTATACTCTTGACAAAAAATTACAGACTCGATTTTAAGCTGTGCAAACTATGAAAATCATAGGGTCAAAATTTATTGATCGTAAATTTTTTTTCTGTAAACTGAATAAAAAATAATGAAAAAAAAAACTAGAAAATTAATGGATTTTGCTTGAAGAGGAAGAAATAAATGCTGACATGTGGGAATTTGTTTTTACTTTTTACACAATTAAAGCTCATTTCTTCTTGATATCCGTCGGAGTATCTTTTTTTTTCTTTTAGTTTCTATCATCTTTCAATAATTTTACTATAAATCTATAAAATAGGTTTAATCAAATATACATAACAGGATCTCCAAAGTCCAAACTATTAAACCAACTATATATATGGTTCTTTGCAGATACAACACCGGATGACCGGACATTTGTCGGAAGATACAAGAAAACATTACAAGTTTGGCAACTTAAATAAGTAAGGTGCAAACTTTATTGAATACTTAATATTTTCTTAAGAACATAGCAAAGTGATGATCATACTATCGAAATTTCGATTTACGTGATCGATCAAAGGTCAAACAGCAGTGACTGCGATTTTCATGGCGGATTCGCAATGGCCTGGAAAATTGCAGATGAAGAAGTTTTGTCCTTTAGACAAAGTTATACGATCTTTGCCTGTTGTGTAAACTTTCGCACCTGCCGGCGTTTTGCAATTGTTGTACCCTCCACTATCTACCACGACCACGTTGTGGATGCTCGGATTATAGTTAAACACTGCAAACAAATTCATGAAATTGTAATTTTCTTAAAAGTTAATTAAGTTTATAGTTTACTCGTTTACGACTCTTCCATATATATTAATCCTCAATAATATATAACGTACTTGGAACTATTAAGAGTTTCGTTACAAAACTAATTACTTGTAACAAAATTTCGTTTGTGCATCTTACCAAGAAAAAAAAGAAAATTTGTTTGTGCATGGGACATTTTGACCAAAAAACTTTACTTGTATAAATGGGTGTGATATGTGAGTTTAAAATATATACATATTGACATCTTAATAATAAGTTAACCACGGCAATGATTAAACATAAAAAACTTATTACTGTTGAGATATTTCTTCACGGGAAAACATTTTGAGTTCATCATTCAAGTTTAAACCAAAAGCAAAAAGTACTTCTATAAACATTTCCAATAGTTGATATCGGATTTGATTTTTAAACTTGGAAAGGTATACATAGTCTGCAAAAGCACACCTTAGACATATCTAGAACCGACCATGATATATAATCAGTGTTGGTATATGAAGAATAAAGAACTTAAAAGAGTTTGTGGTATATATGTGTAACAAGATAACATAATATATTTGAATTTAATCAGTGAAATTAAGGATGAGAAGTATATATACCAAGAACGTCACCGGCTTTAAAATGTTTGCCTCTAGGCCAACCAACAGCGTTAAAGGTCCAGCCGTTGGATTCACCGACTGTGTAAGTCGCAGCTTGAACGTAGTCAGCTTGAAGCAACATCACTGACACAGCCATCAGAGCCACTATGGCTCGAGTCGTCCATGATGCACTGCCTCTTCCCTTAGCCATCGATCGATCTTAATTAGACCAAAGTTAATAGAGAGAGAAAGAGAAAGAGAAAGATTGTAGATAATGAATGAGGAGGAACTGAAGAGAAAATGGACATATGGTTTTATAGGAAGATGAAGAAATTAAGGCATTCAATGTTTTTGTTCTGTTTTGTTTGTTTTGTTTTGTTTCATTAAAGCGGGTGTCTCAACAACCCATGAGATATGGTCATTTATTATTTCTGGAAGCATTGTCTATGTAAATTGATTATCTTCTGTAGACCAAACCAAAATATACTCCTCTGATCCAGAAAATTTGATTTTTCTGGCTTTTCCACATAGATTATGAAATAGTTAATTTTTAGTCATAAATAAATTATTTTCTTTGACTAAACATTTTCCCATAAATATGAGATAACTATAATAACTCATCTAATTCAACTATTTTCGTTTCATACCTCTTAAAATTAATTATTTATTAACATTATTCACTAAAAAATAGATAAAAATCTTAGAACATCAAACTCTCTGAAACAAAAAAATAAAAGCCAGAAAATCAATCTTTCTGGATCAGAGGGAATATAATGTTTGGTTTATTTTTGCTTCCCTATCGTAGATATAGTTTGGACTATAGTACATGTAGGTGAAACTAGTTTGATTTTTTATGTTGTTCTTTCTTTTGAGATGCGTTGTTTCTAGCATCAACTAAAGTAGGAGCTTGTGTACAAGGAATCATTAAGTCGTTGTATTAGTAGTATTTATCTCGATCTTCTTTTTGAGGTGCAAATATTCAATTTTCTAACCAGCTGATGAATTTTCACAAACTTGAACTTAACGTTTGGAACAAAGAGTAAAACTGTGGTATTTCAGGATTGTTCTCTTTTGAGTATTGTTTGATGTAAATTCTTTGAAAAATTATATTTAACAAGCCAATATTATTGCGTTATTTGATTCAGAGGCTGGACTCTTGCTTGAAGTTTTAATTTTGCAGGAAGGGAAATACACTTTAAGTTAAAAGTGTTTCAAAAATAACCAAGATAACCACTACGATAAACATAATTGAACCTTTCAAGTGATAAGAGAGGTACTGTAAATTTCACATTGTTGAGTATACATATAACAAAACTACATGTACAAAACCTACATATACGTTGAGGAGAGCATGGTCAAAAAGAATCGAATGGATCTAAATATGAATTTGAAATCTATACCGACCGAAAAAGCATGAGACTCCTCGGTTTAGTGTTGCCGTATTGGAGTCCCGGTATAAAAGATTTTAGCCGATATGGAAACCGGTGGACTTGAAAGAACTAGATAATGTCGGAAGGGTACGCAGAGCAATAACTCCGGCAGCAAAAGCAGCAACAGACGCCATAACAAACGCCGGTAAGTTTCCTCCTCCGAACAATGCATCCCATGGACCCGCTCCAAGCGATACTATCATCTGTTACATACCAAAAACATGTTCAGACACTAATTACGGGTCTAGACTCGAATTGAGTGCCATTATACGAAAGAATTTGAGTGTAACTAGATTTGAGAGATTGCCTGTGGAACGACGATTGCGAGGTTCAAAACTCCTATAGCCAAACCTACAGCGAGGAAATGAAACCATTTACAATTCCTGAAAATCTAAGATATAAGCACATAAAACCTCTGAATCTTTTCACAGACCTTGACCGCCACCAGAATCCGCAGTGACTTCTGCTGTGACAGAGAAAGGAACACTGTATGTGATCTGCACAAAGAATAAAAAGGATTGTTTTATCACGAATTTCCGAGAAATGCTGCAAGAAGAATAAAGTGAGTTTTCAAGGAAAAACACATACAGCTAGAGGAAAACCAAGTAGTGCAAAGACGACTACAGCTGCAGTTCTTGTTGTTTCGTTTCCATCTATTATGTGTTCGATTCCTTTAGAGTTATCCCTGAGAGACATCAAGCTAATTACAGCTGTTCCTGCCATGCAGGCAAATACAATGAAATTGCTCAGAGCCCATACAACTCGTGCACCCATCCGCTGACACATTGGTTCAATTAAGAATGAGCTGATCCCAAGAACAACCTATGGAAACCAGGAAAACGAAAATTCAATAACGGCCGAGTGGTTGAAGTGCAGAGCAGTTTAGGATCCCTTTTTTTAAGGGAAAAAAAAAACAAATTATGATATTGATTCTTACAGAGTTTAGTAGCAAACCAAATGCACCTTCACGGACACCTTGACCATAGAGTTCCACAAGTAAACTATTTCCCTTGGGATCCCCATGGTAAACTTCTCTTCCCATCCAATCTGTATCAAACAGAAAGAAGGGGAACCACGATAACTGCAAGGAATAATACCAAAGTAATAATATTAAAGAAACGAAATGATTTTATAAGAACAGGAACCAGTTGGTGATAACAGATAGAGATATTATACTGTTTTCTTAGCACTCACCCATGTTAGAGCCATGACGATAAGAACTGAGTGCATAGCAGGAGGCAAATGCCTTAAACTGGTTAGCAAATTCACTAAAACAGATCCAGGGCGGCCATCAATGGAGGCCCCATCTTGATGCTCATTCGTTGACTTGTCGAGCTGTACATCCATATCACGTTCCACTCTCTCATAATTTAACCCATTGGCAGTACCATTATTTGAGAGCTGAAGGCCATTAGACTGGAGATCATCCAGCAAAGGTGCAGAATCTGGTATGCGGGTGGGCTCATTGTTTGTCAGAGGAATCTCTTTAGCAAAATAGATTGTGACTAGAGTGCATATAGTGAGAAAGACCTGAAAAACGGTAACTCTTAGAAAAAATATAGAACAAAAAATTTAGATTGGAAAACAAGAACAAAAGCCACTAGGTGGATTAATATGGATTAAGACTTTCAAAACCACCTCACAAATCAAACATATATACTAACGGAATTTCTTAAGTTGTAACTAATGATACCCAAGATATAAACATGACAGGGTTTGGTACAGACCAGACGATTCGATTACACTTTTAGAAAGCTTAGCAGATGCATGTGTCAGAAAAATAAACATACTGCTTACCACTGCAAGAAGAAACGCCGCTTTAAGATTTCCACATGCAGAACAACATGCTCTACTAGTTAGGAAAGGGAACCATCTGCTCAGTAAAATTGCCCGGATCATTTATCAGCTGACTAAAAATGCAAATGAGAAAATAGAATACAAGTTTTTGGGAACGAGGATCTCGAACATTACTCTTGCCATCGTCCGCTAGCACCAGCAGAAAACCCAAGAATATTCCCAACAGCCATCCACAAGCAGAACACAGCATTTGCAGTGTTCCGCTGATCAGGACCTAAGGAAAGCAAGAGAAATCTAATTAAGAGATTTTCTACAGAATCAGAAGTATCGCAAATTCAATCTAGTTCTAGTTTTCCAATAGAAATTATGATCAGCTAAGTGGATGGAGAAATTCTCTCATTACCTGATAGATCAGCTAGAAGAGCACGAGCAGGTCCCTGAAACAAAAGCAGAAAACATCAATCCTCGATATTTAGGTAATGACTAACAGCATTGAATCTAGTAGATTGGATCTGAACCTGTACTGTGTTGTTTGCTAGATCCAACAACCAAAACCCGATGATAAAGACAAAAGCTGCCCTGGTCCGTGTGCCTTTGAAAGTACTGCATTTACAGATACACATCAAGTCATCAATTACTTAAGTTTAATACATTCCACACAAAACATGGCATAGGCAGGGGAGCAGGAGAGCAACCTGCAATGTTCCTTTGTATCTCCTAACAGATACCCAATGTCTGCAGAAAACCCGATAATAATCACCTAAATTGCAAGCTTTTGTTTAGCTTATATAAAAACGCAACATAGGCCAACTAACTCCTAAAGGAAAATAAAAACAGAAATCATATCTTCTATTGCCCCTTACTGCTATTGAGATCATGAGTGATCCCACGAGAATAAATGGTCGTCTTCTTCCATACTTTGAAGTACAATTATCGCTCCAAATGCCAACACAAGGCTGGACCTGAAAACCAACAAATGTAACAGAAAAATGTATGCTTACATAAGAACATCTCTGATCATATGTAGATCAATTTTAAAACTTAGCGAGAGAAAAATGTGCAGATCATCACTGATATACTTATGATAGAATTCGTATAAACGCTAAAATTATTGAGGAACTAAAATTTGATTGCATTAACCTACCACAAGGCCTGTAATTGGGCCGCATAGCCAAATAAATGAAGAAAAAGCGTGCGATATTCCAAGGGTCTGCACCAATCAGCCAAATGCAACACTGTTAGGTAAACCTCAAAGGGTTCATCAGCAACAACAACAAAAAAAAAAAAGAAACCCAACAAATCTTGCCATCAAACACAAATCCTAGACAAAATCTATCTATTAACAAACCTAGCCACATGAGGCATAAATGACCCGTCGAATATAATTCAGATGACTGAACACAGTTTAATCCTTTGATAAACAATCTAGCCAAATTCGGATGTCAAATAAAGCTGTTTATAATTCCATATGAAAACGTCTCATAGCTATGTTGGGAACATTAACAATTTTCCCCATCCAATTCAAATGTCATATATGAGTCAATAAAATAGGCCAACAACAACCACCTAACAATTAGATTTCATGGTTCTCACCTACAAAGTACTCGACTTCTTCGTACAGGGTACACGAGAATAAAACCCTCGTATCTAAAATTGATAGAGAAAACGCCAAAAGTGACAGAAATGGGCGGTGACGATAGAGAGAGAGAGAAGAGAGAGAGAAGTACCTGAATGTAAGGAGTGAGAAGAGAAAGTTGCAATGCCCATCCAAATTGAACACCAGCAGCGACTGTACAGCTAAGAACCAGCGTGACTAAGCTACAATTCTTCGACACAGTTTCACCATCGGCCGAATCATGATGATTCAAAGGAGAAGACGAAGAAGAAGCGGGTTCCATTTGATGCTTCGTCACCATCTCAAGTTCAACATCCTTCCTCAAATTCCTATACGGCACCGAGATCGACACCGAGTCACTCTTCCCCGTCATAACTCGTCGTCTTCAACACAGACTCCGGTATCTATCTGTCCCGAAACTACAGATCCCTAGTTCGTATCGAATCAATTTCTCATTCCGACTCAGAGAGATTACAATACACTCGAATCAAAAGATCTAGTTATATGGAATACGCCAGGAGATTCGGAGACGACGATCGAGATCTAGCAAGAGTCAAATTCGGGCGGGTGATTTTTTGATGGAATCGATTTGATCGCTTTGGGTGGTTTTTTTTTTTTTTTTCAGAGGACGCGTTAGTGCAAAAGGAGATTCGTTTTTTACAGAGACCGTTGATCTATAGATGGACGGCTGAGATTATATCTACTAGTCTATAAGATTATTATATGTAGCGGTCGTAATTCATAAGTCAACTTCCTCGTCTCGGGATTTGCGTAATCACCACCGTTGATTTGATGTGTATGGATCGAAACCGTTGCTTCAATTTAAAGAAAAAACGGACGAAACTCACCGTCACCGACACCAAACATAAGCGCGCTTTTAAAAAGGAAGACGTTGTCGTTGTGGGCCATTTATAAAATATTTCTCGTAGCTTAAGCCATTTTATAAAATAACAAACTTACAATAAGCCCATTAAAAACCCAATTGAAATTATTGTTTTCCTATCAATTGTTTTTCTTTACAGTCTTAAAGTGTTGCCTTCCAGCCCAACAAAAGAAACCTTTGTTTTTTTTTTGTTAGCACTTAAAAACCATAATACTGTAGTGGTAACAATTAGGGCTCGGCAAAAATATCCGAAATCTAAAATCGGTACAATCAATTTGAAATGTTATATAAATAACACTTACAATAAGCCCATTAAAAACCCAATTGAAATTATTGTTTTCCTATCAATTGTTTTTCTTTACAGTCTTAAAGTGTTGCCTTCAAGCCCAACAAAAGAAACCTTTGTTTTTTTTTTGTTAGCACTTAAAAACCATAATACTGTAGTGGTAACAATTAGGGCTCGGCAAAAATATCCGAAATCTAAAATCGGTACAATCAATTTGAAATGTTTTGTATGATACTTTATAGATTTAAGTTTAATTTTTTTTGTATAATATTTTTTTTTCTTTTTTACTATTTTTTGGCAATTTAAATAAACGTATACGATCATCCGATCCGATCATCTGAATAACAATTTTTTAAATATGGATTTGGAACTGAAAGCTAAAAATAAAGTATATAATAAAATATATGTGAGTATTTTTTGGTCATTTTGTAGCTTTTAGGTGTTGTAAAAAAATTATTACTTATGACAATGAGAAATTCTTTTACCAGTGTTATATATTAAAAGTAATGTAAACATGTTGGTATAACATTATAGGCTTATAGCATATGTGTGTGAACGTGATAGGGATTACGAATAAAAGAAAAATATAAAAGGAGGGAAAGAAAAAGACGTGTGCCGAACAAATGTATGATGTATTGGTAAAAAAATGCAAAGAAGATTATATTATTCTTGCTTGTGGGAAATGAAAGTTATAGGCACAATTAATACTTACGTCTTTCTTTCTCCATCTCTCATTGTCCCTCTCTTCTCCTTTCCTTCTCCACGTGTACATGACCTCTTATGTTGTCCTTTTTTTTTTCCCTTAGTATCAAATGCACTTTTATTAAAAGTTCAAAACAAATCGTTTTCACTCGTGTTACGGTGCTTGATTTTTTTTTTCCACCATTAATTTAAATGATTAGACAGAGACTAATTGCAGATCGGTTTAGTTTAGAAATTATAATATACTTTTTGACAGATTTCCATTACGAGATATCGACTCATTGTCATAGTTTTTTCGGTTTCGAAAACATTAATATATACTTAATTAAGTTATAGAGCCCGACTCTTTGTCGTTATTCTACAAATTATCTTGCCTTTTTTGGTGGAAACATAGATCTCTCAAGCGTGTTTACTTTTTTTTAAATATTCACATTTGTTTGTTCTTAATTACCTCACTTTTTGACTTGATTTGGTCGACTGATTACATTTTAAAAGATGCTTTCCAAGTTTAAGTTGATAAAACCAAATTTATTTCCTCGGTGGAATTAGTTTTAAAAACAAATGACTAATGGAATTATTATTTCTTAATTTGTTTAAAAAACATTAAACTTAGTATATATGAAAATATTTCACACCAAAATTTGGAAAAAATATTAAGCAGTATATAAAGAAATTAGGGTAATTTACTCACTGCCTGCCCGTTGATTTTGAGTGAATTTGTCCAAAAATTATGTACTTCTCAAAGCCATTCTCAAATGTGATATATGCCAATTGCTTATTTAAAATTGGAAAAGACATTAAACAATACATAATTTGAATTAATTTACTTATGGTCAATTGCTTTTGAATTAGAAAGTTTAAAAATCTTAACATAATCGAATGAAAAACTAGAATAAATTCAACTAGTTTCATCTTTATATAGCCGCCAGTCGGTGTTCAAAATTATATTATGTTCTACCCAAAATTTCTCTATGTTTGACAATCCAAACCAGAAGATTCCAAACTATCAACCTCATTTGAATGAATGAAACACTACTACTCTTAAAATAGCCAATAAAATGTTTTAAACAATGATCCAAGAGCGCATGGATGATGCATGTACTGGGACAAAAAATTAACATAATAACTTATAAAAATAGTTTAGTTCTAATCCATAGAAAAATAACGACAACAAACTAAATCTATTAATCTAAAGGTTTTTAGTGAAAAAACTATTCAATTAAGTTTGAATCGGATAGAAACTTTTTAACTATTTTTATAATGTAAAAATCCCTTAAGTAAGTTTTTGTAATGATTTAACCCCTCTGTTAACAGTACTTTCAAATCTTAATGGATTACAGTTAAGTGAAAACATGGTGTTTTATATTCTATAAAAAAACGAAATGACTTCAATAAAAGAAAACCCAAAATCGATTTGAAATTAAAAATCCTCAATTTAAAATTTAGGATTCCTCATTCATTTTGAAAATCTCTTAAATTCTTCTTCTAAGTAAATTTGTTGGAGGAAGAAGAACAAGGTTTTAAACATCAAAGTAAAACAACTGCCTCATCTTCTTCCAAGCTTCATATTTGTGATTCTTTCTCTTCTTTCTCCCAATTAGCGAAAATAGTTCTCTCAATTCAAAAGCTTTCTCTCAAATTCGTTTTAATTAACACAACAAATCATTTCCAATCTCACCCAATTGACTTCCAAACCATTAAAAAACTACTTAGAATCACACTTTCAAAAATTAGGGTTCATCAATTTAGGTTTAAGAATTTGGGAATTTTAGAGATTATGTTTACTTTGGAATTTTTATATCTGGCTTTCAAAAAACTTGTTGTTTATAGTAAAAATCGTGTAGTTTTTGTTAAAAAAAAACGATTTGTTAAAATTTGACGGTGCTGTTCACGGAGGGGCTAAATCATTACGAAAACTTAGTTAAAGAGTTTTTACGTTACAAAAATAGTTGAAAGAGTTTTATCCGATTCAAACTTAGTTAAGGGATTTTTTCACTAAAAACCCTTAATCTAATAAGTAAAGTTGGTATACTTACATGTGTATTGGGTTCAGTCGCAAAATTTGAAATGGAACTCAATTTTTAACTCGGTTACGGATAATTTAAGTTTGTACATTAAGGGTTTATCTAAAAAGAGTTTACAGAAAACCCGAACCTACTTACCCTTATTCGGATATCACGAACGATTACAAATTATCCATCTATGTACGAATTTGAGGATAGGGTTTAACTAGTAATTAAGTTGATTAACTGTTTAAGCGTTAACTAATTACATTTCTCAAAAACTAATAACATTACATAAAGAGCACGTGTTGAATGCGATATTGACCCAAATAAACAGAAAATCATATGTACCGTAACTTGACACGTCATGTCTTTATCGCCGAACGCGTCGAAAGCTGACGCCTGAAAATAATTCCATAGTCGTTTCTCAAATTATCAATTATATAATATAAATTATATGGTAAAAAAGAGAGGTGCGTGATTTAAATAAATATTGTCGTTATTTAAAAGAAAATTGTTTACATAGTGATTGGTTGGCAGTTTTGTCTTTCTATGTCGATAGATGATGGTGTGATTAGTAGAGTTACAAGAATGGGGCTGTCACGGATAACTAATTTTTTAAATAACTAAAAAATATCTTTAAAGTGATAAAAGAAATCACAATTTGATTTGTTTTAAAGTTAATTAAGAATGCAACCATCGAATTAAAAGATCGATGTAGAAATGTGGGAAGAACGTGAAGAAATAAAAAAGAATCACGTCACGTGGAGACAGCTCTTTTACGAACTCTTCTATCCACTCACTTCATTAAATCATTTAAAAAGTGGAAGATTTAAAAGCAACAAGGAAAAAAAACAATATGTTTCCAAAAAAAAAGAAAAAAAACACCTCATTTTCTCCAGAAAAATACATCCTCTTTGCTTTTAGTTCAGTTTGTTTTTTTTTTTCCTGTGGTTGGCTTTGTTCACATACATGAGATTTACAAACAAATGTTCAAGTGTTACATCCTTGACGATCTTAGTGTTAGAAAAAAATAATCTTAGTGTTAAAGTTTTAATTTGATTTGTAAAATTAGTTTTTCTATGTGTACTAACGATCTATTCCAACATTTCTAACAATTTGTAAGTCGTATAGTTATACATTTTCTATGTTCTTTTCGTGCTTTCTGATGGCTGGGGGCAAGCAGCCCTTTATCGTCACTGATCCACTGTTGTGTCTCTGTATCTCGTATGTCTTCTGTGATCCCTTTTCGATTCATGTTGCTGATGTTTTTTTTTTGTAAGAACATTTTTTGGTTGCATAATATTAGTTTTGCATTATGCCTTTTTCAAATTTTCTATATTAATTATACTATTGTAATAGCTAAGATATATATTTTTTTTGTCAATAGTAATTTCAACTGGATGTATCTCCTAGTTTTTACTGCAATATAACAGATTTGAGATTGTAATATAAATGATTCGAAATCTAGAGGACCAGTGTTACTCTATGACTCTAAAAGGATTGAAATAAAGCTAAGATGAAAAAATGATTGATTGTAAATTAAACAGTAAGGAAAATCAAATTAAAAACGATGTAAATTTGATTTAAGAAAAACACTAGACCAAAGCAATTCGCAGGAATTTTACAGATAAGAACCAGATGACTATTCAGGACACAAGTGTAACGCAAATCTCGAACTCAAACATAAAAGCTTATCGATCCACTGTCGTGATCTCAATAACTTTGTCTAACAACCTAAATTCTAAACTGTCGTTTGAACCTAGAAAATCGCAGACAAGCATTAACAAGCAGGTTTGATCTGGTCACGATTTGCCTTAACTTCAACTGTCGTTGGCTAAAGACAAATCGCTCACCAATGTTTATTCTAGCAACCTATTACATTTTTGATGAATAGATTAACCTAAAATCACAGATTGAGTGATCAGTTCAACCTAAGTATTAAGTCTAACAATGGTGAAGACAATAGATATCAAGTCCTATTTGCATCTAATCTTTTAACCCATGAAATCTTTTGAACGCTTTAATCTAGCTAAGAGATCTACTCAGACATGAAGAAAGGAAACACAACAACAGATGAAAAGAAATTCATGAAATAAATCGCAGAAGAGATAATAAGGTTCAAAATTCTTCTCAAGGTGTAGCAGATTTCTTCTCCCAAAAGCTTACAAGTAATAACTCTCTGGTTCAGAAAAAATATAAAAAGAAAGCATAGCAGAAAGTCTGTAAAACGTCGTTCTGTTTTTGAGGCGGCTCTGAACTTTTTTATTCTCTTTCTGATCTCAGAATTAGGTAAAAGTCGATTTCCTTATTTTTTTTCCAGGCGGTTGGAGCATGTGCTCCACGAAAGGGTGAAATCAGGAGCAGGTGCTCCCGACCAAGAATAATCTAACTTCGTGTAAATTGGTCTCTTTTGCTCAGTTTCAGCTCCTTTTTGCACCAAAAGCTCTAGCTACTCCAATCCATCACCTTATATCACTTAGATACCTGAAACAACCTGAAAAAGACTTCAAAGACTCCTAAAAAGATCAGAAAACACTTATCAAATAGCTAAGATATTCTTATAATTTTATTTTCTTAAAATTAATGTTCATCTTTCCTAGTCATGATGATTGATTAATTTCTTATTAATGAGAACCAAAATACGTTAGATACATAATACATTCACATAGTTCTTGTAAGAAGATGACATTTACATTATGTCTTCTACACACTTTAACTTATGTAATGTTCACAACCGTTGATAAGTTGGTGGTATCACGAAAACAAAACAAAATAAACTTCTTCATCTTTTAGCTGATAGCGAATATGTCTTACCAAATAGCAGATACATATTGTGATTTCGATCCTTTTTTCAATATTCTAAATCCCTGTAAACATTATCAAAGTATTAATTTAGACGTCAACAAACATATGTTTTGTTTTAATTGCATGCCATAATTAGTTATGACGAACGAGAATTAGTAAACTAGATAATGAATTGCCATAGTAAATAAATGGTGTAGACTTTAGATGAATAGCTAAAAGATGGATCCAAGTATTTGGATTAGTTTTCATTAAAAAAAAGTATTTGGATTAGTCGTATAAAGTCCCAAACTTCACATGGACATATAAGACTTATCACACAGAATCGACACGTAGTTCTTCATCATTGGATAACGATGGCCTCCATCGATGGGACTTTTCAAAAACATTACATTCCAACCCTTAGTGCAAGTTTGAATCTTTCGGCCCGACCTAATAATTTTACTAATGAGTATGTTTTATTCAATTACAAATTAAACTTATTTTAAGTTTATAACTGATGGAATAATTTTGTTTTAGCCAGAAAGTTTGAACATCCTTTCGGCCAATAGTCTTTCTGGTCCAGAAATCGGCATGCGATAATTCCCAAAAAAAAAAAAAACAGAACGCTTCTCCGAAATAGGATTAGAACGAGACTATACTTAGGTATTATATTATTTGGATGAACCTAGATAGCTCCACTAAATATTTACTTTTTTTATATATTGCTATTTGTTAACCGATACCTCCACTGAGTCACCAAATAGAACAATGATATAATACGATTACCATAACATGGTCATGGTCTCTACTGGAGGTTCCTAACAAAAATTACCATATTATACATGTATTATATCTATATCGCAGGCTTGTTGGCTTGAATTGATGTCACTTACTTGCGACACAAAAAGTTATATATTTACAAATTATGTTATTATACGTACTGGTTCTACTAATTGTTCTTGCCATCTGAATATTTTGGATATACTGACAAAGAAATATATGAGTTTTGGAGTAAAAACTCCTCATTAACCAATTTTTTTTTTTTTTTTAAGTAAGTACTTGGTTTGGTTATAATCACTCACATTTTCTATGTGTTATTGTTTATGAATTAATCAGAATTTACCTATTTGTCCCAGTATAATGTACTTTCATAATACTATAGATGATGTTATCCAAAAATAATACTAGAGGATATCGAGAAGAAAGAGAAAAAGAATATTAAATTTCAATGACGTGGGATTTGTAAACAACTTTTTTCTGCAAGTAATTAATTCCTTTTGAGTTTTGACCACTGAAAATTAACAGCTGAAGTACTCTGAACATCTGCATTCAACGCTGAAAAGTAGATTGTTTCTTTTTCCTGATTTCCTCACTCTGAAAAAGTTTTTTAAAAAAACACATTCCAATTTTCATGTTTTTTTTGGCACTAAATATTATATTTTCCAAACTATACAATCCTCCTCACCAGTAACAAAATATGAAAAAAGCAATTGTTTAGCTATAAAAAAGTAAACTAAACAAAATCTAATTTTGATTGGTATATTGTTGGGTTCTCTAATTTTTTTTTTTTTTAGAAATATCTATTCTCAAGTTGTAAAGTTTCTAGTTTACTCTTAATTTTTTATTTTGGTGAGACAAAGGACTAAAAGATTTTAGTTGAGTTCCGTTTTCCATTTTTTTCTTTGGTCAGTTGAGTTCCGTTTATTAATTTTATTTGACAGCACTAAATTTTGCATAATACAATTAAACCGAAAAAGTTAACAAAAGAGGAATAATCAAGAGAGAGAAAAAAAACCGCAAAAAAAAAACAAGAATTGTTCCTCGCAAAGATTTTAACTTTGAGCCTCTGAGAAACCAAAGCTTCACTCTGATTCGCAGAGCGAATCCAAGAGACGACAGAGAGAGAAACGCGAAGAACAGAAACAGCTCAGATTTTTCCCCTCAAAGCTTTTTAATTGATTATTTTTCTCTCTTTAATCCAATCTCGTAAGTTCTTTCTTCCATTTCCGATTCTCGTTGTGATTATTATAATCATCTGTTAATTATCAACCAAACCCCTCTTGTCTTTTCTTCTAAAAATCCTTTTTTTTTCCTTCATCATGAGCAGAAGGAATCATGAACAGATCGGGATCGAAGATTTCGCTGTTTTAAGTTCCCGGGTTTGATTTTTTCCCCCATTTTTTTGTGAAATTGGAATCTGGAGATCTGGATCTTGAAAGCTGGCAAAATTTTCGTGTGGTGGGGGTTTATCTGTTCTTGATGATTGATTTGATTAGGTTATTGGTCGAATCTACAATCTGAATCCGTTTCTCATCTGAGTTTTGAATGGTTTAGATTCGAAATTCGAAGACTTATCTCGTTATTGATTCGGGTCTCGAGAGAGAGATTATTCTTCTGGATTGATCTGATTTCCCAACACCAAGAATCGTAGTGTTTCGAAGACATGTTGGAAGATCGATCACTAGATTCGTGTTTGATTTCAAGGGTTTTCTCAAGCTCTCGTATCTCTGAATCAAACTGGTCAAAGTCTTACATGTATCCAGAGGATGATGCTTCTGATGAGAATAAGCTCAGCAATGGTAAAAGAGCTCTGGAGGTTGTTGGTGAGATTAGACAGACCAAATCACTTAAACTAATGGGTTTTTCGATTACATACGATAGCGATTCCTCTGACTATTCATTGAGTGGGGAAGAGGCAGCAAATGGCAATGGCTCATCGAGTCAGGAGCAAGAGCAATCTGACTCTAGCAACAACGGTGGTGATTCATCGGACACGCATTCTCTTATCAACGAGATTGGTCGGGACAATTCGATAAACTGTTTGATCCGATGTTCGAGGTCTGATTATGGCTCCATTGCTTCTTTGAACAGAAATTTCCGTTCTTTGGTGAAAAGTGGAGATATTTATAGATTAAGGCGACAAAACGGGTTTGTGGAGCATTGGGTTTACTTCTCATGCCAGCTTTTGGAATGGGTTGCGTTCGATCCTGTGGCGAGAAGGTGGATGCAGTTGCCAACAATGCCTTCGAGTGTTACCTTCATGTGTGCAGATAAGGAGTCTTTAGCCGTTGGCACGGATCTGCTTGTCTTAGGAAAAGACGATTTTTCTTCTCATGTAATATACAGATACAGCCTTCTGACTAATTCTTGGTCTTCTGGTATGAAGATGAACTCTCCCAAGTGTTTGTTTGGATCAGCGAGTCTTGGAGAGATTGCTATATTCGCTGGTGGTTGCGATTCTCAGGGAAAGATTCTTGATTTCGCTGAGATGTACAACTCTGAGCTTCAAACTTGGATAACTCTTCCGAGGATGAACAAACCGAGGAAGATGTGTTCAGGGGTTTTCATGGACGGGAAGTTCTATGTAATTGGTGGAATCGGTGGTGCTGATTCTAAAGTCTTGACCTGTGGAGAAGAATACGATTTAGAGACCAAGAAATGGACTCATATCCCTGACTTGTCGCCTCCAAGAAGCCGTGCTGATCAAGCTGATATGTCACCAGCAGCAGAAGCACCGCCTCTTGTTGCGGTTGTGAATAACCAATTGTACGCAGCTGATCACGCGGATATGGAAGTGAGGAAGTATGACAAGGAGAGGAAGAGATGGTTAACCGTTGGGAGATTGCCTGAGAGAGCTGGCTCGGTTAATGGATGGGGACTTGCGTTTAGAGCTTGTGGGGAGAGGTTAATCGTTATAGGTGGACCAAAGTATTCCGGAGGTGGGTTTATAGAGCTGAATTCTTGGATACCGAGTGAAGGTGGTCCACCACAATGGACATTGCTTGATAGGAAACATTCTCCTAATTTCGTTTACAATTGTGCGGTGATGGGTTGCTGATAAAAAGAAGGCACATTTTATAATACTCTCCATTTGAAGACACTTTCAGATTCTTGTTGATGGGTTTTGAGCTCACAAGTCAAAAAGACTCCATTGAAGGTTCCAAGCTCCAACCTTTATGCTTCTTCTTCTTCTTCTTCCTTATTTGTTTTCCTTACAAAATTTTTCAATTTGAATACAATCATCTCTGTATTGTTAGAGACCAGACAGAAGTCGCAAAAAAAAAGAAGGAAAAAAAACTGAAACAGGTTATAATAAGTTCGTTAAAAGTTGAAGATTTTTAGAGTTTGCCAAATCTGGTTAACATTGTTGTATGTGTTTTAATCTATATTTTTTCTTCTTCTAATAATGTGCGATTGAAAGTTATGTTTATAGCCATCTTTTTGGTCTTTGTTCATAGTTTTGCTTTTAGAATTTTCTACCCCTTTTTTTTATTTGGCTTTAGATTTCTTTTTTTTTTACAGGTGGAATCGTTAGATTCACTTTACAACGTTGGTTTCCAGTGTTTGTCATTTTTATGACGACAAAAAAAAGTGTCACTTTTGTTTTTTTTGTTGGGGTAAGGAGGGGCAAATGTTATGTCTTTATGGATGTGTCTTTTAAGATATCTCAATCTGTTGCTTGCAAGTTACATTTTTGTTAAGAATGTTTTTGGACTCTTCTTCGTTTAGGTCCTTTAGCTTTTAGTCTATTTAGATTTTCATAATTTGGGAGTTTGGGTGTAGAAAACAGAATCCAACTTAAGTTCGTATTTACTAATTAGTACATTGCGAAGAATATTAAAGTGATTTTTTACAGAGTAGTTAAAATTACTTAATTATGGACTAGACATTACAATACAAATCATGTATGAATCTCAAAATTTTGCAGAATATTGGATCCACAGCCATTTTAAGGGTTATCTCTTAATTCTTTGTTTGTTGCGGAGAAAGTTTACAACTTTACAATATAGACATCGTGATTTTGTTGTAGAGCCAAAAATGTATAGCATCGAAATATAAGTGGTAATTTCCTCAATTCGAAATCCTGAAAGTAAAGCCCATTCATATAATTGGGTCCATATAGTAAGGCCCATTTAAAACCTCACAGGGTTTATGGTTTTTCTTCCTTTCTGCTTAGCAAATTTAGTTCAAACGCCATTATCGCTCAGTACAAGAGCTTCCTTCCATTTTCTACTGAGAGGATGAATTCTCTTCATCGTTTAGTGGGATTAATCACAAGAACAACGAACACATATCCAATTTCTTCGAGGGTTTCGCATACACGTTTGAAATTTCCGACGGTTCTCGTCGATTTTATGTCAACAAAATCTCGAAATGATGAAGATAAATGGAACGACGCTTGGGAATCAGCTTGGTTACCGGAAGATCTAACGGATAAGAGCCGAGCGCCGTGGGAGACAGACGTGAACTTCCCTTCGACGGAATCGACGGCGGCGATATCTTCGTCGGAGGAAATCGATGTGGAGGCGAAGGCGTTCGTAGAGGATATGAACGAGCACTGGAGCGAGAGGAGAGGGAAGAGCGGGAAAGAGGAGAAGAAAGAGAGGAAAGAGATCGAAGGAGAATCGCTTTATAGCTTGGAGACGATGAAGAAGGATTATAGATTGAAGAAGCAAAGAGTTCACGCGTCTTTGTGGGTTAAGGAGATCGAGAAATTGGAGGAAGCTAAATTGGGAGATTCAGGAGCCGGTGGTGGAGCTGATGATATCGATAGGCTTCTCGATAGTTGCTCAGAGTAAGCGATTTCTCTTTTGCCCTAATGCTTGAATTCAAAATCACGCCTTTTGCAATTGCAATTTGGGTTTTTTTTGGAATCAATCTTGTGTTATCTTCACTTCACTTACTAGGTCTGTGATTTAGCTAATTCATGAAAGTATACTATGAGGATTGCTCTGAGGATTTCTGGTGTTTTTCTATTTCTTTGGTCTGTGATTTAGGTTTTAGCTAAACCCTTTGAACAAGATTTTGATTTTCTTGTGTACAGTCTCAAACCATATTCATTTTAGTGCATTGGAGAGATTGCTTATGTGGATTTTATTGGTGTGTTAAATATCTTTACGTGCTTGTTTTTGTGTTTCAAGATCAGTGTGCTTCTTTGTGATTTTGATATTTCGATGCTAAAAAACAAACAGGATTTTCGACTCGGTAGATCATGATTTTGACAAACTGGAAGTCTCGAGTGGAACCGAATTGAAAAACAAGCCTGATGGTTGGGAATCAACAGCAAAGGAACAAGATGGAAACCTCTGGGAAATGTCACAAAGAGAAGAAGACATTCTTCTCCAAGAATTTGATCGCCGGATTGCCTTCTGCAAATTCCAGGTACCACCCAAATCTGTTCTCATACCACCACTGTTCATCCATCTGCAACGTTATTCAGTTTGGTGTTAGGGATATGCTAGCTTTGATGATATAAAAGCTCGAGACTTTTAGACACTCACTGTGTTTCTTGAAAATCTTGATTGATGAGCAGATAGCGAGTTTTATAAAGCAACACATATTCAGCAGGAGAAGACCGATTGATGGGTGGAGATATATGATCGAAGTGATTGGTCCAAATGCTAGAAAAGGCAAAGGAAGTGTTTCTAGGCTCCCGGCTTTATCGGATGTGTCGACTCAGCCTTTTAAAGAAGAAACTTCCAGTCTCAGCACCTTCAAGCGTCGGTCGAACATAGATTCGTGAGAGACTTGACGAGTTCATGACAATGTTTCTATATAGTGTGACAAATGTTGTTAGATTGTTTTAAAAGGATATATAGATTCTGACACTTTTAAGATCCTAAGTTTGCAGATATGAATCGGAAGTTGTGAAATCAAGAGTGTTTCTATATAGTGTGACAAATCTTGTTTAATCATCTCAAAAAGAGCAAAAAAAAAACAAAAAAAAATTACAGTGGCCAACTTGTGGTTTTGTATAGATTTCCGTTTTGTTTACAATCTAAAGGAGATGCAAGTCAGATCACTAATATCTAAAGCTCATTCCTTCCAAGTCTGTTAAGTCTCTAACAGGCCAAGAACAGTAAGCGCAAATGTATATAGACCTTTGCTTCGGTTATGCGAAGTTCACAGAATCACAAACCCGTAGCTGCCGTGTCTTTAACCGTAAGCAGCAACTGCTCATCCGATATATCCAGAGTGAATTGGTTCGTAAATTTACCAAGCTTGTGTCTTGGCTCATTGGCAATGGCAATTAGGCCAATCCTTCACAACTAGACTACAAGTAGAAAGAGGAAAAATGAGGTTACAAGTAGACAAAATATATTAGTACTTTGAATAGTTTATGAACATAAAATATGTAGAGAACTATCATTACTTATAATCAATCAAGCAGGAGGTGAAGGAGGTCTTGAATCTGCGCGATGGTGGAAGAGTTTAGTTAGTGCACGACGCTCACAATCCTGAAATGCAACCAAGTTGATCAATCTTCAACGTTGTCTGTTCTAATAACATTGATATGATTTAAATACTAATGAAATGAAACCGACGATCAATCTCTAGTATGTTTATATTTTACCTTGAACATGTTTAGGCGTAATGGTCTATCCGGATTCAGTCTCTGAAGTTTAAGGTATGTGTATGCAAAACTCAATTGATCTCTTGAGGTAAACCGATCAACTTCATTGAACCAAAGGCAGGAGAAGAGGTTTGACATTGGTGTATGAGCCCTAACAATAAAAGAACCTTCAGGTACATCTAAACAACAACAAGACACATCACACACAAAAAAAACATCAGCAAAGATAAAAGAGACAATGTGTATGTGTGAGAGAGAAGTGTGTGATTGATTTGATTTACTCACAACTTGGAAGAGGAGAATTAGGATCTGAAGGGTCAAATTTCTTTAGTCCATCTGATCGATAGAACATAAACTGTTCATCGATGGCCGAGTGGTTGTATTTGTTCAGCCGTTTGTTCTGTAACACCTCATCCCAAACACAATGCCGGTCATAATGGTTAGAGATAGCGAATTCTGATTTTGTTCGCCATAAGAAGAAGTCAATTATCAGCATAGGATCTGTAGTTAGCCTCATCTTACTGTCTATCCAAATCGAGTACCTGAAAGAAAGAAACGAGGATTGGTAAAAAAGATTGAGTCACTGATTCAAATCTCTGAGCTTTGAGTAACAGCCAACTAACCTCACCTAGAAGAAGGAAAAAGGCGGTGTGATAGAAATTTCGGAACTTTTCCAGTCTTTCGCATATCGGTGTAAGGCAGATTGCTCACTACTACAGTTTTCCACAAACCAACAAATCCTTGCTTATCTGGAACATGCCCTTCACTAGCCAGTTTCGACAGTGTTTGCTCATCAACGAACATCACAAAACAAACATTTCGCTTGGAGAATTCACTGATCTGAAGAAACAAACAAGCAAATGATGAGGATGAATACATTCTCCCCTAAAAGTAATCTACTGTAATTAGCTAATATCTACTAAAAGATAAAGTTTTTACCTTTTTACTTGCAGGTCGCCTTAGGAAATCAGAACTTCCGAAAATGCAAGAAGACACAGAGACTACACAGTTCTTCATGTAGGCCCTATCCTTTTCGCTCAAATCAAATCCAGTTCCTTTGACAAAACCACAGTGAATTGTCTGATTTGTCGCAGAATAAGATCTCTCTCTTTCCTTGAGCGTTTGATGCCCTCCAAATCTAGGATTATTATATGTCTCTGTCTCTACAAAGCCTAACGAAAATCGGTTGAAATTTAAATACTCCTCAGGCTCAAGTATGTGATTAACAGATTCAGCAAGTGCAACTTCACAAGGCAAATCTGCAAACACACAAACAATTTAGCTTAGATCAAAAAAACCAACACTAGCAGTCAATGAAATTACTGGAAATTCAAAAATCCATACGCTTGTTTCTCTTCTTGCTTCCAGGTGGTTTTTCGATGTTGGATTGTTTTAATCCTATATCAAGCTCCGAGGACGTGAACAGATGATTTTTCATATAAGCTACATTTGATCAAAATCCAGTTAATACAATAGCTTTTTGTACTAGCTTTGATACGATTCCAAAGTAAGATAAAAACTTGCTTACGGTTATGCTCAAAATGAGGCAAGATCTCAGAACCTACACAGAATACAAATTAAGAATGTTTAAATAATCTCCAGAGCTGAGAAAGAAGAGATTTTTTATAACTTTGAAGCTCACCATGAAAGAGTAGTTTATGGCCAGAGAATATGCAAGAGAAGAAAAAGAGAGACACGAAGAAGAAGATGAAGTGTGAGAGCTTCAATTTCACTATCCGACCAAACTTCTTTCCTCTTCGAAGAAACAGAAACGAATGATCATTCTGACCAGATGGATTCAGATAAGAAACGACCGTACTTCTTCTCTCCGGCAACATTATTACCAACACTGAAAATTCAGACCAATCAAAATTTACATGCCTGAGCTTAGGGATGGATTCAAAATCATTCTAATTAGCGTACAAAAAACCAGAAAATTCATGACGACATTTTATGATTCCACCATTCATGATTACACGAAAATATTTCGACATTTTAATAATTTGGGAAATCTAGCAAAAACAAACGAAACATAAAGTTTATTACAAAATCCAAGATGCCGATTTGGAAGAATCTCTCGCACGAATTCACGAAACTTTCGAGAACCAAAAACTGGGCAAAGACCAGATTCGAAAGGAAAAAAAAGGAAAAGAAAAACTCTTTACCTCCTGATTCGAAGATCTCTAGCTCGACACAGACAAAGTGGTGGTGATTTTGGCTGTAGTGTACAGAGTGGATTTATTGATCTTTAAGATGTATTTTTGTTCTTGATTAATTAACTAGTTAATTAATAATGTCCAATTGTTGGGGAAAAAAGTTAACTAATATCGTTTCACCGACGTTAAAAGAAAAGGTGTGGTTATTAAATCCCATATCGATTAACTATTAATCGTTCACTTTCGGAATTGGAGTATAAAAATAAAGCTCCATGAACCTTTTCTAATCATACCTTTCTCGGCCTTTTGGCTAAGATTAAGTGTACTATCAGTTCTTATCAGTTTAATATCTGATATATTTCGATGTTAACTTAATTTTTTAAGGGAGAAAGCCCAATAAGATAGCCTGCTATCTGGGCTTTCATGAGTCGTCCATGTATTGCACTACTACATGGGCTTGGCTCAGCCCACCGAATTTTAAACCAAACTTTTATCAGTTTAATTAAATCTTAATCGTAAACCGTTGGAATAATTTACAAGTCTGGTGTGATAGGAAGTAATGCAGATGTCTGCAGATTTGTTCTTCTTCTGTGGCCGACAGTGAATGTTACACCACAAATTCTCTGGGAATTATACAACTTTTATCTTAATCACCCTTTGTAATTGGGATCAGATTCTCCGATGCTACTTACTTGCCTTATTCACTTGAGGACGCTTTGAAGCATGGCCAACCAAATAAATCAAACTTGAGTAGTTTTGCTTTCTCAACACAATAAGTCTTCTTGCTTTTGCTGTTCATTTATCTTGCACGTATGGAAACTGAGTAGTTAGATTATGATCTCATCTTCAATTTTAGTTCAATATATTTTATCGGAAAATAAGTGATGGCTCAATTATTTTCCCCATGTCTTTTGAGTAGGATACAATACTTATCTTCAAGATCTGTATAGCTTATTGGTTTTAATCAAACGCATACTGTATTAGCTTTGATGTCTGGGTGCATCATCTTGATTTCATCCATGTTATTCTTGAAATTTAACAATTAGCCCTTTTTGAATTAACTCGAGGGAAGGTTCAATGGAGTGAATAAGATCACTCTGGATAAAACCAGTCTTTTCCCATTATTAGTTGGCACCTTCTTTGCATTTATTGTCTTGGTAACAACTTTGGTTCTTTTCTCTCGCATCACTTCATACTTTCAACGATATAGTTAAGGTTTTTGTCTACTTTGCTTTTACCTCAGACACACATGGCCTTAAGGACTAAAATCTTAGATATGTTAGGTAAAATCACACTTTCATTGATTTAAGTTTCTTCTTTGATAGCTCTTTGTCACAAACTCTTATACGTTTGATTTAACCCTTTGAAGCAAAGACAAAACTTGATCTCTGTATACTTGAGAGTTGAGACTCAATCCAAAAGAAAACAAAATGTGGTGGAGCCAATTTGTGATGATTTATGTGCTGCATCACATATGTTGTTTTCAATATATGTTACTAATCATTTTGCTGCATTTTCAGATATATGTTATGACTGAGCAGAATGTTATATTGAATTTCTAATCAAAAATTAAAACCAAAATTCATGACGACATTTTATGATTCCACCATTTATGATTACACGTGAAATATTTCGACATTTTTAAATTTGGAATATCTAGCAAAAACAAACGAAACATAAAAGTTTCTTACAAAATCCAAGATGCTGATTTGGAAGAATCTCTCGCACGAATTCACGAAACTTTCGAGAACCAAAACCGGGCAAAGACCAGATTCGAAAGGAAAAAGGGAAAATAAAAACTATTTACCTCCTGATTCAAAGATCTGCGTGAAAATAAAAACAATGTTTCACCACAAAACTCTGTGGGAAGTAAATAAGAACTTCTCTTAATCACTTTAATTGTCATGTCGGATCAGATTCTCCGAACCCACTTGCCTTATTCCCTTGAAGACGCTTTGAAGCATGACCAACCAAAGAAATCAAAGATGAGTAGTTTGCCTTCTTAACACAAGATGTCTTCTTGCTTTGGTGTGCATTTCTCCTGCACATATGGATACTGAGTAGTTAGATCGTGATCTCATTTTAAATTTTTGGTTGAATACTTAATAGGAAAATAAGTGATGGCTCCATTACTTTTTCTCCATATTATTTGAGAAGGATACAATACTTATCTTCAAGATGTACGTATAGATTCTTGGTTTTAATCAAACCCATATTGTATTAGCTTTGACGTAATGGGACTTTGGGAGCATCATCTTGATTTCATCCCTTTTTGAATTAACACGAGGGAAGGTTCAATGGAGTGAGAAAGATCACTTTGGGTAAACCAGTCTTTTCCCATTATGAGTTGGCTACAAAGACATACACCTTCAATTCGCATTCATTGTCTTAGTAACAACTTTGGTTCTTTTCTCTCGCATCACTTTCATACTTTCAACGAAACAGTTTAGGTTTTTGTCTACTTTGCTTTTACCTCAGACACACATGGCCTTCAAGACACATATGTTAGGTAAAATCACACTTCAGTTTCCTCATTAATAGCTCTTTGTCACAACACTCTTATACGTTTGATTTAACCCTTTGAAGCAAAGACAAAACTTTGATCTCTGACAGAGATTCTCTGTGTTCTTGAGCTTCAATCCAAAAGAATAGAAAACGTGGTGGAGCCAAATTTTAATGCTATATTAATTGTTGTCTAATCATTTTTCTGCATTTCAGATCTGTGTTTTTTGATTGAACAGAATGTTATCTTGAATTTCTAATCAAACGGCACTCTTTGAATATGCCTTTTTCTTAAAAGGTGCTACGAGGTCTCTAAGAAACCCTTAACGACCGATTTTATTTCCGCGTGGAAGATGACATTGTGATCAAGAAGTCAATATTATATGATACTATTATATAAGTTTTACAAATATTAATTTGCACACTTCATCTACATGTAAAATATTATAGATTCTTATAATTAAAATGAAGAGATTATTATATGTTCATACGTATATAACGGGTTTTATAAGTACCTTTGAAATCGAGAGAGGTCGCTAATAATTAATGTCCGAGACTCAAGAGAAAGGTTCGAAAATTTATCCCACATCGGTAAACTATGAAACGTTCACTTTCAAAGGTTGTGTATAAAACCCAAGCTCGATGGACCAAACAATTCATACCTTTCTCGGCCTTTTGGCTAAGATCAAGTGTAGTATCTGTTCTTATCAGTTTAATATCTGATATGTGGGCCATCGGTCCACACGATATTAACTCTATTTTTTAAGGGAGAAAGCCCACCAAGATAGCTTGCTATCTGGGCTTTCGCGAGTCGCCCATGCGTTGCACTACTGCACGGGCCTGGCTCAACCCACCAATAATCTATTCCAACTTTTTAATATAATTATCAGTATAATATAGTCTCACTTCTTTGATAGCTAGTAAAGCGTATGATTTGGTGATAATGAGATGACCATTCTCAGTGCCACGTTTTGAAGCGTTCACCCCGGTATGAAGTATTTTCTGTCTCGTTTTGGGTTGATTGTCTCTGTAAGCTAAGTTGTCATATTTAATAATATTAGCATCTATATATTTTTTTTTCTTTTTAATTTAATAGTATATTGTGTAAGATCTCAGTAACCATCAGAAGACTTAGCTTTGCAGTACTGTTACAGTTTTGTTTTCAAATATCAGATTGTAATTTCTATAAATACCATCAGTTCCTGAACCTATGTTTGTGGGTTTTTTTAGGTGACAGGAAGTAATGCTAATGTAGCGAGCGACCACACAAGACTCTACTCCTTCTACTTATCATGTGAACGACTTTCAGATCAAGACACTGAATGTTTCACCACAAACTCTGTGAGAAGTAAATTGGAACTTCTCTTAGCCATTCTTTGTCATGTGGGATCAGATTCTCCGTACCTACTTGCCTTATTCAATTGAGGAAAAAGCAGGCGGGCACTTTGAAGCATGGCCAACCAAAAGAAATCAACACTATTAGTAATCTTGTTTTGCCTTCTTAACACGAAATGTCTTCTTGCTTCTGTTGTTCTTTTCTCCTCCACATATGGAAACTCACTAGTTAAATCATGATCTGATTTTCAATTTTTAGTTCAATATTTTATAGGACAATAAGTGATGGCTCAATTATTTCCCCATATCTTTTGAGAAGGATACAATACTTATCTTCAAGATCTGTATTGATTCTTGGATTTAATCAAACCCATACATCATTTTTTTTTTTGCTTTCATTCATATGTATTTCTTGAAATCTAATTAGCCCTTTTTGAATTAACTCAAGGGACGATTCAATGTAGTGGATAAGATCACTTTGGGTAAATTCGATCTTTTCCCATCATGAGTTGGCTACAAAGACATACATCTCTTTGCATTTATTGTCTTAGTAAGCACACTTTGGTTCTTTTCTCACACATAACTTCACATTTTCAACGAAACAGTTTAGGTTTTGTCTAGTTTGCTTTTATCTCAGACACACATGGCCTTCAAGATCAGGACCAAAATCTTAGATATGTTTGGTAAAATGACACTTTCATTGATTTAAGTTTCCTCATTAATAGCTCTTTGTGACCAACTCTTCTACGATTGATTTTAACACTTTGAAGCTAAGACAAAACTTGTATCTTTCTCTCTTCAATCTAAGTTCAAAGAAAAACACTTGGTGGGGACAATTTTTGGAATTTGTCTAATCAGATCTGTCTTTTATATAAAAATTGCTCTATTCATTCTCTAATCAATTTTCATTTTGTGAATATGTTTTTTTAGGTGCAAGAAGTCTCTAAGAACCCCTTCAAAACAGATTTGATTTTCACGTGGAATACGACACCGTGATTAAAAAATTCAACAAGACAAATTTAACAAATATTTTCAGTTTTTCACTCAATACACATTACAAAATAAGGAAAGTCAGAGATTGAAATGTTTTTTTTTTTACTTTTGTGCAATCACCGACTATACAGAAGAGATGACTGTGTGTGAGAAATAGAGCTGTTGCTTATCTTTCTTCGTGTTTCGAAGCTCTTTGGTTGAGTAGTTTCCATTGGGAATCTAGGAACATAACTCGGGGATGTCTTGTTCATGCTGATTCTTCTGTCTAAATCACCAGAAACCCTAACGGATTTATGACTCTTGCAGCTCAACAAGTAACCACCACTTCCGCTGCTACTAGATTTCCGTCTCTGTGGTTCCTTTTTAACAGTATTAGTAGGGATTCGAGGAATCTGAGAAGATCGGTTTCTTCTCACAGGACTTGTCGCACATTCTGACATAACAGAGAAATCTGCAGCACTTGCTGTCACTATACTCCACTCTATGCTTACTTCACTTGGAGCATAACATGTAGGTGAAGCTGGATCACTTCCTTGCCTTGTAAGAGAAGGTTTTAATTTACCTTTAAGACTCTCTATCTCGAAAAGATCCGAGCTTGTATCACTCCTTTCACTCTTTGTGTCTTCCTCCTCTGTTCTTGATCCCCATGGAAGCAATGTGGGTTTCTTCTGAATGACTATCCTCTTGTCCTCAATATTTACAGGAGATCCAAACACTTCAAGAGACTTCCTCTGCACTAGCCCTTCTTGCTTCTGAATCTTGATCATTTCTGTGTTGTTCAGATTCACAGAAGAAGAACTCATCTGATTTTCAAGCTTCCTTGCTGTGAAAACAGAGATATTGGGATCAGAGCTTCTCTTAACTGATATATTCTCGTTGACATCTACTGAGTTCCCATCAGAACACGCGCATTTACACCCCAAATTCGAGAGAAAGCTCTTCTTGTTATTGTTCACCTTTTGAATCTGACCACTGTTATTCTTCTTCTCCTGCAAGGAACTGTTGGAGCTATTCACCAATTTGTTCTGAAGCAACATGCTCTGACTATTCCAACTTGATTCAGAGCGGACACTTGGAGTTCCAGTAGATTTCTTCGCGCTCTGCTTCGAATCAACTATGAATCTCTCAACTTCTGGGTTTATCAGAGATAGAACACTAGAACTCTGGTCTGAATCCATGTCTCCATTGAAGTACTTCTCAGCTCCAAACACACCAATCTCCCGATCTTCTGGAGCTTTTTTCACCATTTTCGTTACATCGTCAAGCTCTTGATCTTCTTTTGGATTGACGCTCACGTTTAGGGTTTTGCAGGGTTCCATGAGCTTCTTGGTTGTGACAACAGCTTCTTCCTTGCTGCTCAAGTAAGAAGAAGAAGAAGGAGGAGAACGGAAAGGGGCATAGAGACTGTGACTGTTGTTATTCTTCATGAAATCAAAAGATGTCTTTGGAGTTGAAGAAGATGATGTTAAGGTCACCATTTTTTCTTTTTTTGGTGGCTTGATATTTTTATTTCTTGCTTGTGTGTGTGAATTAGATTAGGTTATAAATACTTAAATAGAGAAACAAGACAAAGTGTTAGAGAGCTGGTTTCTCTGAATCTAAAGTGTTCTGATCAATGTGAGTGGGTTCCACTTTGTGTCATTTGGCCAGTTGTTGTGTGAATTGAAATTATGGTTTTTTCTTGAATAACAATGTTGGAAAATATTGTTGAAATATTTGTCAATCAATGGAGAATAATAGAAAAATAATGTTACCCCGTGACTAAAAATAATGATAAATAATAACAAGAGATCCCTAATACAATGGAGTTAATTGGAAAAGGACTCATCAGTACATGCTATGGTACTCGCATTGGATTTCTAAATTGATGTTCTACTACTTTACTTTCAGTTTTTTTTTTTTTTTTTTTTTTTGTTGCAGGTTTCAGAAAGCTTTATTCGTTCAATATTCGAATTTTGTTCTTACCTTCGAAAGACTACTATACGTTTTTAAGATTCCAATCTCAAACTTTAGATGATACTAAGAATTTGCCACCATACAGTATTAAACATCAATTTCTTTGTTCGTTTACCTCACTGCCAATAATCTTTACATAATAATTACTAACAATTATATATTTCTCAACTCTAAAAAATAATAATAATTCTAATATTCTCCTTCAGGTCAAATATTAGACGTAATCTTCGGATGCTACTATATATTCATCAGATAAAACATAATGGACGGCTAATTAAGTTAGAATGGTACTGATAAAAGACTATTATTAAAGATAAAACCCGCATGACGTATAACCATTTAACCAACATTACACAATATTTTAGACATCTACGAACTTGCAAATGCATCTCCTACATTATTTCCGCAGAAACCAAAATTCCGATAAACATTCTAAATTTGAAGAAATCACCAGAAAAAACACTTGGACTCAAACAAATACGTACTACACTACAGTCACTACTAGATGTCATTGTTTACCCAATAAAAAAAGAAGTTACTATGTCATCGCATAACAATAAATAGTTGAAATAAAAGAATATATTGCGTAAACTTACAAATTCATATCATTAGATTAAGAAACGGCGATCGTTTCCAACAAACGAAATCTAATTACGAATCGGGTGTTAAAGTATTAATTCTATCAACATAAACGTATAAGTATTCGGACACACTTAAAGGGTTGAGCTGACAAGTGAATTTTGGATCTATTTTTACTTTATATTTTTAATTTAAAAGGCAAAGTTGAATTAATATTTTAAAAGAAAAATACTAATGTATGTAATTCTCTTAGAGGAACAAAAATACAAATAAAATAGGAAGCACGAGGGATGTACGTATTTTGTTGCATGGGGAGATATTGACAAAGACCATCGAGTTGGGTTTTTTTGTTATATATAATAATGTTACATGTAATAATTTGACATACGCTCTATAATTTATGTGTATACACATTAGAAAATTATGGGATCGTATCTTCTTATGTAATACATATCAAATAATTGTGAGTAACGTGTATTATTTTGTTAAAATAAATTTATCTGGTAAAATCAAACAAAAATTCCATATATCTGTCAATAAAGGATTGTAATGAAATTGATAAAATATGCGTATTAGTCATTTCAGTCGACAAATGAATGGTAGCACTCTAAGGTTGAGCCCCACAGTTTACGTGTTTGATTCTCATCCTCAACACATCCTTCTAAAGCTCTTAAATACTCCGATCCGTTTTGATTAATAGAAAAAACAGAACTGACTGGTTGGTTATATAAAAGAACTCATCTTAATTGCACATGATATTATTGATGAGTTTTTAAAGGCTCTAGAAAAGATATCGCAGCCACATATAAATAGTATTTTGGTTATCCCATATATCTATAGTTATTATAAGAGCAAAGAGGTAACAATCGCTACACAATCAGATCCAATTAAGGATTGACATGTTTGAAGTGAAGTGTCTGACACTATAAATTACAGCGTTGTAACAAAGACAAATATTTGTTCATATCATTGGAGAAAATTTTAAAGGACAAATTTTCATTTAGTTAGAGATAGTTCAAATTCAAACAAACAAGCGTGAGTAAAAAAAAAAAAAAAAATCTCTCAAACCACAGTTATTCTTTATATCTATGTACATTCAGCTAAAGCCATGCCTGCACAATTATTCTTTATAAGTGACTGCCTATAATATTTTTCAAAAAAAAAAACCAGGTTTACGATAAGAATTCAATAAATCCATATACCATTTCCAAAAATGAGGAAAATGGTAGGGTCTCTTCTTAAGCTCTCCAAGAATGTACAAAAAAAAGGAACTGTTTGGGAATTGTAGAACTATAAAAGCGCAAATTTCATAAAACCAACGAAAATAACGGTTTTGGATCGGATTCCAGGATGGAACTTAAAGCAAAAAAAAAAAAAAAAAAAATCAATTTTCTGAATGCTAATGCATGGCCAGCTCGTTCGACGTCAAAAAAGATGTCGGGGTCCAAAATATTAATTCTGGCATGTTGCCGACGTTACATGCTCGATCAAGTCGGTAGTTATTACTTGCGCGCATTCCACTTCTCCATGTCCTCTCTTTCCTTGGTCATTATACGTACTAATTTTATACTCGTACGCTTGTCGAATAAATTGAACATGGTCTTTATTTTCTTACTTTCATTTATCAAAAACATTTGAATTTAAGTCCAGTTTTTGTAGAACTGTTTAAAAGATGGAGGATTTGTTTGATATGTTGCTTGTTTAATTACACTATTCAATTATTATTTTTTTGGTTAGATTCTGCAATTCTTTTGCTTTTGGAATTTCTTCGGTTCTTGATCAGTGGAGATTGTGGCTAGTGTCACTATTCTCTCGCTGCTTTTTTATTTACTGTTTGTTACTGCGATATTCGATCAAGAACTTATAATAAAAGCTAGAGATTAATGGTGATGTCCTTGTTTTGTATACATGTGATATTATTTTTTGGAATGACATTAATCGAAAGTGAAAGAGTCTTATTATAAAGTCAAAGACTCTTACTGAGAGAGAGAGAGAGCTCTATAGTCAAATTATTTCAATAAATTAGAAATCCCTAGTTTTCTTACTTCACTTGGCGCAGAAATTTGAATGCAATCTTCTTCTTCTCCTTCGTCTCCAATCAACTTGATTTTGGGTTTTCTTTTTTCGCTCAAAAGTTTCTTCCTTTTCTTTCTAATTCCTAGCAATGACGTCGGAGGAGATCCCGATGATCTGCAAGGAGTGCGAAAACGACGCCTTTTCCGAAGAAGATGGGTTTTTCTACTGCCAACAATGCGGCGTCAGAGCAGACGATATCATCGCAATCGCCGTCGACGACGATGATTTAGTCGGAAAAGGCGAAGATACTCGCGGCGCAACCTATCAACCAATCCACACTCGCCGTCGACCTCCATCACATGTAACCAATCCTTCGCAGCTCCGTTTCGAGGATTATTACAAGCAGGTAAGAGACAGATACGTGAATGGGTTTCTTATGATGATCACGTTTCAATGCGATGCCTTGGTTGAGAAATTCAACGTGACGCCGTTGATTATTGGTTTGGTCGGACCAATCTGCTTAAGGCTCGTGGCTCTCTCTGGCGTCTTCGACGATGGTTGGGCCGATAAGGCGGTTCATGATTCCGAGCGTCGTTCACAAGGAGAAGTAAGATGCGTTAAGAGGCGTAACGGAGACAAAGGCGAGCCTCGTAGCTTTGATGGTAAAAGATTAGTGACGATTTGGGTAAATCAGCTAAGAAAGTCTCTGCCTTTATCGAGCTCTCTTGCTATATCTTTCCTTGCTTGTCACAAAGCAGGAGCACCGATTCTACCTACGGATATAGTGAGATGGGCACGAGAAGGAAAGGTTCCGTATCTATCTTGTTTCCTCAGGATCCAAGAGAAGATGGGGAAGCGATCAGCTGATTGTCCTGTGGAAGCAAGTGTAATGTTTAGGCCTTTTGAGGTTGTTTCTGCTCAGAGATTAGAAGCAAGAGCTGCCTTGATTGTTGATGTCATCGGTTTGCCTTTGCCTCCTGTGAACTTGTATGGTATAGCTTCAAACTATCTGAAGCGGTTATGTATCTCCGAGGAGAAGGTTCTTGATCTTGTGAGTCTCATACGCAGCTGGTCAATGCCTTCTGGTTTGTATCTGTCGAAGAATGAGCTTAGGCTTCCTACACGTGTGTGTGTCATGTCTATTGTGATTGTAGCTGTGAGGATGATTTATAACATTAATGGTTTTGGTGTTTGGGAACGGAGTCTAGGCGTTGATATTTGTAATGAGGCGGATGTTGTTTCTGATGAGAATGATGAGGAGGTTTCAGAGACTAAAACGGTTGCTGAGGCTTCTGAAGAATTCGACACCGAGGAGCTTTTGAAGAATCTTGAAGCAAATTATGATGTCGCTGCTGAATCCGTTGGTAATTCCCTTTACTGAGTTGTCTTCCTTCATCTCTGTAGATTCTAGCTTCTCCTGAATCTTGTTTTGTTTTGCAGAATATGAGAAGGATCTTTTGTCCTATTTATCGCATGGGAAAAACGAGGTCTTTGCTGGTTTAGTAGAAGCAGCAGCTGATGATACATACAGAACTGTAGATAGCTTGTGGAAAGGTTACACGAAGGATGAGGTAAAATCCTGCATTTTGTACGGCACTGAGAAAATTAGTTCAAAATTCGAATATAAACCATTTGGTTGATTCAAGTTGAGACTCTGTCTCTGAGATTCAGACACTACTATGTTCACCTAATTTTGTTTATTTAAGGCAAGTAATAGAAGCATCTGTAAATATAAATACAAGTCAAATTATTTATTCTTTCAATCGTTCTCTTTCTCTTCCTTTAGTATTCTTTATTTCTATTTTATATATAAAACAAATACACTATTGTTCAAATAAGAACGATGGAAGACTCTTTTCTTTTGATTTAAACAGTCGAATTTCAAGACAATATTCGGAAAATAGTTAAACAGAATTTCACAAATTTGTGAAAAAAACTACTGCAGAAACATGCAACTATTGACATTTTTTGTTACAGATAAAATAGAGAATTCATTTCGGATGAGATCTTAATCAACTTCCAACATCTCAAATGATTTCAATCCTTTACTCATACATACATTATAAATTTACAGATACCAACTCTTCATTCGATTCACCTCGTTATCTTGTATGCTTATGAGTCAGAAGAATCAGACGGGCTCTTCATGTTGTTGTTGTGTAGATGTAGTAGCAGCCATGGAGGGTGATGGTGGTCCTGGTGCTACCGTAAAGTGAACTGTTCTAGGCTGCCCTGACTGAAGCACTAATGCAAACTGTGTAGCCAAAGCTGCAGCTTCCTGTTCAATCGGACGAGTCAATACCGAAATTTAGTTGGATTCTAACCACAGAGAAAGAAAGAAGAAGAGAAAGGTTGGCTTGAGAAATGCTTGGACTGAGTTCTTATACTAACCTGCCTTTGTCTTCGGCGCTGTAGAATACTAATGGCCCAAGCCATGATATAGCAAGGAAGAAGAAATCCAGCAGCTCGGAGCAAGACGAGCTAAAACAAGAATCAGATGATTGTGGTTTTTTGTGTTAAAACTTATATGTAAGTTCCAATACTTGTTGTAAGCATATGAATTGCTCTGAAAAATAAAAAGAAAGAAGCTTGCAACTTACAGAAAGTATCGAAGCTGGGTCATCTTCATCTCCATCAGCCTCGCTTGTTATGGTCAGTGCATGCCGCAAGAGAAGAAGGGCCATTAACTGTGTAAGAAAAGCGTTTTTACATGTTTATCACAAGCAGAGGTGTTGCTGACTCTTGTTTTAAAATTTCAAGATGCTTAAAAAGCTTACAATTAGAGCAGCTGAGCGACAAAATGCAGCTCCACTGGCACTTGAAGCTGTATACTCCACATATTCAGACTCCAAATACCGACGTTCAGCTTCTGCAATGGCAAGAAGGCGAGGATCATGCAAATCCAAACCTGAGATCGTCCATCCTCCACTGCAACGCACATTCATAAGTCAAAAAACAAGTATTACCAATAGAATCCGAGAGAAGATAGAAGCAGAATACGAAATTTACAGACCCAATGTCAATAGTGGTTTCTTCAGGCTGAAGGGGAGGTGGTGGAGCGGTAAATCCGGGTTGGTAAGGCTAGTAAAAGAAGTTAAAGACCGTCAGATAGTGATCGCCTCTACGAAAGTTACACAGAAAATTATAGCAAACTGGGCATGAACTATCTTCTGCTCTGCTTGTGTTTGAGCTTGCATTCATCTATCAAGCATATGCATAGTCACATTACTTACTAACATTTTGCTTTTTCTATCAATATGAACTTTCAGCAAATTTTTTACGCCATATCGATTCAAGTTTATGATCCTAAAGATTAACATAATAGATTACATACCTGATGACAAATCTCGCATATAATGTTGCCCTTTTCATTGCACCAACGCTGAACACATTTTCTATGAGCATACTGGTTAAAGCATAACATAAAACTTTAAGTCAACCATCAGTTTTTTCCAGGACAAAGCTATTGCTCAATCTCAGTAAACATTTAACAAAATTTGATCAGACCCATCGTTAAAAAAATTACCTTTAGGCTGCCACTGCAAGCACAAGGGCTCTCGAGATTCTTGATAGGACACTCGTCCTGACAAATACGGCATTCCCCAGAAGCAATGAGCGGCTCATTCTCCTCCTCATCGGAAATATCAATTGCCTTCTCATTGGCCACCACCGTCAACGGCTCCGGCGACTCTGATCTCGTGTTTTCGATCTCCGAATTAACCGGCGGCAATGGCACCGGACGCGTTAGTTCATCCACATTTACCACCATGTGACTGCTCTCAGTTGCTAAACCTATCATTCCTCTAACTATTCCACGAAATCGAACAAAATCAAAATTAAAAAAAAACCCTAAAAAACTAACGAAATCAGACCCAGATGAAATCTAATCGGACAGATCGGGGACCATATAAAGCAATGATCGTGCCGAGAAAACAAAATCGAAGAGAGGGAAATGAAAAGAAAATGACGATTCGATCTTTCAAAACTCGAATTAAGATGCTGAATCCTCAAGAAAAAAGGAAAAAATCACCTGCGAAAATGGGAAGAGATGCTTATAGAGCGAACGGAAATGCCTTTTCTTGTTCCTGATTAGAAGCAGAAAATCGGGAGGAACTTCGGTTGCTCCCAGGAAATTTTCTGAGGCAGATCGAAATCTCTTCACAAAACTTTCCCGCAAATCAAGCAAATAGAAAGTCGCTTTTTATAGCGAAACAAAAAAAAAAAACAAAGTTAACGCCGTGTGAGAAAAAGTTCATGGTCGTTGACCAATAGCAATGTCGTCTAGTGTAATTATGCAGATTTTTAAGGGCATTTACGGTATTCTAAGACTTTGTCGCGTGGTGACGTCGTTAGCGACATGTCTCAGTAGGATAACGTTACTTTTTTTTGTTTTTGTTCCCTTTGTTTGTAACGGAAATGTGATGTAGAAAGCATTTTTTATCATAATTGGGCAAATAATTGTTCAATTACAAACTTAGTCATAATTATTGGTTATAGTCATGTTAATGATATGCCTTTAAATTGAGAGAATAATTGTCCTTTAAGATCAACTTAGTTGCACTTTTTTATAGTTGACCCCAAAAAAAATTGCAACTTATTGAGTTACAACAAGAAGTACAACTAGGAAAAACAAAGTTTTTTAAGTCAATGAATAAAGATTAGTTTAATACACTCTCCTTAATTTTGGAGTCATTCAATTCCCTATTGGTCTTTTAGACGTGGATGTATTAATTTAATCGTTTTTTGCCAGGTGTATATCTTTGATTTCGAGTTCAAAATTTTTTGTTTTTTTTTTTCTGCCAAGACAATACAGAGTATATGGTTAACAATCCAAACATGACTTTATTATTGCACAAGAGGACCCTTCTAAAAACATCAGGATTAAGCATATACCCCGTCAATACAATATACGAATTCACTATCCTACATGATTCCCAGCAAATGGAAACTGCAAAGCCTTTGATATACATATAAATCACTCATTCATATGCTGCTCGTTCGATACAAAGCTTACCTTACAAGATGGGATCAACTTCACAATCACAGGCTTTTTGAGAGGCAAAGACTACTCATGTGAAAACCAGTTTAAACCGAGATCATCTAATGCGGCTGACTATGTATCGACCTTTCTCAAGGTCGTAAATCGTTTTCAGCTGCGGTTTTCTCCACTTAGATACCAAACATACCAAAACTGTCATAAGGATCGGTACCCCAATGAGATAGAAAAGCGTCTTCGAGTCATTAACGAACACACCATAGAACCAATGGAGGTTACTAGAGGCTGCCTGTTGAGACGTCGACGTTTCAGTCTGAAGAATGAATGCACCTAATGCCCAATCCAGCGGTATATTATCTCCTGCTTGACTCGCAAACCCGACTCTGCATAACAAGACAACCGGTTCTTAATTGACTGAATCATGTTTTTAAGTTGTTCTTGAATTTATCAGACATACCTTTCATCATCAAGAGGAATGCCGAGAGTATCGTGAAGCAATGACACTATATATGCCGATGAGAAACAATACCGAAGAAGATCATCTTCTTCGAGTGACGGGTCTTTAACTCTCAACTTCGACCAATCTTCACCACAAAATCTCTCTCCAGCTGAAATCATATTAGACAGCCACGCTTTTTCTCCCAGCCCGAAAAACTGGTACGAGAAACAAACACCATGTTCATAACTTTCTCCAGAAATAGCAGTGTGCTGTGCGTCTAAGGGGGGATATATACATTACGAGAGTGAAATCAGTTTATGAGAGAAGAAAGTACCTTAGAGGTGTAAAAGAAATTTTCAGTAGCTAAAAATCTTCCACGAAGCTTAGGCGTGAAAGTTGATCCAATAGAACAATGCTGATACGAGCATTTCTCTGTACTCAAAAAGTAAAAATATCTATCCATTAGAGATAAAACAGAAATGACCACATTGGATGGAAATCCAGTGATATCGAAAATACTCTACCATTTCCTTCTTGCAAGATTGTTAATGCAGCGGCTCGACACTCTGAGTAATTACCCCCAGCTTGAAAAGAAGCTAATAATCTGCTTTCTTCAGACAAAAATCCAGACAAACGCTTCTGTGTGTTTCTGTCGGGGTCGTAACCTTTTGGAGCACAGGGATCTGTAAATATTCCTTGCCCTGTAGGTTCTACAGTTCAAGAAATGAAACACTGTATGAGTGAGAACGGAACAAAACTTTGCTAACATAAGAAAACTTAAATCAGTACAATATCTGGTTCATCAATTAGAGTTATAGAAGCATCAAAAGCTCACCTGAATTCTGGTCTTTTGACACAAGTGAGCTCCATAATTTTTCATGTGCAGCATTCTGCAAGGGAGCAAAAGTTAATACTGTAACTTCAAGGACATTGCCAAAAGATAAAATCCTTTCTTCTAAACATTTCAGAAAGGGATACAAAAGATCGAAAGCAACAGTTCAGAAGACAATTGAATTAAGTTTCCATTCACCGACTTTAAAGAAGGAAGACATCTAACTACAGCAAGTCAGCAAGTCTATGAAACCTATACCAAAGAAGAATACTGCTCAATAGAAAATACCTGCCCAAAATGAAGGAAACTGTGACTGTATAGATTGTATGAAACATTTCCAAATGATATTGTACGTGAGAACTCAGGAGGCATTGGCTCACTTGACACAAATGTCACCTAAAAGAACATACAAACAGGCATCACCTGTTAGCTCCATCGTAAGCTGCCTGAATAATAAATTCGAGAGGCAAGAAACTAAACCTGCGCAGAAGCCCCACCAAGCTCAACAATTCCGGTTGTTTTAAGAGGATCACCACCAAGCGAACCAAGAGCAAAATTTGCAACGACCCAAGCATACACACCTTCGTCAGAGCCTGTAATTATCCAATGATTAACACAGATGGATTGAACCATAAAATACTAAAAGAGAAACAAAGTCTAATTGATAGAAAAATCACTTGTACAACGCAGAGGATGAAGATTTGATTTTGAAACGCACCAGAGATAACAGAGGCCCATTCATCACGAAACATGAACCCAGAAGACATAAGAACTCTTCTGGTAACTTTCAGAATATTTGCCTGAACAGATACTTCAAGCAATCTCATTCCCGCCGTCGCCATTAACCTTACTTCAGTCTCCTTCCACATTCCTTTCGGAATCCTCCCTTTCGCGAACTCCACCAGCTCCGTCAACGACACGCTCGCTCCGTCAGGATCATCGGCGTACGCCGAAAGACCCGGATGCAGCTTCAAGCTAGCGTAATTCGCTCCTCTGAATTCAAAAACGGGTTCACCCGACTCAATCCTGTACCCGAAAACGTGGATTCGGGTCCCCGTGCTTCCGCCGTCGATCACGACGCTGTAACGAAGCCGTCCTCTCCGATTACCGTCGGAGAATAGAATTAAATAGCAGACAAAGAGAAATCCTAATACGGTGACGATGGAAGCGACGGTTAACAAGAGATTCGATTTAGCGTGTTTCGCATTGGATTTCGTGAGCGTGAACGTCGACGAAGAAGACGATGCTCGGTTTCCGGAACGGATCTGGAACTTAATCGGATCCATATCTGATTTACTCTTCACCCTAGGACGGGCATGCGATCGTCGCATCAACAATTCAGAAACCGCCACGATAACGAACAAGTAATCATGAGATCTAAAAGAAATCAAATGTGCAAATCAAAGTAAACAAAACCCAAATATATTTTTTGTGATTTTTCCAATTTTCTGCTCTTTTTGAAGCTTTTATTCAACCGAGAAAAATGGAGATTGAGAGGGCCGCCGTGAAACACCGCCGGTGAAGCTCGCCGCCGCCCTCAGTCTCCGATGTCGTGCTCCGTAATATGAAGAAAAAATGAAATTAAAAGAAAATAAAATAGAAAATAAATTGGTCGTTGTAGCGCCTTTTACGGGTTTTATACCTTAAAAAACATTAAAGTATATATCGGTTCGGGTCGGGTCGATATATTGCTCTAATTCTCCAATCGGGTCGTGATCATGGCATTATCCACACGACTGTTAGTTGGAAAATGAGAAGCTCACATTCAGAGCTTTAATGGCGATATCTTCACCTTCTTTATTATTATCATTCTCTCACGCAGAAACAATCCCTAAGCCTTCGAAAATCGACACTGTGAATCCACCAAACCCGATTCTTCTAATTTCCAGATGCACTTCTCTAAGAGAGCTGATGCAAATTCAGGGCTACGCAATCAAATCCCATCTCCACGAAGATGTTTCATTCATCACTAAGCTGATAAATTTCTGCACAGAGTATCCGACGACGTCTTCAATGTCATACGCTCGCCAGCTGTTCGACGCAATGCCTGAACCAGATATCGTGGTATTTAACTCCATGGCTCGTGGGTATTCTCGTTCCACGACTCCACTTGAGGCGTTCTCTCTCTTCGTTGAGATCTTAGAAGATGATTATCTTTTACCTGATGGCTACACTTTCCCGTCTCTTCTCAAAGCATGCGCAGCAGCAAAGGCGCTAGAAGAAGGTAGACAATTGCATTGTCTCTCGATGAAACTAGGTCTTGATGATAACATCTATGTTTGTCCTACGCTTATCAATATGTACACCGAGTGTGAAGATGTAGATGCTGCTCGATGTGTCTTCGATGGGATTGTTGAGCCTTGCGTTGTTTCTTACAACGCTATGATCACGGGCTACGCGAGAAGAAACAGACCAAACGAGGCTTTATCCTTGTTCCGTGAAATGCAAGGTAAGAACTTGAAGCCGAATGAGGTTACACTTCTAAGTGTTCTGTCTTCTTGTTCGCTTTTGGGATCGTTAGATTTAGGGAAATGGATACATGAGTATGCTAAGAAACACGGGTTCTGTAAGTATGTGAAAGTAATCACAGCTTTGATCGATATGTTTGCGAAATGCGGTAGCTTGGATGATGCTGTGTCTCTATTCGAGAGAATGAGGCATAAGGATACACAAGCTTGGTCAGCGATGATTGTAGCTTATGCGAATCACGGGCAAGCTGAGAAATCCATGTTGATGTTTGAGAGGATGAGATCTGAAAATGTTCAGCCTGATGAGATCACATTTCTCGGACTGTTAAACGCTTGCAGCCACGCAGGTCTAGTGGAAGAAGGGCGCGAGTATTTCTCACGGATGGTTAACGAATACGGCATTGTTCCGAGTATCAAGCATTATGGTTCTATGGTTGATCTTTTAGGTAGAGCTGGACATTTAGATGATGCATATAGATTCATTGATAAACTCCCGATAAGTCCTACACCGATGCTATGGAGGATTCTCTTATCTGCTTGTAGCAGCCACAACAATTTGGAGCTAGCTGAAAAGGTTAGCGAAAGGATCTTTGAGCTAGATGATTCACACGGTGGTGATTACGTGATGCTATCAAATCTATACGCGAGAAACAAGAAATGGGAAGATGTAGATTCTCTGAGAAAGGTGATGAAAGATCGAAGAGCGGTTAAAGTTCCCGGGTGCAGCTCGATTGAGGTAAACAACGTGGTTCATGAGTTTTTCTCAGGAGATGGTGTGAAGTCTGTGACCACTAAGCTTCACAAAGCATTAGATGAAATGGTGAAAGAGCTAAAGCTTGCAGGGTATGTTCCTGATACATCTATAGTGGTTCACGCTGATATGAATGATCAAGAGAAGAAGATTACGCTTAGGTATCATAGTGAAAAGCTTGCGATTGCGTTTGGATTGTTGAATACTCCTGCGGGAACAACGATTCGGGTTGTGAAGAATCTTAGAGTTTGTAGAGATTGCCACAATGCAGCTAAGTTGATCTCTCTTATATTTGGTAGGAAAGTTGTTCTTAGAGATGTTCAAAGGTTTCATCATTTTGAAGATGGTAAATGTTCTTGTGGGGATTTTTGGTGACGTCATCCACAGAACAACATCATTATTTTTCGTAGATAAAAACATATAACTGAACATATACAGCACTGTATATTGCTCTTATATTTTATATAGTGATTTTAAAGCCGATTTTAACACTAATCGTTACCAGTTCTGTATATAATAGTTCTATGATTTGTGACCAAAATATATCAAGTAAAGCCAAAATAAAATTTCATTGTCCTTTTTCTAAAAATATATAAAATTTTAATAATACGTTTCTATTGAACCACTATAACTATATCAAACATTTTCCAAAACATCAAATTAAATTTTTTGAGTTGATTTAGTGATAATTTATATATTTTAATATTAATTCTATCTTTTTTTGTAAACTATGGTTTATTATGGTTTAATAAAAGAAAAATAAAAGAGAAATTCCATCTTTTCTTGTCAACTATGGTTTATTAGGGCTGTACAAATAACTTGCTTCTCCTACATGGGTTAACATATTTTGGTTGGACCATTTGTTTTGCGTGCATTAAAAAAAAAACTGTTAGCAAGATAAATATGTACCTCTGAGCACCAGATTTTAGTATTGACACTTTTACCTAGTTAGCCAGCCACATCAGCGATCTTACAGGAGTCAAAGCCATCTTCAACGTGAGTTTTGTGGTTTTCTCTTCCTCAACCACTTCCTCATTTTCCTTTGTCTTCTTAGCACTCTCCTTATGAATATAACCCATTGAGGCATACTTGCTCATGTTTTTGATCTTTTCCCAAAAACATATCTCTTTGGATTCCTAATCCACATCAGCTCTTTTTTGATACATCATAGACTTCCTGCCCTCCCTTTTCGATTTTTTCATAGCATCTTTATAAACATTTTTGAGCTACCGCTCAAGTAGTTAGCAATCCGCTTCATTCTCTCTCTCTTTTATTTTGTTTGTATTTCTGTTTTATTGTGTTTCTGTTTTGGTTTTGACATGTAAATTAACCAAAATGAGTATTATAAAATATATGTTGACAAAATGAAGCAAGAACATAGCAAAATATAAGTAAAAAAGCAGAAAAAATGACAAGAAATTTTTGTTTTGAAGAATATTAATATATGAAAGTCCTAAAACACTCTCAACCAAATTCAACGACCACTAATATGTTTCCATACCATTTATTTCTAGCCAATTCCTTAACTTCGCCCGTATAACCTTTTTGCTTGTTTGATTTTAACACTTAAACTTTGACTAATTTTCATGATGATTCTCCTTTGGAGATCCACATCCAGACATCTCTATAGGAATCAAGCTTGTGTAGAAGTCAATGATCCTCCATGCATTTCTTTATCATGCTGGCCCAGGCAATTCTTTATAAGGTTAATTGTTATGCCATATTGCAGTGTCATTTCGTTCTTATTAAGTAGTAGAACTTAATAGAATATGCGTTCTATAGGAAGTTAGCTCACCTTTGCATGCATGTACTACTTGATGACATACAACTCATTATCAAAGAAGAACTTGATTGCTTTGGTTGTATTCAAATATAGGGTCTCTACAATATCAGTTGTAAGGTTATCAGTGATCACTTGCATTGTAGGTAATGTGTATATAGAGAACTAAAAAGAGTGTGCTTTAGATTACCGAGAAACAGTTTTGGATTCACGAATGTGTAAACTATCACACTAATTTTGCGTCCAACAAAATTGAATAACATATACGAAATTCTCTGATGTTTGATTATCCCATATTTTTAACCGCATATTTTTTTGCCTAATTCATTTTTGGTTTTGAAGAAACAAATACAAGGTTGTATCAAATATAAGGCAAAGATTTGTTGTGGGAAAATTAGCCGTGCCCTTTTCTGGGACGTCAACCATATAACAATAACGATAGATTTAGTAGCTTTTGCCACATTTAAGGATGCCAAAACAAAGAAAAAGTAGCTTATGCCACATATCCTAAATGATAACCCTGGTAATATATATATATATATATATATATATATATATATATAACAATTGTGTATGTTTAAAAGTCCTTGATCTCTCTCAACCAAATTCAGGGGGCACTAATTTGTTTTCCATACCCTATATTTCTAGTCGATTAATTAAGTTAGCTTTTCCTTATTGTTCTTTTGGAAGTAATTAAAAAAAAAAACAAAGCAATTCGTTGACTTAGTAATCTACTGTGTGATCAATTTAACACATTACATCATTAGGAACAAGGAATCATACAGTTCAGTTATCGTCTACTTCTAAAACACTTATTTGTTGTTTTATATGGGATCATATCAAGACAAATGTCGGCAACGGCCCGCGACCAATAACATTCAGTGTTATGAAGATAAGTTGCCTTATTTTCCTCTCTTTCAAACGGAGTTCATCTTGGGAATTTCACTGATATTTCTTTGCTAATATTTTGTTAAGTAGTTATTAACAAATGATAAAAGAGCATATGATAAAGTTTGACATGAAGTTTTAGCGTGTGCTTCTATGGATTGTAATACAAAAAAAATAAAAACCATTGTATCCTAAAGAAATTGGTATTATTTTTTGTATATAGATATGCTAGTATTTAACATATTAAATAATTATTTCTAACAAAATGTATTTAACATATAAAGCTCTTTTCGTTAAATGTATAAAATATAGAGTTCCAAGATAGATGGCAATCTTATATGACGGAAATAAACATTTTGATAAACTAGATACTATTTTTTTATAACTTACAAAAAAATATATCATGCATCCACAATGTTCATTCACAAGAATATTTTTTTTTTTTTTAAAAGAAAAGGGTTATACAAGAATACAATATTAAAAGTTACATGTCGACCATCCAAAAGGTGTTTCAACTTAACATTTTACTCGATGTGACAAATTTTCTAAACAATCATTTTCTTTGTTATCATTTAGTAGAATTTCTATTTAATTTTTATTTTATGAAACCATAAGAAAATTGTTAGTAATTAGATAAGTTATAAATGTAATTAATGGAGTTTCCTGAAAAACATTAAAATTCATTGGGCCGATACGAGAATACGAACCGAACCTTCTATCTAACCAATAAGTGGGAACGTGACGACTTCAAATTAAAAAACCACACACCATGTCCACACGTAATCTCGTATTCTGATTCAGAGTCCAAGAAAAGAAATTAAATACAAAAATCTCGTAAATATACATACACTTTTTTTTTTGAAAGAAAAATATACATACACTTCACATGAAGGTATATACCATAAAACTCCCAGATTCGTTTGATGTATCTGTCATTAAATGATAACACAAACAAAGGAAAGAGAAATCTCTGTTCACATTTCTCTGATTTTGTTTCCCCTTATAAATAATACTCACCAATAGCAATCGTAATCCTATAACTTCAAATCTTCAAAACTAAAATCATCTAAGAAAATATATTAATTATTTGAAGATGAAGATTATCCAAGCATCTTTGTGTTTGATCAGTCTTCTCCTAATCTTGCCTTCGATCTTCGCTGCTTCTTCTTCCTCTGAAGATTTCGATTTCTTCTACTTCGTCCAACAAGTAAACTAAGTTCTGTTACTAATCATGTCATGTAAGAAGGTTTTATGTTCTTTTTTGATTAAAATTTTTATGTTATCGTTTTAAAGTGGCCAGGATCATACTGTGACACACAGAAGAAATGTTGTTATCCAACCACTGGCAAACCAGCTGCTGATTTTGGAATTCATGGTCTCTGGCCTAATTACAAAGATGGCACTTACCCATCTAACTGTGACCAAACTAAACCATTCGATCAATCAACGGTAATAGCTAATAAGATTCTACATTTCTGTTTTCTGGTCGAGAAATTCTGAATTTCTTTTTGATGTTATGCTCCAAAATATGGTTTGTTCGGTTTCGAAAGAAAAGAAAAAAGGCATTGAGTAATTCGGTTGGAGTTTAGCTTAAAGCGGCTTTAATTTTCCCACAATGGAAGTTCTTGAAACATAACCGGTTGGTTTGATTTGGTTCGGTACAGATATCGGATCTGATCAACTCGATGAAGAAAAGCTGGCCGACATTGGCTTGCCCGAGCGGCTCAGGCGAGACGTTTTGGGAGCACGAATGGGAGAAACATGGTACTTGCTCAGAATCGGTTATCGACCAACATGAGTATTTCCAAACCGCTCTTAACCTTAGGCAGAAAACCAACCTTCTTGGAGCTCTAACAAAAGCCGGTATATACCCTTTAACTAAATTCCTCCCACTTTGTTTCCTGGCTCGGTTAATCTCGGTTTGGATCTTATGGTATTTATTGGTTATTAAAATGTACAGGGATTAATCCGGATGGAAAATCGTACAGTTTAGAGAGCATAAGAGATTCGATCAAAGAATCAACGGGTTTCACTCCTTGGATTCAGTGCAACAGAGATGAGTCTGGCAATAGCCAGTTGTACCAAGTCTACCTCTGTGTTGACCGGTCTGCTTCCGGTTTAATCGAATGTCCGGTTTTCCCTCATGGAAAATGTGGAGACGAGATCGAGTTCCCTTCTTTTTAATTTCACAAATCTATTGAACCGAATCGATCTTTTGTTCACGGAGACCGGTTCCGTCATATTTATATAATTTATGGTGTAATAAAAAATTATGAGGGGCTTGGATCCTTTGATTTCAAGTGTATTCTATGCTTATCTAATAGTATTGATTTATTGTTCTTAGAATCTAAATCCCTTCACTAATAAGTGTCCTAAAACTTAAGGACTTCTGTGTGAGTATAGTTCACTACAGCTTATATTATTACGCACAAACTGGGACTTGTAGATCTAAATCCCTTCACTAATAAGTTCAAATAGTGAGAAACTGGAACTCTCGCATTTTGGATTCAGACATCCTAAACTCTTCATTTGAGTTCTTAATTACACATTACATGTTCTAACAAAACATTTCCTCAACATAATCTTTGAAGCAAAACCATGATATGAAGCAAAACCAGATAACCTTTTTCATAAACTTGAGATGCAAATTATATTCAGACATCCTGAAAACAGAGACCTTCAAAGCAACTCTTCTTATTTGAGTTCTTAATTACACATTACATGACCTAGCAGAACATTCCCCTAACCCAATCTTTGAAACAAAACGTATGTACCAGCTCTCACGTGAAGCAACAACCTTTTTTCATAAGCTCGGTTCACATATCAAATTCCAAACATTCTGAAAGTATACAGCTTCAGAGAAACTTTCTTCATCACTTTTTGACATACTTCAATGATCTAACAAAACATTTCTCCAATCTAATCTTTGAAACAAAAACTATGTACAAAGCTCATCTGAGGTGTCTCTTGGCATCTCTAAAGTGCAGAACTTTTCCAATTCATCTCTCAGAATCTCAGTAAAGAAACAACGAACATACAAAAAAAAGAAGAAGCTTAATATACTTAAAGAAAGAAGCCTACATTGTTTATAACCTTCTTTCAACAGACCTGAGACGTAGTTCCAAAAGCCAATTATTAAACTGTCCATCACTAACCTTCAACATCTCAGACAATGGCATCAAAATCCCATGTTCCCTAAGCAATCTATGCCTCGGCTTTATCTTCCTCTCCAAGCTAAAAGAAAAGTACTGAGGAAACCTTTTCAGCTCCTTAACGTCTCCACGCATCTCCTCCAAAAAGAACTCAACTTTCGGAGCTAAATTGTTCTCCACACTGTACGTCAACAGCGCCGGAGACCTCACGACCATCTTCGCTACTTCATCTCTCGTAAACCCTAACCCTTCTTCAAGGAACTCAATTTTGGGGATTAGGGTTCGCTCAACACTAGATACGAGCAAAACCGTGTTTCGCGACGTGATCGTGTCGCGTCCGACGAATCCTAGGGTTTTGAGGAACGCCAATGCGGGACGAAGCTGGAAATCTACGGAAGAAATGAGCAATCTTGGACAACGAGATATCGATTTCGGGATGTCTTGCTCGGAGATGGAGATCTCATCGGATAAGAAGCGAAGAACTGGTAAGATATCAGATTCGGGATCAGAGGTGAGCAAATCAGGGAACATATCGAGAATCCGACCAACGGCGGGTCTTGAAAGTCCGGTCGAAGAGAGAAGATTCTCGACGGAGACGACGGAGGCGATAGGAGCAGCACGGAGAGCTGGGTTTACTCGGAGAGCCTTGTGAGGATCGACGTTGAGGTCCTGAAGGTAAATGAGCTTCTCTCTGAAGAGAATCCCAGTATCTGAAGTTTCTCCGGCGAAGCATCTAGCTCTAACGGCGGAGAAACACGGCGGCGGAAGAAGGCAGCACCGAGCAATCATCATCGGCGGAAAAAAGGTCCAGACTTTACTACACTTCGAGCTGAGTAGATAAACGATGATGGATTAAGGGTAAAAAGGTCAGAGAAAGTTGAAACGACGTCGTTGTTATTGTATGTGGTTTTTATCTTTCTTCTTTGTCTTCTTCTCCAATGGGATCCCTATTCTCAAGCAGCTCTATCATAAGACCGGTTTTTTCGGAGAGTCTCATGTAAACCGCAATCGTCTTCTCTGTCTCTCTCTCTGCCTCTGGTTCTGATTCTTCGTTTTTTGAAACCTTTTTTTTTCTTTCTTTCTTTCTCGAAAGGTCCTTTTTAAAGATCTCCCTCATGGTTAGTATCCGCTTGGCGTTTGAATTTGCTTCTTTGGGTAAGTTTCCCCTTTTCCTCTTCTTTCCTTTTTTTCTTATCTATCCAACAGGATTAACGATTAGGGTTTTCACAATGTTTGCAAAAAAAGCTCGGATTTTTATTTGAAACTCAAACACCAAAGTGATGGAATTGGGAATCATGATCTAGCTGTGTGATAAATTTCGAAAACTTTCTGGAAAGCTTTTCGTTTTGGATTATGATGATCAGTTATTAAATGGAAGGAACATTGAATCCTACGTAAGAGATGTTTGTGAACACAAACCAAAATGAAAAATTTGATGTGGTTTATTCAGTTGGGAAATTAACAGGATGGGAAGGGTAAAATTGAAGATAAAGAAGTTAGAGAACACACAAGGACGACAATCTACATTTGCTAAAAGGAAAAATGGGATCTTGAAAAAGGCTAATGAGCTATCAATTCTTTGTGACATTGATATTGTTCTTCTCATGTTCGCTCCTACTGGGAAACCTGCGTTATGTTGCGGTAGGCGAAGGTAATGTTGTGAGCTGTTCTCCGAACATAATCATGATTTCTATTGGGTTTGAGTTTTGTTGTCTGAATAACGATTTTTTTTTTTTTTTTTTTTTCAGTAGCATGGAAGAGGTGATTGCTAAGTTTTCTCAAGTACCACCTCAGGAAAGAACAAAAAGGTTTTGTTTTTTTTCAAGATTCTTATCGATATGCTTTGTTCAGCGTTGTTTGTTCTTGTTTTACTCATTGGTTGCATTCTTGAAAACAGGAAGTTCGAGAGTCTTGAAGTAAGTTCTTTCATACAATCAAAACAAGTCTTTTTTTTTTTTAATTGATTCCGATCCTCGTGAAGGGTTTTGTTTTGGTGCCTGATTCAAATATTTGTCTTTCGAAAGCTCAGAACTTGAAGAAAACTTTCCAAAAGTTGGATCACGATGTAAATATACGGGAATTTATAGCCTCAAGGTGAGTAGCAAACAGTTTATTAACAAACAAAAATTGCTAGAAAACTTTATAATCTCTACATGAACTCTAACTTTTCTCTTTTCTCTTGTTTCTTTTTTTGTTCTCTGGTTTCAGTAATTCAACAACAGAGGTATTCACTTTTAAGACTCGTTTCCCTTTTCTTGCGTCTATGAGATTTTGCCAAAGCCTAGAACTTTAGAAAGCCTCATTTTTTCAGGACTTGAGTACTCAAGTAAGAATTCTGCAAGCTCGGATATCTGAGATACATGGAAGATTAAGGTAAAGATCTTTCTGAAGATTGATGATTCTCTGTTTTCTTCATGTTCATACCTCGTTTGATACTTGTTTGTGTCATGTTCTGTAGTTGTTGGACAGAACCCGAAAAGATAAACAACGTTGAACACTTGGGACAGCTCGAAATGTCGATCAGGCAATCCCTTGATCAATTGCGTGCGCATAAGGTATCTTTTGTTGAATAGGAACATTTTAGAATTATCACTTGCGAAATCAACGAAAAACTCAAAAGCTTTTTGATGAATAGGAACATTTTGGGCAGCAGCAACACGCAATGCAAATCGAAAACGCAAACTTTGTCAAAGATTGGTCAACCTGCTCGGTAATTTTTCACGAATGATTCTATCTTTGATCTCACTCAGACAATTTCAATATTAAATCCCGAACTTATCAATTTGCAGATGCAAGATGGGATTCAGATTCCTTTAGAACAGCAGCTTCAATCTATGTCATGGGTTCTTAATAGCAACAACACCAACATTGTCACCGAGGAACAACATTCAATCCCGCAGAGGTTTAGCGATAACACTCTCACATTTGTTCTTCAAAACCTGAATCATTTGTTAACCAAATCTATGTATTGACTCTAAAGGGAAGTCGAGTGCTCCGCGAGTTCATCATTTGGGAGCTATCCAGGCTACTTTGGAACAGGGAAATCTCCTGAAATCACGATTTCGGGTCAAGAAACAAGCTTTCTTGATGAGTTTACCACCAGCAACGGACATCTGAAACCGCAAACAAACTCGCAGCAGCAGCAGCAGTTCATTAATAGTAACAATATCACATACAATCCCAATCTGCAGAATGATCTGAATCATCACCAAACGTTGCCTCCTCCTCCGGTTTATAACTTTCCAATGAACCAGAGAGAGTATCATATGAATGGATTCTTTGAAGCACCACCTCCACCTGGATCTTCTACTTACAACAACAACATTAACCAAACCAGGTTTGGCTCTAGCAGCAGCTCTTTGCCTTGCTCAGTCTCCATGTTCGAAGAATACTTGTTTTCCCAGGTAAACAAACGGAGACATGCTTCTGTTCTTTCAACATCATCAAAATCAAAACTTCCTCATTTAATCAAGATGGGTTATTTACTCTTACACATGCATCAAAATCAAAACTTCATCAGAGATTCGAGATGGGTTTTTTTTTTTTAATCTAGTGATTTGACAATTGTTTATCCTTATTGTAGATGCAACAACCGAACTGAGAGAGATTTGATGAATGATGATAGAAGAACATCTCATTGAAGAAGTCACCAATTTTTTTTCAGAAACAGCAACAGAACAAAAAAAACCTGCAGATTTCTGAATTGGTTCACAAGAAGAAGAAAAAACCACTGGTGAAGAATTCTGGTAGATTGCAACCACAAATACATGATTAAATTTTTTATATCTTCAATAGATGTTTTGTGTTTATTATTCTTTAATTTTTTTTTTCTATACATAAATTTCTCGATCGGATGAGAATTCGGGATTTTTGATGAAAAAAGAAAGAGGTTTCCCAAAAATTTTCCGGCGATATATGTTAGTGTGTGTTGGAGGCTGTCAAAGTAACGCCATGACGGCCAAATATGAGAAAACTCCTCTCTCCTTCCCTTCCTACAAAACTGCTTTGTATCTATTTTTTTCTTTTTTTCTCCCCTTTTATTTTTTTTTCAATTCAATGTAATACAAACAAACGATGTTAATTCATTTATTTTAAACATAAAAACAGTTATAGTTTTTTCTTTGTCATTGCCTCGCTCAATCAAATGTGCGGATGATTTGCTAAGAAAGTAATTTCTTTCCCAATTCACCATGTTATTTTAAGTGTAAAATTTATTTGAATCGATTATTGTGATCAATTGTCACATTATACTTCTACCAAAAAAAAATTGTCACAATTATACTCGCAAATGTTGTTTCTTTTTAATAAGTGGTGTTACACTGTTATGTAAGTAAAACCATGTAAGTAAGCCCAAAGTGTTATGTAAGTAAAACCATGTAAGTAACGTTGTTAAAGCCCAAATATTGGATACAAATAATGGGCCCAATTTTAAGAAGAGAATAGAGAGACAAGGTATATCATGGAGATGGAGCTTAATTCAATTCAATTTCGATTCCATTCTACATGAGTCTTTCTCCGATTTCCAGGAGCTCAATTCAAATCTCTCACTCTTGTCTTCTCCGATTGCTCCCTTCCAAAGCAAGCCTCTTAGAATTCACTGTCTTATAGATTGATGTTCAGGAATCGGAACCTAGTGATGGTTTGATTGCTGCGACTTAGAAACTCGAATTACGTAAATTGGAATTAGGGTATAATAAGAAAATCGTTTCGTGTATCAATGGAGGGTGGAGTCGGATTGACGACGACGCAGCCACAGGGCCAGCCGCCTCCGGTGGCAGAGAAGCTTAATCAGAAAGTGGTACAGCTTCTGAATCTGGAGTCGGTGAAGACACGAGCTGTTAGCTTGTTTAAGGCCATTTCTCGGATCCTTGAAGATTTTGACGCTTATGCTCGAACCAACACCACTCCTAAATGGTCCCATCCTCTGATCCTTGAAGATTTTGTCTTTCTTTGTAGTCTGTGGATTCCTAATAGGATGCTTTACAGGCAGGATATTCTAGGGCAATATTCGATGGTGAATCTCGAGCTCTTTAACATTGTGGAAGCGGTGAATGAAGTTTCCCAGGCGTTTGTTGTGCTTCCAAAGAACGTCAATGCTGAAAATGCTGCAAGTATGGTCTTTCTTTTTGTTGTTAAAATGGATGCTTTGCTTTGGAATTAGTTGAATCCTGAGGTTTAGTGATACTGCAGTTTTGCCGGTTATGTTGTCCTCTAAATTACTTCCGGAGATGGAAACTGACGATAATTCCAAGAGAGAGCAGTTGCTTCAAGGCGTTCAGAATTTGCCTATACCTATGCAAATTGAAAGGCTAAGAGTGAGTGTATGCATTTTTGCTTGTGTTTTCTCCATTCAGGCTTTTGCTGATTTTGGAATAACACTCGTGTTGTCTTCTTTTCCAGGCGAGAATAGATATGATTGAAGCAGCTTGTAAGAATGCAGAGGGAGTATTAGGTGAGACCCGTAAAGCCTATGGATTTGGCACCCGTCAAGGCCCATCTATGCTTCCAACTATGGACAAAGGTCAAGCTGCAAAGATTCAGGAGCAGGAGAATATGCTACGAGCTGCTATAAATGACGGTGCAGGTAAAACGACTTTTTAATCTTCCTTTACATTTATCGAATCACCACTTGATTTTGGTAAGACTCATGCAAAGTTTTGGTGTTTGCTAAAAATTTTTAAATTTTGTGTTTCAAGGAACAAGACTGCCCCCAGACCAGAGACGGATAACCACTGCACTTCCACCACATCTGGCAGATGTGCTAATCGTCAACGATGCAGGTAGCAATTTCATTGATCCCTCTGGTAGAAGTAAACCCTGCAAGCTTGTTCTTTGCTTCTCTATTTCGAATGGCATTCCGGCGCTACTCATGGTTCTGAAATTCTATTTCGTTAGGCAAGAATGCATTTCATGTGGCATCAAACAACATCAACAGTCAAGGAAATATGATGCAGGTTAAAATCACACAACTAGTTTATCCTCTCTAGTTTTGATGATTATTACTTATGTTAGAATCAGTGTCTATGGAGGCTCATGTCTTTGAGTGGTTTTAGGTTTCTGGAACGCAATTTATGGGAAGATCAGCTGCATCTCCATCTGGTGCTAACTTTGATAACACAAGATCTCCCTTGCCATATTCCAATTCTCCTCAATCGACGGGTATGGTTAATGCACCTTCGCCTCAGCAACACCAGCTTCAACAGCAGCAAAGGTCAAAATTAATGCAGTTGCCTCAACATCAACAGCAACTACTTGCACAACAACAACAACAGCTCAGGCAATCTTCTATGCAAGGATTGGGTCAGGTAGGCTCTAACATTTTTCCAGATACATTGGTAGCAACTGATAGTTCTTCACTTGACTTGCTCTTATTCGTTACTTCGAACCTTAAACTCATATATTTGCATCAACTTTGTTTAGGGTCAGATATCATCACTTCAAGATTTGCATGGGCAAACTCAGCAGAAGTTTCAGACGGTAAATTCCTGTTATAGCTTCTCTTTCTAGTTTCTACATCCGTTGCCAGAATGGAACATAACATATTTAGGCATTGAGAGAGACATTCTGTAAAGCAAGAAAATTATACCTATCCTTTGTCAATTTTTGAATCATTATAAAGTAGTTATTGAAATAACTGAAGAGGGCTAATTGTATATATGCAAGTTTAGCCCAGTAAATGATTCATAATCCACAAATTACCCTAGATTTCGGTAGAAGCTTTTGTATAAAGTAGTTGTGACAGTTCAGAGTTTGCAACAGTAGAATCAAATGAAACACAGCGTTTGTCTTGATAGTCCTTTACACTTCTTTAAGTGTTGTTTTTTTTTTTAAATCCCAGCTACACGGGCAACATCAAATGCCATATTCACAGCCAATGGGCCACCAACAATTCCAAGCTAGACAGCTCTCAGGTGGACATATTCAGCATAGCATGTCTCAAGGACAGCTTAATCCAGCGATGAACCGTCACTTGAACCAGTTTTCAGGTGGAGCCAATAGCAATATGTTTACTTCTGCACAAGGCTCCCCAAGTAGCCAAATGGTCTGTCACCTCTCTTTAAAACTTCTTAATCTACGAATTCTTTTTTTTTTTTTTTTTGCTTATTTTAATTTGGTGTTGACTTTATACTGAATTCTAGATACCAAACATGTCATCGATACAATCTCAGACACTTGTTCCTAGAATGCAGGTTAGCTCAAAACACATTTCTTATTGGAGAAAAAAATAATCCATATTTCATTTCGTTGAACATCATCTTAGTCTAATATCTCTCTTGTTTTTATTGTTCTTAGCAATATGGAGTTTCGGGAACCAATCCTCAAAGAAGCCATGCTTCTCAAATGTTGGGTGACCAGAGTAAGAAACTAAACTCTCTAAAACATGCTTTCGTGCATTAAAACCGTTTCGACAAAACTATATTCACTTGCCGTTTCTTGCAGTGTATAACAGTAGTGGAATGATGCAAACGCAATCACAGCAACCGCAACAGCAGCAACAACAGCAAGGAATCTATGGAGGAAATATGCAGACCAATCAGCAAACTCTACAGCCCAACATGTTGCAGAATGCACAACAAAGACACCAAAACCCTCAATAACCCCCTTTACTGTATTTTTATGACTTTGGGCTTATTTTAGACCATTTTGGGCCCTGGTCCAACCCCATCTATTTATGACATATGGGTTATTATTTATAGTATGGGCCCTGCCCAATTTCAAGATTGCCAATTTTCTTTTTCTTCGGTACTTCACTACATTGTTACCTCTCTATTCTTACAACTTGCGGTCTGAAGCATGAAGTAGAGATCGGACGGTCGAGGATTGGTTTAGTACTGACACGTTCTCTAGTGATCGACACGTATTGATGATGTGGACATCTGTAAGCCGTTGATGGGTACAAGACAAAACGCAGACGCGTTTCTGTTGTACACGGGACTCGAGACAGCGACGTGTCGATCAAGTTACTGCATTAAACAGAGAGCTCAAAACTGCGACTCGGAAGTTATTTAATTTTCTGACAGTTTGTTTTGTTCTTGTCACCTTATTTCTTTTTTTTGTTCTCTTTTTTTTGGCGCCATGTAGTATTTTGGTTTTCCATGTTTAAACTGATTTAAAGTTTATATCTCGTTTTCAAATTGGAAATGAGTGGTTCAATCGCATTTCTAAACTGGATATTTAGAAAATACGTTTTCAGTGCCTTTTGAAATGGCGAAACGGATAACGGACGGAGTTTCTATATAATTAAGGGGATTAAATGCTAACATTAAAAGAAAACAAAGAAAGTCTCCGTTGAAAATGCTAACAAATGGAGACTTGCAGATTCTCTTGTCTCTCCTCTCTGTAATACTATTGTCATAAAGTAAATGCAACAATGCTTTTAAAACAAAACAAAACAAAAAATGAAAAGTAATTGCAAACACAGAGAAATAAGCTTTGGGGATGAAACGGACAGATAGATAAAGGAGACAAAGCAGAAGTTCTGAAATGTCTCTTTAGCTTCAAATGTTAAATTCGAATATTGGAATACAGCTTTGCAACATCCTCCACCGTCGTTTCGTCCATAACAAGACACATTTTATCATAGTACATGGAATTATTGATGAACTTTTCCACGTGTTTACGTTTTCAAAAACATTTATTCATGATTTTATGTTTTTTTTTAAGTCTTATTTATCAGATTTCCATGTTTTTGTTCAAATTACAAATAGTTCATTTCAGACGAAACTTAATTAGTTTACCAAATTTCACCTAATGTTGTATACTTGTATGCCCTATTGCTTGTATTTTTGACCAAAACGGATAAATTATAGTACATATATCGTCTACGATTTTGAGTATGTTAAATATATATATATTGGTGCCTAACTACATAAACTACGAAATTTTTGACCTATTCTCCAGACTATCTACATTTTATAAGTTACATTAAAATACTAAACAGCAGATTGGTTAAAAATACCAAACGGATGTTACTTTTCTTTAGTTAATTCTATCGCATGGATAAATGATTAGAGAGACAAAAATACACAAAATTAATTCTTTTGCTGATGTGAACTCATAAAAGAGTAACCAATTTTTTTTTTTAAACATACAAATTACAAATCAATATAAATTCCCAAATCAAATAAAACACATCAGCATAAGAATGATTTTTGGTTTGCAAATTTTTCATGCAAAGCCATTTCCGTTTCAAACGCAAGATAAATACTCTCAATCTCTCATAAATCATATGATTGTCGCTTGAAAACAATTCTCCACCAGCCATTACGTACAATGCAAAATTAATTACATTCAGAAATAATAATAGTCACTTCAAAATAATCATGGAATAACATTCTTCCAAAAATTATGATCATTTTTTACGGTAAGAAAAAAACTATTATACACGCCATAAGAGAGTGCATAATTTGACTAGGCTTTTTGTTTTGATGATTAACACCCAAGAAAACTGATCATAAAAGTATAAACACAGGTAGGTAACTATTTATTTATTTCTAAAAGTGGGATACTTGCAAGATTTATCATTGCTTAGAATGTTCATAACATCACATGGGCATTGCTTTCATTGTTTTTTACTGATTCTCTGTGACCAACATTTCCAATATTCACTAACAATTTCAACGTTTCAAATAATTAACTGTTCTTCAAAACGAAAGTCATTAACTTCAAATCACACAAAGCACATAAAATTCATACTTGGTAACAAAACACTTATCAAGCCCATAAATTAAGCTTGATCATAAGCAGCCCTTACAGTACAACTTGCCAACAAACAAAGAAAAAACGACCCAAACAGAAAAAAACACTTGGCGGGTGGTGAAATTCCTCCTCTGCCACTACCCACTTCTGCTTTTTTAAACCAAAGACAGAAGTTAAAAAAGACAAATGAAAAAGTGATAAAACAAAGGAACCCATTGGCGTGAAACATAAGAGGTCCCTTTGCTAAAAGATTACACAAACCACTCGACTCAATACTCGCTAAAACCCTAGACCTTAAAATGACTAAAAGGGCCCTCATAAAATAAGCCCTTTTCTCCATTTTACCCTCAGAGTCAAAGAAGAAGTTTTTAAGGCTCTCCAATTAAAACCCTTAAAAGCCTAAAACCCTCTCGCTCTCTCTCTCCTCCATCCTCAACACCACACAAACCCTAAACTATATAATAAACGGAGTTTTAATATGGAATTAAAACAGTTTCAACGGAATTGACGACCGGTGAAGGTCTGTCCGAACGACCAGCTAGCCGGAGCAATGTTGTTGGAGACGACTGTTCGACCATCACTAGCAGTAACCTTAAAGGACAAAGCTTGACCGTTCAAAAGGTTGTTGCTTTGCCAGTTCTGCCCCCAGTTCCTTGACATTTGTTGCCATCTAGTCCTCGAACCTTTAACCGCCACCGAGTGAACATCTCCGGCGCCGCCAACATTGGTGACCAAGACAAGGTTGAAGTATGAGTGACCATTGATTGTGAATCTTATTCCTCCCCTTCTCTTACACGGAACCCTACAAATGAAAACAAATCAACCATTAGTAAAATTTACAGCCTTCAGAGGAACAAACTATGACACACACAAAACTGCATAAAGCCTGAAACTTTTTCGAACGGTAAAAATAAAATGTTCAATTCTGTTAGAAAACAGAGCAAGAAATAAGATTTATCACACCAAAGTTAAGAAATTGCATATAAAGATAGAAGCTTTACCAACAACAAATAGTAAAAATGTGTGTTTACCTTCTGTAGGAGACAGGGACAACACCAGCTTTGTAATGAGCAATGCGTTGGAAAATAGGCTGAGAGAGATCGAAATGGTGAAGCGGTGGGTTACACCAACCACCGGCGTTATTCGGCAACGCGTTGTTCGGAGGACAGAAGTTTGTGGCCGTGACAACGATTGCACCAGGCAAACACCACGCGCCGTCGCTCTGACACCGGATCTCGAAACACGCGCCGCAGCTTAGCCCGTTGTTGAACAGTGCGGTGCTTAACGCCGCCGTGTTGGTTCCGTATCCTTGACTGTAGAGATTACCGTACCCACAAGCACCACCTAGACATCAACAACAGCAAAAAAAATGAGAAACTTTTCTAAATTTCAAGACTTCACTGAGTCATTTCATCGAAAAAATTGACTTTTTTTTAGTCACTTACCCATAGTTCCTGAAGCATCACTACCACCATAGAAAGTGGCATGAGCATTGACCCAACTAGCGTCATAACCGTGAACAGAGCATACCATTGCAGACAAACCCATCATAAAAATCCCCAAAAGAGCCATTTTTCCCCTGAAAATTGAACAAATTTCAAACAAAATTAGAATATTGGAGACAGTTTGCAAGAAAGAAAGAAAACCGTTAAATGTGGATTGGAAATGTAGGTAGAGCGAGAGAGATGTTTACATGAACATTCTCTTATGAGAAAGAGCAGAGCTTTACAGAGAGTGAGAAAATGGAATGTGAAGGAGAGAGAGAGTTGCTTTGATGGGAGTGAAGAAGAGGGTTATGGTTGGAGGGGGAATTTATAGAATGTTCGACCCTTCATTTACTGTTTTTACCTTTTTACTGCTTTTAACCTTCTTCCTACGGATTTTTATTTTATTTATTTATTTATTTATAACTATAAACATCCTTAAAAAAATGTTTGTTACATAGGGGTTTGATTTATTTGCAGTAGAAGATATTTTGAAAACCGGTTTTAATGGTATATTTGCAAGGTCTTGCGGACGATTACCATAAAAAAAAAATATTATTTTTTAGGAGTACTATAAAAACTCGATAGTTATTGTATCTTTTAAATAATCATTTAGTGTTTTGCTACATTTGTCTGCTTGTTCATCTGTTCAACACGTACGTTCCATTACTGCATTTAAGCTTGCAAGTGTTTTTTTTTTTTAAAACATTTAGTTTGTGAGTTTTCATTTTACGTTTAAACACCAAATTTACATTTGCACAATATTCTGTCTTTTGTTTGGTTCCTCAGGTAAATTTCAAATTCAAAATTTAACATTCCAACTTTGTATTTTTACCAATGCTTAAATTTTACAAAAGTACGAATCTCCACCAAAGCAACAACAAAAAAAGGTCGGATTCTTTTTCTATCGTGTGATAATTTCTATGTAGGTATTCAAATGTTTTTAAATATTAAATCTTATTAGAAGCTAAAAAACTTTTGAAAAGAAAGAAAAAAAAAAAGAATCACGAGCCTCGCTTAATAAATTTGGAGAAAGAGAAAGCACATGGGAGAGTTGCAGACGGTTTTGATGGTTGGAACTTTGGAAGCGTGTGACTCTTCTTCTGCAGCTTTCTTCCTTTAGTATCTTTATGGGCCATCTCCACTTTTCTTCTTCTTTATTTTCCTTTCTTAACAATAGAAACATTTTTCATTGTCTCCATTTTGTTGAATACATTCACTTAGTTTATTCATTTATTATCATTTTGTATACATTTGTGGAGTATTTAAAAATAATATTATTCGTATCTTTTTTAATGCTGCGTCACGGTTAACGATATCTACTATGATTTGCTGTCTGGAGCCTCGTCATTAACACCGTGATTTTTGGAGAAATCATGTTTATATTATAGTATTAATGTTATCTAACCCTTATATAATTATTAAGAACCATAATCACTAGTTCCAATGTGGTCAAAACATTTTTACTCCGAACAAAATAATCTCCTCATCTTGACTCATCAACATAAGTGGTAAAACAATTGGCTTCCTCAAAAGCTGTGAAAATTCGTTTGCTCTTATGTCTTTTTGCAGTGTTTGCAGTCTCTTCAGTCCTCAAATATGTTTTCTTACTTTTTCCTCCAAAAGATGTTAGAAACAAAATAAATTACAACCCATCTTTTTCCTGACATTTATGTTTTTTAACTGTTGGTCCGACTATGCTTTGACTGTGAAGCTGTAATACCACGACGAAAGTTGCATATTATTAATTGTCTTTTTTTTCGAATTTGTTATTTGACCTCTAATTTTCAAGTAGGTATACTACTAAATTACATGCGTTTAATTATGTTATCTCCCTAACGACCACTAACCGTTCAACTATATTCAAGATTTCCAAAGGCAGCCTTTTGCTGTTCCTCTTCTTTTGAGGAATTTGTCTATTACTTTATTAGATGTTATCTGGACCGTTGATAATATTAAATCAACGGCTAAGATTGATCGCCTGCTGCACGAGCACAGATGATTCGCGCTCCGCCACAGAATTCATGTATTTAGCAAATTGCCATTTCTTTTTGACCAAAAAAAAAAAGCAAATTGCCATTTCCCTAAGTCCAGCTTAATTTTAACATAGATTTAATTACGTAATTTTTTGTGTATAGTAGGAATCATCTAACTACTTGTAATTGTAAGTTATATCCAATTATCAAGAGATTTTCATTACAAAAATTATGTCATTTATTTTTGGGTTATTTAATAATTATGTAAGTTGGTCCTCATATTTAATTCAAGCCAATACTTCCCTCCCTTTTTTTAATAAGAGTTGAAGGTTGTTTTCTATTGTAATATAAATGTTCTGATTTTTATTGTATTTTAATTAAAAAATAAAAAGATCATCAGATCGATTACAAAATTATCAAAGGCAAATATCGCATACTCACAAGTCACAATATTGAATGACACCTAGATGAATATTATGTTATGGTTTTGAATCTAAATAAAAATATAAGCATAGGTATATAAGCATGGGTATATGTTGATACTTCTTCCGTTTCACAAAGAGTGTCGTTCTGACACTTTTTTTTTGTTTCAAAAAGAATGTCATTTTAGAATTCCAATGTAATTTTTAACATAAAATACCATTTTTAACCTCAATAAATTCAGAAAATTAATTATAAATATAATTCCAAAAATCATTTTCTGCAAATTAATAAGGGTATAAGAGACCTTTTATCTTATTTCATAATTTGTGTGAAGAATGTCAGAACGACACTCTTTGTGAAACGGAGGGAGTATATGAATATCATACAAGTGACAAAATGGTAATTTATATCGGAAACTCGGATTTTATTAGATTAGTCGAAAATATAACTGAGTTCGTTTATTTGAATAATAAACGAATTAAGACTTAGAAAACTTAAGAAGCAATGAATGTTTTGAGTTCTCAGTCTCTAAGTCTCTCATGAATTTTTTGTGTCGATTCCTCTTCCTTTATATATGCCTCCTAAGTCGGTTTTCACGGGTCTTTTCTGCGATATGAAACCGAGAAAATTTTCTTTTTCTCTCGGCAATTTCCTCTCTTCTCGGAGATTTCCTTTTTTTTGTTCGGAAACTTTCCTCTTTTATTTGAACTCGGGAAACTTCTCGATTCTTTAGAGAAGTTTCGACCGACTTCGGCTTATCGGGCTATGTTCGGCTCAAAAGCTCGCCCGACCCAATTTTTCCGGTATAATTCATTCGTAAACCGGACTTAATTCGTGTTGATCTTGGTTTGTACCGGAGAAAACTGAGGGTGCGGTTTTCACCTCCAACAATTCAACACGTCATAAATTTCAAAATATTCACCAAAAGAAAATTTCTTTAAAATTTCATTACACCAGAATGTCAGAAGTTAATTTTGTATGGACAGAGTAAAAATTTAACATGTTTATAATTCTTATGAAAAGTAACAAAACGGCATGTATATTGGCACTCGTGTTTTCAAGTTTTGACGTTGGTTTGGCCGCTTGACTATAAAAAAGTAATGATGGGTTTAATTGATAACAGTATAAATTAGGTAGCAGATGATCAAATTTAGAATAACTTCAAGCTACCGACAACTATTGTTAGGCAACTAATCCCTCGAGTTTTTGTAGCATGAATCAGGTTTAATAATTGGAGAAAAGGTCATATGTTAATCATGATCAGGCACATGACTATCACTTTTGTTTCACTGCTCGTGAAAACCGGAGAGGTCAAGTTATAAAACCATTCTTTATAAAAACAAAAAACAGAGTAGCTTAAAGCATAATCAACGAATATTGTATATGACAATCAATGGCAATAATATAATACATTTTAAGTGCTTTCCTGCGGATATATTGAAGAGTAAACATTTTGTTGAACTTCAATTATTTTATCTATGTGCTCGTGTCCTTGCGTTTTTTGTTTGTGATATGTGAAGTTATTTTTGTTTTTAATAGTTACGATTTTTTTTTTTAATTTTATGACATGCACAGACGTGTGTACATGGACCATGGTCACGAAAAAGGATAACGGACAAGGTAGGTATCACGAGATTTACGAGGAAACACTAATCTAAGGTCGTCTTAAGATATTATCAACCTTTAAATTAAACCTAACATATTATTTATTTGGTTCTACCATTTTCTCAATTAGTTACCTCAAAGAACGGTACAATTGTTTTTTAAACTCATGTGAGTATTCGTTGTTGAAAGATACTTACTGATAACTCAATTTGAATGTTTTTAGACAAGATTTACTATTTGTTTTTTACGTAGAGACTTGAAAACGTGGGATCTATGTTTAAAATGGAGTAAGGATTAAAAACACATGCTAATCTCATACTAACTTATATAAAATTGTATACTAATCCCAATTGCAACCTTATAATAGCTAGCTGTAGAAAAACCAAAAATCATACTCCTGACCTTATAATAGCTAGCTGTAGAAAAACCAAAAATCATACTCCTGACCAATTCAAATAAAAATGAAATATAAAGTCTAAACCCTGTCCACAAATTCCCAAAGACTCATATTGAAAAAAGAAGAAATCAATTAAACGAAAACTATTTATCCAAAAGCCTAGAGAAACTAGAAAATTGTTATTTACACTAAGTAAAGAGACTAGCAGACACCCACTCGTAGGGCGAGAGGGAGATAAGAGGCCTACTATAACATGGGTAAAGCGAAGTATGTCTTGTAACAGCTTGAAATCACAAAATCTTATGTACCCACTTCATATCTTTAAAAAGTTATACTTTGTGATTTAAGAAAATGTTTTTATTTGAACCAAAAAAACGGAAAATGTTTTCATGTTCAGAAAAAACTTTATCTACGCAAGAAATGTCATTTCAACTGGTTTGAATGTTTTTACCTCTTTTAGTGTATATGTAAAATTAACTTATTTGGCTGTTGAAGACAGAACTTTTAATAGTTTTTATGATCAACATTTTCATGAAATTTTTCAATACAATTATGAACGTTTCGAAGCTTTAATCTTTTGAGTTCCTCCTAATTAAAAATTGTGTTGTTTAATCGGTACGAATTACGCTTTATATTCGTATCTTCTTATTAAATAGTTGATATTTGTTCGTCGTTCCCGTGATCAAAGCTTATGAAAAGGAGAATAGTATAAAGAAATCCTGATTACAAAAGATTATGAGACTCACTTTCCATCTAATATATTTCAAATCGTAAAGTAAAATAAAAATATTATGAAAAAGATGACAACAGAAAAAACAAACTGTAATAAAATTCTACAATATAGGTCCGTGGCCGTCAGTAGCCCACTACCGACAGTAAATATAGCAGGCTTACTATACATAGTTATCGAAATATAATTGTCGAATTATTTATTTTAACAAGTGTGCTATCGTAGATGGTAGAGTTTATTTATTGTCTGCCTAACTATATAATAGAAGAATCAATTGATTTATTTGTGAGTTTTTTTTGTCATATATTTCCAATTTTCCCAAAAAACATTTATAACTATAAGACTTACGGAAACTAATTCCATACGTAAAATGTCGTTTGATAGAAGGCTCGGCTATATAGGCATGCAAAAGTTTAATTAGTTGTAAATGACAATTTTTTTTTTCAATATTCAAATATGCTAATCATATTATGAAATGCCAATGACATGTTTAAGTTTAGATATGTTGGTCGTCCGAACTTGAAATCTGACTGTTTTTTCTTCCCCATTTATTTTTTTTTGGTTGCTAAAATCCCATTGATGTTGTTATTATATAACTATTCGAATTGAATCTACAATTTGAATGTAATGCCGACAAAACTGAACAATGCTAAAAGGTGACCACATTACAAACAAAAAAAATCGTCTAAATACTTTATAGAAACACATAGAATATATATATATACATACATATATATATATATATACATATGTTGAACACATGGAGGGCATTATTAATGTATTGGTAATTCGGATTAGTCCAGTAAATTTTGTTTTTAATTGATTAATTTCGTTTTTCTTAGCAACAAGTAATTATCCGATTATGATTAGTTTAGTCACATATCTGATCTCGATCGACTCGGCCAATAATTCGATACCAATAAAACTGGTACGAAAAAATTAATCATGGTATGATTATTACTTTCTTCATTCTTTGCAAATTTTTTGGTCAACTCATTTCATATTTTTCGTCACGTTCAGAGTGATTCTAGATCAATTTGAAATTTCATATTATTATGAATTGCTTATTTAAACAGGACTACGTGTCGTCACGACGCGAGAAAGAGCAAAGAGCTCACACGTCACCTTTCACTTGCTCTAGGCCTTGAGGAGATTTACGTGAATTAGCCCAAAGTCTATTATTCATTTTTCATTCTCTTCAATTTTGAAAAACCAAAAGCCACAGGAAAACAATCGGCGAGGCTGTTGCATTTTCCGGCAAGACGACGACTTCTCCGACGGATTGACCGATCATCGCTTCTACTCTCCGGGTAGAGTTTCCTGTTTTCAGTTTCCGTTTCAGTATTCATCAAATGCTACCAATTTTTGTGGATTGGTCGTGTGAGAATCTGATTTTCGTTGGTATTAACTGCAGACTGCAAAGAAACGAAGTTCTTATGAAACTTTTGTTGTTGTGTTGCTTCTTCTGAAAATTTGTTGATTGTAGTCATATTCTGCTTTAGGGTTTCTGTTCTTCTTGCTGATGTAGGAACTAGGGATACATTTGAGTCTATCTGGAAACTAAGATGCCCTAATTTGGAATTACCTGTTTTCTTCAGGTTCCTTTAGCTTTTCGATTCAAGTAGACTGTTGCTAAAATGGCTTATACGAGGAACATTTATGGTAAGAGATATAAGCTTTAGTTGATTTTTCAAATTTTGATGTTACTTGAATCGGTGGAAGTTTGAGAAACTGAGAGCTTTTTTGCTGATGATATAGATAATAATGGTGTTGGATCAGAAGACATTGTGTATCGTTACTTGTGTCCTTTGAGAAAAGCAGGGAGGATTATCGGCAAGGGTGGTGAAATTGCGAAACAGATAAGGTCTGAGACTAATGCAAGCTTGAGGATAAACAAGGCTTTGCCCGGTTGTGACGAGCGTGTTGTTACTATATATTCGACTAGCGAGGAGACGAATCATGTTGAAGACGATGGAGAGTTTGTTTGTCCTGCTTTTGATGCACTTTTCAAGGTTCATGATATAATTGTGGCTGAAGAACTCGATACTGATGATTATTATGACGATGATTATAACGAGAAACAAACAGTTACTGCGAGGATGCTGGTGCCTTCAGATCAAATTGGTTGCCTTATTGGGAAAGGTGGACAAGTGATCCAAAAACTGCGTAATGAAACCAATGCTCAAATTCGTGTTATCAATGATAACCTGCCCATTTGTGCTTTGGCTTTGAGCCATGACGAGCTTCTTCAGGTAATGCAACCATTTTCTCAAGCTTTGAGTTAGTGTGGTTATTGATTTGTCCTAATGAATGTTGTTGGTTGACTCTCAGATAATTGGAGATCCCTCAGCTGTTAGAGAGGCTCTTTATCAAATTGCCTCTCTGCTTTGTGATAATCCGTCGCGGTTTCAAAACCATTTTCTGTCTTCCTCAAGTGGCCTGCATCAATCCGGTGGAATGCTAATGAGTCCTGCGTTGACGAGCTCTCACAAAAATTACTCTGCGTCAAGAGATGTTGCCGATGCAAGAGAGTTTTCTATCTGCTTGATATGTCCAGCTGAAAATGTTGGAGGTGTGATAGGAAAAGGCGGCTCTTTCATAAACCAGATTAGACAAGACTCTGGTGCGACCATTAGAGTAAATACTTCAGAAACCGATGAAGATGATGACTGCATTATTTTCATATCATCAACGGAGGTAATGCAAACCTTTTCTTCTTTATGTGAATCTGATTCTGAATATGTGAGATGTTAAAACCGAATTGATGTACAACAGTTCTTCGAAGATCAATCCCGAACAGTGAATGCAGCATTACGCTTACAAACTCGGTGCAGTGAGAAAGTGGGGAAAGATTCAACTGATTCTGCAATCTCCACTCGTGTGCTTGCTCCTAGTTCTCAAGTAGGGTGTCTCATTGGAAAAGGTGGAGCTACTATTTCCGAGATGAGGAGTGTCACAAAAGCGAATATCCGCATTTTTCAAGGCGAAGATGTACCAAGAATTGCTCGTGAGGACGAGGAGATGGTTCAGGTAAAATAATTTCTTGACCCTTTATCGCTTAATGCTTCTCTATTTTGTCTGTTTTAGAGTGACTTCTCAATAAGGTGAAATAGTATCTTTTTTTTTTTTTCTTGCGGTATAGATAACAGGAAGTCTTGATGCAGCAATCAAGGCTCTTACGCAAGTGATGTTGCGATTAAGAGCTAATATATTCGACATGGATCGTGGTCTTGTCTTGCTTCCAACATTCTTTCCTTATATCTCTCAGACAACAGAGACTTTGAGCAAGCCTAAGCACAGAAAACGCGAGAACCATTCTCATGGGTTCTCTCACTTTTGATTCTGAACTTCAACGCGAGAACCAACCGTGTTTTGATGGTTGGTGTTCTATGTTTAGATACTTTAAACACTTTTGATTCTGGGCTAGTTTTATAACACTTGGCGTTTTTGGGGATCCAAGGAAAAGAAGATTCGGGTTCTTTTTATTATTTTTCAGTCTGAAGAACCTATAAATGCATGAAGCTCTTAAAAGAATGATGATATATTTTTTTTTTGTAAGGTTCATATAATTATCACAAGAGTTTGTCATTTTTTATTTTCCATACTGTAAGAATAGCGGTTTAACACTTTCAGTTTTAAATTCGAAAGAAATAAGAATCCACAATTTAATTCACAAAAAGTCAAAACAACGTTTATGGCTTTGGTGAAAAGACCCATAAGAAGATGTGAATTGGCAAGCTTCAAAAAGGTTGTAAACTTACAAATTTGGGAATCCATGTCAAAATCAAACAAAACCAAGTGTATTTTAGAACTAAATCAATCTATATAAAATGTTTTTAAAATACATAGACCAACAATTAGACAAGGTTCTCCTCTCGATTATGCTAATCTCATTGTTAGATACTTTTATAATGTTCAGGAATTCTTATGTTAATTCCAATTTCTCTGTATATTTTGTTTTTTATGTTTGAGGTTTTCGTTTTCTTATTGTTTGTTTATCATGGTATGTTATTTTTGATTGATGTCTCTTTACATTATAGTTTTCCTTTGAAGCCAGAAAAATATCGGTTACCATTCACTGATAAAATACACATTTGTGATGCAGTGATAAAATGTCATGACTCTGACCAATAATAATACGAGGGTGATGTAATAAACACGTTGACGTTACCAATGATATAAGTCTGTCACATAACTAGGTCACAGCCAGTGATTTTTATAGTCGTCGTGTATCTTGATTTTCTTTCCTAACTCTCCTTTCTTCCTCTTCTCACCACTTTTATTTTTTTTGTTTTTTTAACAGATCTGGTGGAATTTATCTCTTTGACCCCACCACTGGATCTCTCTCTCTATACATTCATCAGAGATACAGAGTAAAAACGAAACACGAAGATCAGTTATGAAGAATTGTGAGAGATTCGCTAATCTCGCTCTCGCAGGTTCTAGTTTCTTTTCACTCACATATATAATTGTTAGCAAATTCACTCGTTTCTACATATGTTCTGGGTTTCAATTTTCGATTGGTTTTACGATTATGTGATTGTTTCGTGTGATGGGTTCCTTTTGATGAGCATGATCAATTGGTTTCACTTTTGGATTGGGGTTCTATTTTGGAATCTGTTGGAGGAGTTCGATTATTTTTATTTTGTTTTGGGGGTAACGTAAAGCTGTGGCAGATCAGTCGGGTTCCTCTAGGGTTTAGAGTTGGTGGGTGTGATTGATTGTTTTCAAAATTTTGGTACAATCTTCAAAGTTGAGGTTTTTTTTTTGTGTTTGTATGGTTTCAGGTTTGACATTGGCACCACTCGTTGTGAGAGTGAATCCCAATTTGAACGTTATTCTTACGGCATGTCTCACAGTTTATGTGGGTTGCTTTCGTTCTGTGAAGGATTCTCCTCCAACAGTAAGAAGACGCAACCATTTTATCAGTTTCTCCAGTGAAACCATTTTTCCCAATTCGATCTAAATTGTTTTTCTGTTTTGTTTGGAGTGGTGTAGGAGACGATGTCCAAGGAACATGCCATGCGTTTCCCGTTGGTTGGGAGTGCTATGCTTCTCTCACTCTTCTTACTGTTCAAGTTTCTCTCAAAGGACTTGGTCAATGCTGTTCTAACAGCTTACTTCTTTGTTCTTGGGATTGTCGCTCTTTCGTATGTTTAATCTAAATTATACTTGTGTTTTCTTCCGTGTATCTGTGGTGGCCTTTCCTTTGCCTAATACACAATTTTGTGTTTTGCAGAGCGACATTGTTGCCCGCTATCAGAAGATTTCTGCCTAATCCTTGGAATGACAATCTTATTGTCTGGCGTTTTCCTTATTTCCGATGTATGTAACTAAGTTTTACTTTCTTTGGTAGCCTTTTCTCTCATTATATTATGACATGATGATCATCCAAGTTCCTTTGAATCTCTACAAATCTGTATTTTCTTACTCTATCTAGTTATTGTTTTATTTATTTGGTTGAAATTTGCTTGTGTCATGCAGCACAATGTTTTTTTCCAATTCCTGACACCTATTTCTTAAGCAGCTTTGGAGGTAGAGTTCACAAAGTCCCAAGTCGTTGCAGGAATCCCTGGAACCTTCTTCTGCGCGTGGTATGCTTGGAAAAAACACTGGCTGGCTAACAATATCCTTGGCCTTTCCTTCTGCATTCAGGTTAGTTCCTTTCCAGGAATATAATATAATAATTCAATACATTGTGTGGCTTCATTATGTTGTTTTTTTGAACTGGAATCACTGTTAGTTAGTGTTGTTATGTGTGTGTTTTCCTAATTAACGATGTGGCCAATACAGGGAATTGAGATGCTCTCTCTTGGCTCATTCAAGACTGGTGCCATCCTTTTGGTAAGAAAGAAATATCTGATCTGCATCTTTTGAATGCTATTCTTGAAAATTGTTTTGGAATGTTTAGACGATCACAAGACAAGTTTTTGCAGATGTCTCAATCATTTGGTATTTTTGTTTATACCTGAATTGCAGGTAGGACTATTTTTCTATGATATTTTCTGGGTTTTCTTTACTCCGGTCATGGTTAGTGTTGCCAAATCCTTTGATGCTCCGATAAAGGTTAGTAAAAGTTTCTCGAAAAGTACATAAAAGAAAATTAATCTGATTTGTTCTTTGTGATTTTCTTAGTAATCTCATTGTTGCAATTTCTTCTCAGCTTTTATTCCCTACTGGCGATGCTCTAAGACCCTATTCCATGCTTGGACTTGGTGATATTGTCATTCCGGGTATGTCCTCTAAGACGAATGCATAGTCCTTAACTCAATGCATAATGTTCTAAGACCCTATATGAATATGTGACATTAGTTTATGTTTTCCTATAGGTATATTTGTTGCACTGGCTCTAAGATTTGATGTGTCAAGACGCAGTCAACCACAATACTTCACAAGTGCATTTGTGGGATACATTGCCGGAGTTGTCCTAACGATTGTAGTCATGAACTGGTTTCAAGCAGCACAGGTCAGTTTTTTTTTTTTGTGTGTCTTAGCTTTTGCAACCCATTATTGCAACCTAATTTTTAGGTTTTTGGGATTTTCTCTGATGGATTCTGTGTTGTGTTTTGCTTTTGTTTCAGCCTGCTTTGTTATACATTGTCCCAGCCGTCATTGGGTTCTTGGCTTCTCACTGCTTTTGGAACGGTGACATCAAACCGGTTTGTTTTCTCTTCCTTTTAGCTTTTAATTGTTTCAAACGCAGTTTTTGCATTTGCGTTTACATTTGTAGTAACATTCTCTGTGTACTCGGGCGTTTATATTTAATCAATTAAGAAAGGAATTTTGTGAAACATGTTTATGGTCGTGGGTTAAATGTGAAGGCTTATGCAAACACAGAGTCGAAATCAGGAGGGGTTTATTTATTTTCTTGCAGTTGATGGCGTTTGATGAATCGAAGACTACAGAGGCGGAAGTTAACAAAACTCATGAAGAATGAAGACAATGGAGAAAGAAGGGCAGAGGAGAAATATTTATACACACATAAATGTGTTTTCATATATGAAAAAAAACGAAGGAAAACAGTTTTTGTTTCCAGTGATCATCAGTCCCTTCAAATGGTTCACCTTTTTGTCTTTTTTAGATTTTCGAACATCTTTTGGCAAAGACTTGTGTAAGTTATAAGTTACAACAGGTTACCTTTTACTTTGGAGATAACTAGGTTTCCTTTGACTTTCTTTATGGATTTTATGTTGAATTCGATAGGAGGCTAATGAAGCTATAAATCATTTCGAGTAAGCCTCCAAAATATATATACATTTTTTTAGTTCTTATATATATAAATAAACGAGAAGGATATCATCTTGGTAAGTGAAAGAAATTACATTATGTGCCATTACTTATTACAAAAAAATGAATGGAGATTACTAAAGTTTGTTTTTGCTTAATTTGGAACCAAAACTACAATATCATAATTATTTTTATAGACCATACACAATAAGGAAAAAAACAAAAAATTATTACTATATAACGTAAAAGCCCAAAATATAGCATAAAATCTAAGCCCATTAAAAAGGTAATGCTGGTTTTGCGACAATGCGTGTCCTCAACATAAAAGAAAAACCCTTATTAACATCATCTTCTCTTCTTTACTTTAGAATTCCCAATCTTTCACAAGTATCTTCAACCATTCTCAGCTCGTTTTCATCATCTGGATTTCTAGGGTTTCTGTTTTTCTTCCTTAAATTTCCAATTTCCGAAGGTCTTCTCTCTTTCTGCCAGTACGTGACACACACAGAGAAGAAGAGAAAATCAGTCTCCTGGTAGGTATGTCCGTCACGACGTAAATTTGTCCCTTTTCTTCTCAGAATCGCCATAGCTAATTATATAAATTATTCGGTGTTAATCAAATTTTCCTTTTCCAGCTGATAGTGATTTATATAGTATCTAAATTTTTGCTAACTCATTACAATTGAATCAGATGCTCTGAGTCAAGAAATGTATTCTTCAAGGGGAAGTGGCTACGGGCAACAGCAGTACGGTTCTCAATCGGGATATGGTCAGAATGTAAGATCATAATTGAATCATGACCTCTTTCTTCTCTTCTTAACTTTTCCCATTTGTTTGATGGGCAATGCTTGATATCTTGTCTGCTACAATATCTTTTTCATTGATCTCGTTTAGATATCAGAATCGTTGGTCATCTTTTACTGAAAGAAGAACTACATTGAACTCATTGTGATCGATAATGCTTTGAATTTATGGCTAATTGTTATACTATTATGTAGCTTGGATCTGGTTATCCTGGAAGTTCAGTCAGCGGTGGAGAAGGAGGATCTCAGGTTTCGTTGAGTTCTCGGCATCCATCAATTTCAGGTGCACCTCAAGAGACTGAGATTGGTGGATACAGATCCCACTTATCGACAACCAGTCATTATGGAACACAATATGGCTCTGTGTATGGATCAACTTCTCTTAGCAGCTCTCAGCCCTTAAGTACCAAAGGTGTCGGCTCATCAGTCTTGGACAGCCGCTCGGGATATGTTCCCACCCTACCAGATTCACCAAAGTTTGCGTCTGGAAGCTATCTGTCTCCTTCGAAACACGGTTATGGCCAAAAGGGGGATGATTTGTATTCAGATAAGCTGTCTGGTTACGTCCCTGTTGACAGAAGGCAGTATGGTGAACGGTCAAGCGCCTATCTCGGTAGGGAGTTGCAAAATGAACCAACTGCTCGATATGCTGATTCATCTAGTTTTGGTCGTCAGGTACCCTCCCTCTGCTAGCTATTAGAATATTTTATGAGTTTGGTTTATTTCTTTCCACTGCCTCCACTACTGATATGATACATATTATTATGATTTGGCAGACTGATTTGTATGATCGCATTGATCAAGCATCACTCCTCCGGGGAGAACAATTATTAAAGATTCAGTCACTCCATACCTCTTCTGTTGATGGAGGTGTCAGGTATTTTTTTTCCGTTGATATATTCTTCTGTAGTGTAATTTGTTCATAGGATAGAATTTAGTAGTTGCACTTCTTGTACCTATGTGATCTGTATTATTTCCTGTTCGGTACGGCAACCATGTTCTCCCAAGACTTTTGTTATAAAGCTACTGTACCTTCCTTTAGAAACTTGCAGTAACGTTTGAAGAAAATTATATCTTTTTGCACTGAGTAGCAAACATTTCTGGCAGACAACCCGATTATCTTACAGAACGAAGTTCTACTATACGCCATTCTGACCAAGAAGCTATGCATTATGGAGGAAGGCTCGAGTCTGATCCTCACGGGCTATCAGTACACGGGACATCTTCTTATGCTAGCCAACATACCCCATCGTTATTAGGAGCTGTTCCTCGACGAAACTTAGATGAATATATGTATTCGGAGAATTCATCAAATCCTGGTTATGGCGTTAGCTTACCTCCTGGTAGGGATTATGGCACTGGGAAAGGAATCCATAGTGCAGCATCTCTTGACTTGGACTACCCTGGTGGTATGCTGGCTCGTGGTGGTGGTGGTCCTCGTGTTGATGATCTCCGAAAAGATGACCGGGCAAGTTATCTCAGGGAGTTTGAACTAAGGGAAGAAGAGCGTCGCCGAGAGAATCTGCGTGCCAGAGATAAGGAGCGAGAACGAGAAAGGGAACGCGAACGAGATAGAGAACGAGAGCGGCAGAGGGATCGAGAAAGGCAAAGAGCTAGGGACAGGGAGAGGGAACGCATAATTGAGCGACGGGAGAAGGAAAGAGAAGAAGAAAGAGATCGTGAGCGTAAACGTGCTCTCGAAACAAAACGTGATCGGACTCCAACAGCAAGAGCTATGTCCAGGGACCCAAAAGAGCGGACTCCAGTGCCAAAAGCTATATCTAGGGATGCACGTAGTTCCTCTTTGCGGCGGGATACCCAACAGCGTGAATCATCAATTAGGTTTTATTTTTGATCTCTGTCACACACTTCATCTGGAATACAGGGCATTTTATGTTGCTTCACCAGGCACTAACCTTATTTCTGTTATACCTGAAGGCGTCCTTCACCGATTAAGCCAATAAGGAGAGATTATGTATGCAAGGTAATAACTAATAAGTGTTCCAAGATATTCCTCATTCAATGATTTTTTTTCCCTTCTCCCAGGGTTACCTCATCTTCCTTTCGATTCCTGCATTCTCCTTGTTTTCTTATTAATTGAGTTGGGCATTTCTTGGTCCCTGCTCGAATAAGGCTTGCCATCTATCAAGATGATCCTTGACAAAATATATTCATCATTATCCTCAGTTCCCTACCATTGCCTCTTCCACCTAAACTCTGCCAAGTTCAGCTTTCATTCTTTTTCTTCCCATGTGATGTCTTCCTGTACTCGGGGTTATTAAAATTTCACTTTCCTTTTGTGGCTGGTTACTCTTCTGACTTCTCGATACCTTGTGGTATTATTTTGCCTGCTTTTGAAATTAGTTTGACAAATATCTGGTTGCATTATCCTGGTACAGCCTGCTATGTTTTCCTGAGTTTGGTTGTATTTTGGAGAGGAATTGTGCAACCTTTTACATGGCTTCTGGTTTTTGTGGTCTCCAGTATATTTCCCTGATTGCGAGTTTTTGTCTTTTGGTCTTAGAATTTTAAAGAACTTGGAAAAGTTCACAAGGATGAAACACTGGATGCTTATCAGTTTCTTGAATTAAGGACGTGAATTTTTATCTTTTCCATTGATCAGGACAGGAATAGAAGTGGCAGAGTTACCTGCCCTTTCTTTATCCTGAGTAATGCAATGCTTAAGCCCAGTGCGCAAATTCTTTACTTGATTATGGTCTGATTTTTTTGCAGGTTTTATCCTCACGATTGGTTGAAATGGAGAGGGATTATGTGACATTAGACAAAAAATATCCTAGGCTTTTTGTGCCTTCCGAGTTTTCCAAGGTATCTGTTTGTCTATCTCTTAAATCATTTTCTAATCCTTAGTGGAGTGCTAAATGATCGTAAATCGCAATTTATATATATATTTATATTCCAGGTTGTAGTGAACTGGCCTAAACAAAAGCTTACACTTTCGATGCATACTGCTGTGAGGTGAATTATTCTGCTTTCTTATTTGCATTTTGCCAGTCTGAGGATTTTCATTCTCAAGCAGTTCATAAGTTTTTGTTTCCCTTGACGAGTCAGTATATCAGAGCTAAATTTTGTGGATTCACTTTTGCTTTACTATATCTAGTTAAAGTTTTATAAATCTAACCATCTTTTGTTGAGGTCGGCAGTTTTGAGCATGATTACATTGAAGATGGTGGAGTTGATGTGAAAAATACTCCCACAAAGTCTTTAGCTGTGAAAGCTGGAGGAAAGACTGTTTGGAATGCTAAGGTGCGCTGCTTTTAATTTTTCTCATTGAAAAACGATTCTCTCTTTGATTGTGTCATTTCACAATGTATCATCGCTGGTACTGTTCCTGAGTGTATTGAAAGGAATTTGCTCACGTGTAATGTGTTTTCTCTGTTGTTCAGATGATTTTGATGAGTGGGCTGAGCAGGACTGCTCTGGAAGATCTTTCTTCAGAGAAATTATTTGAAGACCGGATACCTCATATATGCAACATATTAAAGTTTGCTGTTCTTAAAAAAGATCATTCTTTCATGGCGACTGGTGGTCGCTGGGATCCCACAGATGGCATGGACCCATCAGTTGATCAGTCTTCCTTGATTCAAACGATGCTGAGGTGTCGTTCTTCCCTTTTTACGTTTTTTTGCTGCCTTTTGTTCATTGTCTGAGAGATGAGAGGACTATTGCGTTGCAGACACACAAAGGATAAGCTTCATCTTGATCTAAGCAACTGTCGTCATTGGAATCCATTTCTCGAGGTAGGTTTTACCTCTCTTAGTTTAGGACTCCATTGAGATGTTGGACGAATGGGGACGTCACAGTAGGGTATCCTTTATGTTCGGGCCGTTGTAGATGATATGAAGCTTATTAGTGATTGCATCATTTATAAATTATTTTTCCGACTATAGTTATTTGGACCCTCACTGCTCCAGAGATTTGCCTATGAATTGCTTTGAATTGCTTTGCCAACTTTGTTAACTTGGGTACTCTTTTGCTGCGATTTGATGTTGTTGTAAATATCGTAGCTTTAGTATTGATACATTTAGTCTAAGCGATTCTGCTTACCAGTCTATCTGGAGAACTAAGTAGCTCTGTTTTGCCTTTCTTTTTTTGGCATTGCAGATACATTATGACCGAGTTGGTGCGGATGGAGTTTCTAGCTATAAAGAGATCACTGTACTATTTGTCCCCGATTTATCGGAATGTCTTCCTTCATTTGACGCTTGGAGAAACCAATGGTTGGCCCACAGGAAAGCTCTTGCCGAGAGAGATCGACTACTTTCTCAGGAGGTTAAGAAAGCTGTCATTGTGGGAAAGGGCAGTGATGATTCAGTTGAAGTAGCGAAGGATGCTGAGAAAAAAACCCCAGGAGACCCTTCCGGCGCTCCGACAACTGGAACTAAGAAGATGGTCAAAAAGATTATCAAAAGAGTTGTTAAAAGGCCTGTCAACGACGGAAAGGCGACTGATAAGAAAGATGAGAAGTCGGATGAGAAGGATGTTGCTGAAAAGGTTGCCACATCGGAGACCTCAGTCCCAAAAGAAGAATCCACCGGTACATCTTCTAAAAAAAAAGTAGTGAAAAAGGTAGTAGCGAGACCTACGCAGAATGAAGAGAAGGGCTCAGATGTTATGGCTGGAGCTCAAACAGGTGATAAGCCAGGTGAGAGCTCAGATCCTAGTGCTAAAGCTAATGAGCAGACTCCTTCAAAGACAATTGTAAAGAAAAAAATTATTAAAAGGGTGGCTAAAAGAAAGGTTGCTGACGTAGACAATAACATGGACGGTGACTCGAAGAAAGATGGGGACAGTGATGAGAAAAAGGTAGTGGATGCAGGCAAGAAAACCTCTGATTCAGGTAGTATGGAGATGAAATCTACAGAGGAAAAGAAAGAAGAGAGTGCCTCCAAAACTGTGGAAATAAAACAAAATGTTGGATCTCCGGATTCTGAGAAAAAGGAGGGTGCCTCTAGTTCGACAAAGAAAGACAATAAGACTGGTGAAAATAAGAAGGCTGATAAGAAAAACAACTCAGAGACTCAGTCTGAGGGGAAAAAAGTTGATGAGATAAAGGCAAAAGAAAAACTAACCGATAAAGAGATTAAAGAGAGAGGTGGAAAAGATGAGTCCAGAATACAAGTTAAGGACAGGAGAAAGTCTGAGGAACCTCCTCGGCCAGGATTTATTTTACAATTGAAACGGAACAAAGACTCTAAAGTAGGTGGACAATAATTTAGGTTTTAGGTTACAGTTAATAATGGCTATATTATTGTTGCAACTTGCAACTTTCAGTTAATTGGAGTTCTTTCTCTTTAGCAGTTGCGTTCAATTTCTGTTTCCCTGGACTCGCTCTTGGATTACACTGACAAGGACATTGATGAGTCATCATTTGAGGTTAGTATTTCCTTTGTGCTTTGCTTAACCTGTTTTTCATTTTGTTTCTTATAGAACTCAGTGTAACGCTTTTGTTTTAACAATTGAACTACTCAGTTTTCATCAATCTATGTTCTTGCAGCTTTCATTGTTTGCGGAATCGCTGTTTGAGATGCTGCAGTATCAAATGGGTACCCGTATCTTAGAATTTCTCAAGGTTAGTTTATTACTGATTTTTGACGTCATTGTATTTGAGTCACATGAACTGGTATCTTATACTTGGATTTACACCCGTCGTTTTTTCCTTTGAAGAAATTACGTGTAAGATTTGTGAGACAAAGAAATCAACGGAAGAGGCATCAAGAAGAGTTAGCTGTCAAGCAAAAGGAAGCAGAAACACAAAACAAGCGTCAAAAGATTGTTGAACATAATGACAAGGAAACCTCTATTATAACTGAATCTGCTCCTCAGAAGGATGATAAGGAAAAGTCAGCTGTAGACGGTACTCGGGAAATTTCGGATAAGGAAGCTGTACCGAACTCTGAAGAAACCTTAGGCAGTAAAAAAAGTACTGATGAAGCTGCTAATATGGAAGTGGATAACCAGGATGAGCCGGTTAACGAGGATGAGACGGATGACGATGTTGATGAAGACCCAGAGGAAGATCCTGAAGAGGATCCTGAAGAAGACCCTGAAGAAGACCCTGAAGAATGCGAGGAAACGGATGATGCAAATCCTGAGCAAATAGACGACCCTGCTGAAGAGGTATGATGTAAAATCATCTTGTATTGAACTATGTTGAATAGCCAACAAGATGTTTTCTTCTTAAATCTTCCCCTTTGTTTGTCTCATCTTCAGCCGCTGAAGAATGAAGAAAACAGTGAGAAGACTAGTGGCACTGTTGCTGATCCTATAACTGAAGTCGCAACTGATAGAAAAGAAGAAAAAGTTTCTATTGACGAGAAGACTGATTCCAAATCTGTTGAGATCAAACCCAAGTCTGAGTCAGACAAGCACGGGAAGCAAGAGGGAGGAACGTCGGATGCACCAAAAAGAGAAGAAACGGTTGATAAAGAGTTGTTGCAGGTATAATCCCAACTTTGACTTTTGTTATGTCTTTAGCTTTTCCCGGTTGTTTGGTGCTAAAGGTTTGTTCATTGGTTCTTGGCTCAGGCTTTCAGATTTTTTGACCGTAACCAAACAGGCTATGTTAGGGTAAGAAAAAGCTTAATTCGTCTTCCTTAAACTGTCATCTTATCTTTCAGAATGAATTTTGCAAATACTGTTTTGCGCTTCTTATTTCTCAGGTTGAAGATATGAGAATAACTATCCACAGCTTGGGAAAGTTTCTATCTCACCGAGAAGTCAAGGTAAAATAGGTTTCTCCGGACCTGGGTTTGTCAATCATTTTTAACAAGATATAGAAAATCATAGAATTTAATTTAATCAAATACTGTTTTGTGTCTTTTTGATGTTGCAGGAACTTGTGCAGAGTGCTTTGTTAGAGAGCAACACAGGAAGAGATGATCGGATTCTATACAATAAGCTTGTTAGGTTGTCTTTGTAGAAGATACTGATTGATAATGTTCGTCTTGTTTGTTAGTGATTTACTCTTTGGAGCTTCCTACGAAATGATTTTTGTTTTCTTAATTTATTTTGACTATTGTGCAATAAAGAAGTAATCCTACCATTCAAAAATCAACAATTAATTTTTTATCTTTGATAGTGTTTTTGCCATAATTTTCTAAAATGTTATCTTCTACCAAAGTATATATACCTTTAGTTCAGACGTTGGTAGTAAAAGTCATCCAAGAAAGTAAATAGACTGTATTTGAATAATAATTTTCTAGATATCTGAATATATAAAACTGAACTAGGAAAATTCTATTTAGCGAAATACATAGAAAAAGTCTAGATCGCCACGCCAAATCGTGCAACTTTCCTATTACTACCAATTTATTTTTTGAAAAGATAAATAACAAGTAATTATTTATAAAATGATTAAGACGTCATTAATTAGCGAATTTTTAACTAATTACTTCATGGAATAATAAACAATACAGTTAATTTTTAATTATATTAAATCAATATTGAAAATATGAACGCAAATATGAAAGCATCCAACTAGATTTAATTTAAGTAATTTTCATAAATATAATTGTCAATTTTTATACTTAGATCTGCTTATTTAAATATTTTTTATCTAAAAAAGCATCAGAACTAATTTAGAGAAGTATCTTAAAATATTTAGTATAAACAGATACATTTATTCAATTGTTTACTGTGCTTATCTTTTTTTTTTTTTATAAATTTGTTAAAAATTTTATTTACTAATGTTTATCTTAAAATTAGGTGAAAATCTGCGTTATGCGCGAATAAATTTGTTAAAAGATTTATTTACTATGCTATTCTTTGAAATAATTTGATCTTATTCTTTTTTAACAAAGATCTCTTACTCCTATAACAGATGAAATTAATGTTATTTATTTATTATTAACAATATAATAATTATTTTTGTGCATTGTTTTCAAATAGCTTCCAGAGGTTTCTAAGAAATAGACTGATGTGGAAAAGGATTTATCCCAAAATTCCATTTGTCAGTCGATTTGTTAATCCGGAAAATTATTAATTTAAAAAAACTAGTTAAACCCAGGATTTTCTTGTGTTTTCCTAATTTAATTTTCCTTTTCCTTATAATAGTTTCGGGAAAATTTGCATATTATAATTAACCGACCCACTTAGAGATTATTATAAATAGAGGACGCAATCAGCAATTCCTTTCACCCAAATCCCACAATCTCTCATCAGAATCATCTCTCTTTGCATAAACCCTAGAAAAAACCTCTCCGCTTTTTTCCTTCAAATCGAGCGAACAATGTCAGAGTCGAAGAAGATTGTGTTGAAAAGCTCCGATGACGAGACATTCGAGGTCGACGAAGCGGTGGCTCGTGAGTTCCAGATCGTAGCACACATGATCGAAGACGGCTGCGCCGGTAAACCAATCCCTCTCTCGAACGTCACAGGGCCGATCCTCTCGAAAGTCATCGAGTATTGCAGGAAGCACGTGGAGGCTGGTGCTAAGGTCGAGGAAGACGAGGAGGCGAAGAAGGAGCTCGACAAGTGGGACGCTGATTTCTTGAAAGGAATGGATTTCGACACAATGTTCCCTCTCGTTCTCGCTGCAAACTATCTCAACGTCAAAGGCCTTCTCGATCTCGTTTGCCAGTCGATTGCAGATTACATCCAAGACAAGAAAGTGGAGGAAGTTCGCGAGATTTTCAAGATCGAGAACGATTACACACCCGAGGAAGAAGAAGCAGTTCGTAAGGAGAACGCTTGGGCTTTTGAAAATTGATTCCAGAAAAAAACTCTTCTGATTTGCTAATTTTTCTTTTGGGTGTTCTTAAATCTTTAGGGTTTTTCCGTTTTTCTCAAGTGTATGTGATTGAGAATTAATCGACTGTTCAATTTTCAGAGATTTATCTTTTTTTTAGTTGCTACTAATTTCTCATGGTTTATGTTTGTTCATCTTTCTTTGACTTGCACCAAAAACTCTCCGGTGAATCGGAATAATTCGGTGATTGTCGTGTTTATGTTCGTCGCCGCCGCTTTTCTCTTGGACACTACAAACGTTGAATATAATATTAGGGTTTCTTTTTCTTTTTACAAAAAAAATTAGCATGAGAAAAAGAATATCAGATATAATAGTTCGGAGTTAGCCCAAAAAGCCCACTATACAAAGCCCAATGAAAAAGAAAAGCTATATAATTGAACCAAGAAGCGGCTGTCGTTTAAATTTTAATATGTTATTCATCCAATCAAATGTTTTTCTATTTTTCTCAATATTTGATTTTGGTTTTTTATAATGAATGTAATCTTTTGTTATTTATCTTAGATTCTTAGATTAATTCATTATTGAATGATTTTTCCCCTTATTTTTTATATTTAGATTTTATCATGTATTGAATGATTTTCATAAATTAGTTTAATAGGCTTCGAATAATTAAGGGACCCTATAATTGAGTACGAATAACATCAACAGTAGGCCGATTAATGAAGAACAGTTATATTATTATGGACCCTTTAAAGCCCAATAATATTACACCATTCAAAATCGGCTGTGCGTCAAAACTCAAAACCAATTCAAGGAACGGCAGATACGAAACCTACGCGCGTGTTCATCTATAAACCATCATCCGTTTTCGTTACTTTCCCGCAAAATTTCCAAAAAAATAACATTTATTATGGTGACTTTTTTTTCTATAATTTATTGTAACTCATTTTCTTCCATTTTTACCCATCGTGCAGTAGGCATTAGACATGTAGAATATTTTATTCACAAATTACAATACATCGACCAAATTAAAGATCACTAGACCAATCCTGCAATCAACATGTGCGCTAAAGTTCGATGTGTATATTGAACAAAGAGAGATATATACAATCGTGGACAAGAAGTATTCTTAAATAAATTATTCTGGAAATGATTATATTTTTAAATTTAGGAAATTCAAAAGATACACGATCAATTTCATGGTTTTTAAACATTTTGATAAATCAAATAAAAATAGGTGCCTAATTATGTTTGTTGGGCGACATCACCGACGTATTTATTTCCAAATTGATAAAAATTGCATGACGCATGCACTTGATCTCTCTTTCTCTCGAGTTGCTTGGAAGTTGAGCGAACTCTTTTCTTTACCCATTTTTTTTTTTGTAACAAGGGTTACCTTTTTCTTTACTTCCAAGTTTAATAATTATGTTAATTATTAGTGTTACTTAATCAATGTAACTATTTGGCACTCATATCAATATGTCAATCAAATCAAATTATGACCATTGTACGAGAAGGCTGATCCGGATTTCGTAAAATCTACGATAACCAATGAATGATTTAGCTCTTAATATGTTAAACTTGAGCTCAAACTCTAACATAATAATTATCAATATGGTTTCACGGACACATGAAAACATAATATAAACCTACTTGATCTTAGTCTACCTTAAAAAAAAAATTGTTTCTCAATAAAAAAATTAAAATGATTTGTACAAAGATTAATTAATACTTCTGATTCTTTTTTTTTCCATGTTCTTCATCCGACAAAATAGGAAACACTATTTTCAAAACACTATTTTTTTTTTCTCGGAGATATCTACGAGCGTAAAAATATTGAGGCAATTGACAATGTCACAAAGTATAAAAGTTTATTAATAACAAAAGAAGAAAACAATTAAAAATCTACAGTTTTCCACATTCAGTGGGAACAAATGACACAGTATCTTTCTCAAGATCATGAAGTACATTAAAATTCTGCTGCTGAACATTTCCGAAAATAGACATCCCATTAGAACTTCCCATGGCCAAACACAAAACGCCTGTACTCGAATCCGCCACCATGTAATTCTCTCCCGGAAGCTCCAAATCTGCCCCTTTAAAATGAAAAATCAGCTTAGGAACAGCAATTTTCTTTGCTGCACTAGGTAACGTGAAGCACAAGTCAAGTCCTGTGGATCCTGAGTCATCGACTGGTAAACTCATCCGAGAAGTAAACTCTTTCTTCAATTCCTGAAACGCAGCTTCCTCAAGATACGTGATGGTCGTGCCCGAGTCGATGATCATACCTCCGGTTCCATCTTCCGCTAGCTCGAATGTAGACTTTTCAACACTAAGCCGTTTACCTCCAACAGTGATGCCTTGTAGGTCAAGGTAATAGAAAGAAGGCTGATTTGGATTTCTTAGCAACGATATCGTTTTGGTGACTTCACCATCTAGATTTGCACTTGTTTTGTTGACGATATTCGAGGCTAGAGATCCAATAAACAACGAGCTAGACGCTTCGTTATCCTCGATAGAGGTTAAGCAATAAGAGAATTTGGTCTCCTTGAGCTGAGAAATGAGCGAGAGTGGTCCACGACCAAGACCTACAAGACCTGAGCCTTGTGAAAACCCGTCTCCTTCGTTCTCTTTCCCACACCCAAACCCGATGCCCGAAACCGAGTTGTCCTCCTCGAAAGTGAACGTTTCAGTGGCCAAGATCCCTCTTGTGGATGAGTAATCACCATATGTGTACAAATACTCACAAGCAGCTTCGTCTTGGTTACAAGTAGATCGAGATAACGCGTTGCAAAGACCAGAAGAGCAACCGACTTTTGAGTAAGAGGAAGACTGTTTAGGGTCGAAAATCGGAGTTGGTTGATCGAAACACTCGGTGCAAGGCTTGCACTGAGTCCATATAAGATCACTTCCGGTATCAACTATAGCCGAGTATTTAACCGGAGGGTTTCCTATAGATAACTCCATAAGAAACTCTCCGCTTCCGCTATGAGTTGGTGCTTTGATGTTATTAGTATCATCAGGATCAGATGATGCTACAGCCAAAACAGCTATAGCTCCTAACCTGTTTAACCTGTGGGATCCACGGTTAATCCCTCTTTGGATCTTTTGTATCTTTGTGAGGTTTTTCCCTGAATCCACGTGTTTTAGACTTAATCTAAAACCGGATCTTGGAAGGCTTGTGGGAGTAGGACGGTCGATTAATGATCTTCTTGATGATGAAACCGCAATAAAACATGAGAAGATGATAAGAAACAGAGGGAGTAACAAAGAAGAAGAGAAAGAGGAAGAAGAAGAAGGAGAAGCCATGGTTTGTGGTGGCGTGTGATGAGTGAGTGGGATTATTGAGAGATCAAAGGAGTGTTAATTAGTGTTTATATATAGAGATTTTAGGACACAAAGAAAAAGAGTTACAGAACAAAGTTAGGCGTGTAAGAAGATAGACATTGTAACTTCCCTACTTAAATTGAGGAGAGTCCGTTTGAGAGATCCATTCAAACAAGCAAGCCCTATTCTTCCGTCGTTAGTTGAGAAATTTTTGAGATTCCTTTTCTTAATTCTCATCTAAAAATTGTTGAAAAAATGCACAAGAAAACTATTAAATGAGCCCATTTTTAGGCCCACTGAAACAGGCCCATTGTAAGTCGAGAAATACTCCATTTTCTCATGAACTTTCTACTGATACTTCCAACGTTTTTGCAGAATTTGAGTGTTCAAGTAACTAATCAGAGACAAAGAAGAGTCATTAGGGAGACACAAAATTTAATGAAGTAATAATTGTTTGCTTCTACTATAAGTAAAATCAGCTTTTTGCAGCCACACATAATCAAATTACACTGCATGTAAAAAATTTCTAAGGATCAAGATTCTTCTGTCTTGTTTCCAAGTTATGAGTTGTCAACAAGCTTAAGTCCCCAGCTAATATCCTCACAATGTCTCACGTGCGGGACAACATTACCCGTGTCTATTCCTGTCTTCGCTTTGCAGTCATAATAAGGAGGAGCATGGAAACAAGGATCTGGTGACATAGCTCTACCACAAGGAGAATCTATGTTGGTTTGATTCTCTTGCTTATACAGAATCCAAGCTCTTAATCCTCCAAGTCCTTGAGCTACATACCCAAATGTAGACCAAGCACTAATAACCAACTTATCTGTTAAGCTCAGTAAGTACATCTCTGCCCAAGCTTTCCTGTTATGCATAAGCTTCTCTGTTTGTTGATGTCCTTCATGACTTGGCTGATGTATTCCAATCACATCTCTTGTTACAGTTGGTTTTTCCCAATACATGGTCTTCAAGATCTCAAAGTATCCTGTTGTTAAGGAAGTGATCAAGACAGCTTTGAGTTTAAAGTCTTCATCTTCTTCGTCTTCTGATGGCTTGTGGTGTTGTTCTGTTTTGCTTAGTTTTGGTAATATTTCCTCGTTTTGAACGCAGGAAATGATTTGATTAGTGACTTGACGAGACACTCCTGATTTCTCATCAAAGACTCTTATTTGAAGACCAATCCTCTCATCAGCTTTGACTAAGTAAGCTTGGTAGTATCTTGTGATTAGTCCCCAGACATGATTCGAAGGATGGAAAAGGTAACGACCCAAATGGTGAAAAACCGTTCCTTTCTCTGGAAACATCATACCAAGCTCTTCCTCGAAAGAAGGGATCAAGAAGAGAGACGGTGCAAAGAAGTTGTTAGTCCTCATGATCAACCAAGGAACATTCTTTAGCAAACTCTGATCTTCTGCGCAGAAGAACATTTTGTCTTGGTCGTTGTAATCATGAGCTAGATGGAGATAAAGATGAGACAGAGACGAAACCGAAGATCCATTGATCAGTTTCCTCTTCAGCATTTCTCCATGGCAATGAGCTGAGTTTTGAGCAAAGCCATTGAACTGATTAGTTAAGGTGAAATCTTTTGGTAATAACCAAGTGGTATCAAGGAACGGTTCACAGAATAAATCAGCAAATTGCTCTCCTCCTTCAACGAGCAAGACTCTATCCGTCAACATTGCATACAGAAATGCAGAGGCAATACTGATAATCCGGTTCCCTAATCCGCTAAACTCCATCCAAACAACATACTTGCATCCTTCTGAGTCCGAATCACCGGTTTGTTTCGGTTTAAGCAGTCTTTCTGCATTGGTATATGGTTTGGTTCCTGGTCCGCATCGCTTATGAAGCTCTTCGTAAGCTCTAAGCTTTGACAGCAGATACGAAGAAGGTCTATACGGTGAAGCTTTACGGTAGAGGTAAGATTGGTATCTACTCAAGCAAGAATCTTTCTTGAAACCAGAAACAAGTAGTCCTCCAAGCAGAGACAAATCTACAGAATCTGATGAAACATGAAAGAAAGATTTCAAAAACATATCCCAAAAAGCAAAACTTTCAAGGAGAAACAAGTTATATCATCGTTTTACCGTTTCGTTTCTGATCTCTCTGGATTGTTGAATCATCTGATGATGTCACATTTGGTTCCTGTTTTATTTGGATGATTCTTGATGCTTCTGCAAAGCCATTTCCTTGATCATACGAGTCATGTCCAAGGATAACAGTGATTACTAGCAAAACAGGGATAATAACCATGAAATAAGCTAAGATCTCTGCGACTCTCATTGCTCCGAACAATCTGTATCTCTTTTCTTGGACTCCAATTTGTTCTTCAGGCTGTTTACCAATGGCTTTGGGATGAGATGATCTCCTTCTGGAGGGATACAGATCCATTCAATAACCTAAGATTCAAAATTAGGAAAGTTCAAAAAATAAAGGAAAAGAGAAATCAAAATTTGATCTCTCCCTTTTAACCTTCTTCATCTGCTAGATGGAAAAGAGTAAGAGAACAAGCAAAGATCATCAGATTCACGTTTTTACTGCAACAATACAAGAAAAACGGAAACTTTGGTAATAATAAAAAGACCCTTTATGCTCTTGTTTTTATCTAATTTGAGAAAATGTCAAAAGCACAAAACTTTGACTTTATAAAAAAGCTCTAATTTAAGAAGAGGGAGCGTGTTACATCAAATGACCAAAAAAAAGAATCATACTAGTTTAAGTCCCCAGCTCATATCCTCACAATGTCTCACATGAGGAACTAGTTTTCCCGTGTCGATTCCCGTTTTGGCTTTACAATCATAGAAAGGAGGCGCGTGGAAACAAGGCTCCATGGACATAGCCCGACCACACGCAGGATCAGGAGCTGTACGGTTCTCTGGTTTAAAGAGTATCCAAGGCTTTAAACCACCAAGACCCTGAGCCACATACCCAAAAGTAGACCAAGCACTAGTCACAAGATTATCTGTCATACTCAAAAGGTACATTTCCGCAAGAGCTTTCCCGTTATGCATCTTTTTCTCCGTCTGCTGATAACCTTCTTGGCTTGGCTGGTGAACACCGATGATTTCGCCGGTTGATGTCGGATACTCCCAATACATACTCTTTAGATTCTCCGAGTATCCAGAGCTCAGAGATGTGACAAGCACAGCTTTTAGCTTAGGGGTCTTGACTTGGTGTGATCTTTCTTCTACTACTTCAGGTAGGAGTTTCTCTTTCCGTGTACAAGCTGAAATCTGATCCATCACGTGCTGAAACGGACCAGCGCCTACGTCGAAAACTCTTACTTGAATCCCAATCTTCTCATCCGCGTGCGATAAGTAAGCTTCGTAGTACCTCGTGACCAAGCCCCATACTTGGTTTCCTGGGTGGAAAAGATATCTTCCCAAATGATGAAAGACTGTCTCTTTCTGCGGGAATAGCTTGTCTAGCTCGTCGTCAAAACCAGGGATTAGCCATAACGATGGAACAAAGTAGTTGTCTGTTTTGACGATCAACCAAGGGACTTTACCTATCAAGGTTTGGTCTTCTTGGCAGAAGAACATCTTATCATGATCTCCATAATCATGGATAAGATGAAGATAAAGATGAGACAGAGTTTTCTCAGCATTAATCGCCTGATTCTTGAGCATATGTCCGTAGCAACGAGAGGATTGTTGATTTAACTCATCAAACTGAGAAGTTAACGGGAAATCTAAAGGCAGTAGCCACGACATACCGGGAAACGGCTCGCAGAAGAGATCATCCATGTCTTTCCCTCTGTCAACGAGCAAGACTCTATGCGTTAAAAGGGCATAGAGGAAAACCGAGGCTAGAGAGAGTATCCTGTTCCCCAATCCGCTAAATGAAACCCACACAACGTATTTGCATTCACCGTATCCATCAATGTGGTCTTGATCAAGTTGCTTTAGAGCTTTCTTGTAAGACTCAGTACCCGGACCACATCTCTTGTGAAACATTTCGTAGTTTCTGAGCTTAGAGACGAGGTAAGGAGAAGGTTTGTAAGGTGAAGGTTTACGGTATAGCACTGATTGGTATCTACTAAGGCAAGAATCTTCATCAAACCCATTAGCAAGTAGTCCTCCCAGAAGCTTATCAGAATCATTTGTATCTACAATACAAAAAGAGAAACGAACATTTTAAGCTAAAGACCAAACAAAAAGAACACGTTGTCACCTAACCAACCTCAGACCAAAAAGAGCAATCTTGGCGTAACCAAACCAACAAAGACTCAATTTTTATGGAAGTGTCCATGAAAATTCGAACTTTATATCAGATTTAATCTCCATTGAACATATCCTACTTTTGTCTATGTTCTAAACTGTGAACCACATTTAGCTTTAAAACGAAAAAAAGTAGACAACCTTGTTCATAGGAAAAAAGCTAAGATCTCAAAATGAAATTTCATATATCGACTAATGCAGTTAAGTTCTAAACCAGTAAAGATCCAAACTTTGACTTCAAAGAATAACACAAACAATAAAAAATCCGTACCGATGGTAGTAAAATTGGAGTAATCTCTGCCATCGAGAACTCTTGCCTCCGCGAAACCCATAATCCGATTCGGATCAGATGGGTGTTGATGGAAGATCATTGAGAATGCTAATAGCACAGAGAAGAGTATCAAGCAAGTAGTGAAGGTCCTAGTGAGCTTCATCGTACCGGAGCTGAAAAACTTCATCGGAAGTAGTGGGGAGCAGTCGACGGACTTCGAACCGCCGGTGGTGGTTCTGATCGGAGACGATTTCCTCCTGTACGGATTCTGATCCATAGATTGATCTTGGTGAAGACAGTCACCGACTTCATTGCTTTATTTTATTCAGACATAACTCCACGACTGACTTTTAATTGTGAAAACAACAATTTGAATTAAATGTCCACTAACTTCTAAATTATTACTCTTTAATACATAAACTTTCTAATGTTAACGTTTGACCCTAATGTAACATTTCTTTCTTCTCGTGTGAGTAATTTACATTATGATCCAGTAGAGTAGATTGCTTCGTAAAAAAGAGGATTCCTCTTAGTTCATTTGAAGATAACATGTTAAAATTTGAAATATAAATAACGGGCTTAATTTCATCCATTCATTTTAAATAATATGATATAATTAGAGAAATATGTATTACCACAAATTAATTGTTTTCCAAAACATGTAACAAAATTTGTTTTTAGGGAAATCTTCATAACTTTTAGAAATCTTCCTTTTAGACGTTATCAAAAAAATACTTTTCCATAATTAGATTAAGTTATGCGTGACAAAGGGGTTTAAAAAACTCTCGCCTTGTATTCATGACTTGCAATGAATCCCTTTAAAACAATTAAACGTCTCGCTTGAGTTCTTGACTTGCAAGTTTGCAACCTAACTCATCTATCAGAATCAGACCACAATGTCTTCTTCAACGAATCTGAATGCTAAAAGCGGTAACGATCCTTTGGCTCATCAAGGAGAAGAGTCATCTGCCAATCCGCAAGATCAAAACAAATCCAATACCGCAAATTCTGAAGAAGATAGTTTGAATCAAACCAAGAACAAGGCAGAGGAAGACTGTGGAGTGTGGAGAGTGTTGGGTACGTCGGTATCTTAAAAAAGGTGAATGCAAGGATTCATTCCTAGAAGCTGATAAATGTGTGGACGATGAAGATGACGTCAACAAATGTCGAGATGCTACAATAAAGTTTATGACATGTATGTATGCTAACCAGGATTACTATGGACTGTATCTGGGCGAGAAGAAGGCAGCGTTAACGCGGGAGTTGGATATGTTGGAGGAGGCTGAGGCGGCTGCGGCTAAGAAGAAGGAATCTGAGGAACTCAAGGGAAAGTGATGGATTATCACAACTTGGATTGGTAACATTTGAATGTTGCAATTAAATTGAACTTTGAGTGTTTTTTTATTATTAGACTTTTGTTATTGTGGACAAAATCTATTATATTAAAACAGAAGCACATTTAGTACTTGCTTCCAAACACTCTCAAATTTTTTTAAAAAATATTTTGAAAAACAGTTTTAAAATTATCCTAAATTATTGTAATATGGATTAGTTTTTTTTTTTTATTATTGCAGTCTTATATTCAAAACATGCAAGATATTAAGATAAATATTATTTCAAAATTAGTAAATAATTATATTATATAGTAATATGACAGACGGGTTAGAATTATGGTTTAGTAACTACAGTTTTTTCGGATTAATAGAATAAGTGAGTTAAAAATATATTTTTATAATAACGATCTTTTTTCGATTAATAAAATGATCGGATTAGAACTATGTTTTTATAATCATGGTCATAATATAGTATAAAAAATTAAAAAATAAATTATATCTAAATACAAAAATCAATCTTTGTCATTTATTAAAAAATTATATCTATAAAAAAACATAAATAACATTGTAAATTTTGATTAAAACAAATTTCCATACGAATGCACGGGGTAAAATCTAGTTTGGTTTTAAAGGTTTTTGCTTTCTTGATACCTATGAATGTTTCCTTGAATGAAACTTGAGTTCTTTTTTTTTTTATATACAACATGAGAATCTTGTGATATTAGATAACTCAAACGAGAAATTCATAGTACATTTGCTCAATGGGGTCTCTCTACCTTCCTCCCCTCATGTAAGAGGTGATCCTAATTACTATGATTAAGCTAGCAATTAGTTAGTAACTCCTAGAATCAACCACAAGGTCGAAATCAACTCTTACAATCCCTGTCTTGATCTCGACGGACCAGCTTTGGTCTAATCCAGTCTTCGTCTTCCTCCTACTCAATGTGAATGAATAGTTGAAGAATCCTTCTGTCTTTACATAATTTAAGACAAGAGATCGAAAAGCTAGTTGTCTTTGTCGTCATCCTCGTCGTAGTTAAACGGTAATGGAACCGTCTTGAATGCTCTGAACTTCCCCACATTGTTCAAATGCTCGTTCTCTAACCTGTTTGAATGCAACCAAACCCAACCCAAGAAAGTTATATCATATGTTATACAAAGCAGACACACAGGTGAAGAAAACTGCAGAAATGTCTGTTGTTACCTGAAGAAATTCCATATCCCACGGCGGATAATCTCCAGACTGGCTACAACAGCAACCATCGTCTGTCTATGCATAAAGGAGAAGTTGAAATCCAGGACGGTCTGCAGCCACGCGAATCTGAGCAAGATGTTCAAGATCTGCACTTTTTTTTTGTGATGGTTAAGAATCAGTTTTGATCTTGGATTCAAAAATGATGAGGCTTATTCTATAGTTTTTGCTTACCATCGCGATGAAGTATACTTTCTTTTGCGGGATAAGGAGTTTATCCCGGAGCCAACGGTTCTTAGATGTCCTGTTTAGAAGACCCCAGTCAAGGACTAAGTCCCAGTAAGTACAGAAAACAGCAGCAATAGCTGAGAAGATCCCAGCTAACATTCTCCAGACAAATTTATGATCCTCGTCGACGACACTGTACGCTGTCCTCAAACAGACGGCCACTATAGTCAAGAAGTATTTGAGGCCATTGTATCCTTGTTCTGCGCTTTTTTCTTCAAATAGCCGTCTCAGGCACTGCACAATATCGGGTTTTAAGCAAATCTTATATAAATGAAGAAAGTATTGAATGGTTAGATTTCGTCTGAAGAGACTTTGTACCTGAAGGAGACGCCAGACGTATGGGACGACAGCAACAATGAATAAGAAAGCATTGTAGGCATCTGAGTCTGTGCAAGTGTTTTTTCTATGTTTGTAATCTCCCCAACCATAGTGACATATGTAAAACTGGACGCTTCGAAGAGCTTGCACCTGACTTGTTAACTGATCGCCCAACAAGAAATCTGGTAAAGTTACCTGCAGGAGAAAGGCGAAATTTAAGATTTAAGACAAGTTGAGATACGATTATCAATATTTCTTTATCATGATCAACGAGCCGTTTCAGTTTCTGTTCTACCTTGTAAAGAGGAGCAGCAACGCAGTGAAAGAGGCATGTGAGGAAGAAGAAGCGACTCGAGCGGTAGAAGATGTTGAATGGTAAGACTAGAACTATAAACATAACCTATATCAAAAAGTTACCCGTTAATATTGTCATAGAGCTGAGTTTCACATTCAAAAGCTGATTTGGGATATACAGACTTACAATAAGCAGGAAAAGAGGAAGAAGCTCGGTTAATGCTTTGTAATCTTTAGTTTCAGGGTCAACCTCCATGTCAAGATTGGCAATAACACAAACAAGCGCAAGGACTCCAATGCTAAAACCCACAAGTAGAACTTGTCTATAGCCAAGTTCAGTTCCTTGCTTGAACCCAAAAATGAAAGAATAATTCACTCGATACTTCCTCCAATAGTAGATATTTCCAGCATACATAAGTATGTGCAGCACGATGAACCCAAACAAGCTACAAGAACAACAGAGAAAGGCAGAGTGCATCTAAACAACAAATTCCACTTTCAATGATCGGTGTAAAGTAGTAGGAAAACAGAGGCAGACTAAGTTTACCTGTAAAGAGGGAACATAGTGTTCATGTACTGCTTTTGGCCTTCCTCCTGCAAAATGTTTCGGGTGCGTATGATGGCGAATAGAGCCACAACTAGAGAAAACACGCATCCACTCAAGAAACCTGAAACCGAACTCCAAATCAGAAACTGGCAAGCAAATACTGAAGGAGGAGAAAACAAAACAAAAAATTATAATGGATTCCACCTGTGGAGAATGTAATTCGATGTCTCTCTCTTTTAGCTTTCGGTCTCAAGATGTTCATTCCTTTTGTTCTGTTAGCATTGGTGAAATGCTTTATAAACGTAGCTTCAACACGCTCCATGAGTCTAATTACCTGTGGCAATGAAAAGAAGCAAGAGAAGATCAGTTTATAGGAGAGACATAAGAATTATCAAATCAACTGAATCGAAAGAAAAAAAAAACATTACCTCATCAGAGCTTCCAAGGTAAGAGTTATCAACCATTTTCATGTAAGACTTTGAAGCATGCCTCGAAGTTATCTGTTCAAAGAGTAATTTCGTCGAACACATTTCACTCAATAAACCCTAAAACCAAAAAACCTCAATCTCTTAACCAAATCTTACCTTATCATACTTCTTCAAAATCTTGGAAAACGCCAACACATTCAAAAAGCTGCACATATATTTCATAGTCGAATCTCAAAATCCAAATGATAATACCCAATTTTGATCATCCAAAATTCAACGTATAACGAGTACGCACCTGTAGCTCTTGAGTAGCCGAAGCTTCTGGTAGAACTCAACGAAGGCGCGTCTGAGCTTCCCTTCGACTCTCCTCAGATTATCTCTGCTAAACTTAAGCTCCGTATTCGAGACCTGTAGAACGCCTTTAATGGTGGACCGAGGCGTTTCCGTGGTATGGTTGAGCTTAACACGATCCAAAACCTCGATCGGAGATGGCCTCGCAGCTTTTAATCTACTTGTGTCACCGGCCAATTCGTCGGAAACGACGTTATCGTCTTCTTTCTCCGCATCATCATCGTCCTCATCTTCATCGGATTTACCAGCTTTGCTTGATCCTCCTTCCTGTATAGCTTCCATGTGAGCTTGATGAGCTCTAGCTTTCACTGCCACCAAACCAGAATTTTAAAATAAAACCAGATTCCAATTTCAACGGTACGACTATGGTTCGCTAAAACCGGAATTAAACAAAACAAAATCATTTAAAATTTGCGGTACGTTTCCGGTTTAATAAAACCGATAGGTCACTTACTGGATCTAGCACCGGCGGGAGTAGAAGCAGCGACGGTCGCGGCGGAATTAGCGACATCAGAAGCTAAACGAGTCATCTCAACCGTCCGTTCCTCCCAAGGCCAACCGTCAGGATGGTCCACTTTCACACGAAACGCGATTAGAGCATCCATTTGTTTGTTAAGCATCACAGCTTCTTTAATCACTTGCTCCACTTTCGATTTATAAAATTTCTCAACTTTGTTGAACTCGTCGTCTAGTCGCCGGAAAAACACCGTCTCGTACTCTCCTCCTTCCTCGGACTCCATCAGAAACGTCGTCTCGTATCCGTGACTCGCGCTGTGTACCAGAATCGGCGCAGATTTAAGTCCTTCCTCGATGTCGTCGTCGGAATCAGAGAAATGGCCGATCTGTCCGTGTCCGTGACCGTGTCCGTGTCCGTGGTGGTGTCTTTTTCGTCCCGGCGTTGAGAGTAAACCGCTGAATGTTCGGTAGAGAGTCAGTTTCCGGCGAAGGCCTTCGCCGTGATGATGGCCGTGATTGTGGTGAGGATTGGTTTTGCGTTTGAATTTGATGATTTCTTTTAATTGAGACTTGAGACGACCGTAATCCATGTATGCTTCATGCCATTCCGGCACCATCTGCGACGAGAACTCTTTCCCGAACTTCATTCTTCGGATTTCGAGTTGAAAAAACAAAAAAAAATTCCTTGTCTGAAAAATCTAATCTAATGTTTAGTTTCTCTGTTGTGTCTGAAGATGAGTGAAGAAGACAGGAAGACTTGGATCATGTATGATTTAGAAACAGTGACTGACTAGTCACATGAACTAAGAAAAACCATTATGTGTATGTGATATATATAGAGAGAGAATATAAAAAAATTATGTGTCGTCAATCTTTGATTATTTTAAATGATTTCTTTTTCAATCTTGTTGAGAGTTGAAACCCCATTTACCAGTGTTCTAAGAAAGGTAACCAAAGCGCGTGTGGATTGCCCCACCCAGGGACATCAAAATAATTATATAAAAGAGATATTATATTGAGTAGCCATTTTATGTTTATTTTATTTCCTTAAGAAGACTTCCTTTTTCAGATATTAGAACCTAATTTATTTTTTTATTCTTTTAAAAAGAGCCCACTTTATTCATCTTCTTCCCCAAAACAGGCATCATTTGAAACGAAGTGAAGCAAGTGATTGATTGAGTCATTTAACCTAATTTCATTTCGGACAAAGGAAAAAATATTTTTTTAGTTGATTCTAATTTGACCATAATATCTAATCTACGAGAGAGAAAAAGTTGAATTGGGTGCATTAAATTCGCCGGTTGGGATGTGTATGTTCCATAAGCCCACCAAGAGAGTTATGGCGAGATCTATGACATATGTATGTGATTATGACTAGATTTTGAAATATACAGTTTCTACATATAGAAAGAAATCAAATTGGTCACTGATAGTGCTTTACGTGGACGTCTCCACACACTACATGGTAAGCTTTCAGAAAAAAAAGTTTAAAATTTTCCAAAAACTAGGTTCAAAATTTTGAAATAATTCGACAATTTCTCTTATAATTTCAATCATGTATTTATTATACGTAGGTGTTTTCAATGGCAAAAAAGAAAAGTTAGACTGTGTTTCAGTTTGAGATTAACCAAAAAAGTTTGAAGTAGTTTTTGATAAAGTTTTTGAAAATATTATAAAGTTTTAAAATACACAAACGAATTTAAATAATTTCAAACTTTTAAAGTCAATGTAAATTCAACTCTACTAAAAATAGGATTTCAACAAATTAAGAAAATATCGGGTTTATCTAGCAAATTAGTATTGACTAGTCTTACCAGATTACATTAGTCCACCATTTGGTCCCTTTTTTTCCTACACCGATTATATCGCCTTACCTTACACATATTTCTTCGCTTATTTTGTCTTACCCTCTAATACCATCTTATTATATCATTAGTTTGATAGATAAATAATTAATATTGTACAGTTCCCATTTGCTTTTCTCAACTTAAGAAATTACTTGTATGTATCAGTCTCAGTATCACTATAATGAGATAGTTTAAAAGTTTATATTTCTACAAAATCTAGACTTGAAGATTCGATCTTGACGGTAAGTTATTTTTATTTCATAAACAAATACTAATAATTATTCTGGTGTTGGTTTAACCACCTCCACACATTTCTTCTTATATGATATCGTCAATTTCTCTGGACTGAAAGGCATCTGACTGTCAATAGAACACGTTCATTTTATTTCTACCAAACAAACAAAAGGGCACGTGCATTTTTACCATAGAAACATAATTACGGTTAAACTACGAGCTATATGACAAGAACGATCCACTTCGTTCAACTCGAAGGATCTTTTTATATTAACTGAAATTATCTAAAAAGAAACATTGATTATTGATCAAACTATCAATATTCTCATAGTTTTCTCCCTATTTAGATAATTATTTTTTCATATATATAATTTTTTTTCGTACTTCCTTTTTCAGTGTTACATAAATAAATTTCTAATTCTAATGTCTTTCTTTATCAAGTTCTTTTTTTTTCTTCTTATTGAATCAGATGTTTTGGAATCATTTTGGATCCAGAGCAAGCGGATCCATGATACCCTTTAAATACTAGTTATCCATTCCAAGTGAAAAAATCGAACACATCTCCTGAAACACAGCATTTGTCTGTACCAAACTACACCACTCTAGGATACTAATCACTTCATGTTATTTACTTATTTTATTACTAGTGATACGTTATATAGGTCTCGTCGAGATATCCATCATCGAGTATATTATGCGACTTCTAATATACGTTCCTTCAAGTTTGGGTTCACCATGATCCATTATGTATCTAGGAAAGGAACCGTTATAAATTAACACAAAAGTGTATATTTCATGGTCTGGAATACTTTTTGTTTTTTGGTTACATGCAACTTTTTCAGTCCGAGTAAAATTTTAAAAGACAAGAAACAGAGAGTTCATTGTAAATGCTTCATTTAATGTGGCGTTAGTGGTTATCTGTTAAATCCCAACTCTTAGAATGATCTATTTCTTATCGACTAGTTGACAAGTCTAGTTTGATCTCTTGTTTAGATTAACATAGCCATCCCACTTTGACCTTCTCGAATATTGTGGGGGAGAGATACGTTAATCAGTGTCGTACTTTGGGTGGACACATATCGGATATTCGATTTGATCCATTTATCTATTCAATGTTAAAAAGAAAAAACTATATTATGAGTATAGGAAAACTCTATTATGAGTATAAGAAATCTTTGTTATTTTTTAGGAATTATAAACTTTCAAATCCAAATTATTAGCAATGAGTAGATTGATAAGATCATTAGTGATATTATTAAGATCTCAGTCTGATCTCTTTAGCGATATGAAATATCAGTACAAGTTGGAAACAAACTAAAATATCAGATCAACCAACCTCTTGTACTATTTTAGGGCAAAAAAAATCTATAAATAATAGTTTTTAGAGTTTTAGATTTTGAAGTACGATAACTGATAATTTGTTCTTGACCTAAATAAAAGAGTAGGAAAATTTGTAATGTAGACTTGAAGTCGTTATGATGGCGTTTTTCCCTGGCTTTTGTTAGCCTCCTTCTTTGTATCGATTGTTCTTTGCAACCAGTTTCTTATACTGTTGATTTGTGTACTGTTGATTTGTGTTCCGCCAGGAATGCTTATGGAATCAACCTCTTCTCATAGTAATGCCATTTATGATCTTGTCAAATAGGTCGATTAAAATTTTAGAAGTTCCATCTCAGTTGTGACCTCTAGAAATTCGATTGATATAGTTGGCTTTCAGAATTCAGACGATGGGACCATGGGACTCAAACAGTTTTTTTAGTAAGATTAAAATCTCATTTTTTTTGTCTTAACATTACATTGTTTCCTAATGTAATTTATATTTTTGATTTTTCAAGTAGTCGCCAATCTGAAACTTGGTAACATGCATGTACCGCTTCCGCTTTTCGTATAAAATCTTTAAAGAGTGTAAAATCTTAATTTTGATAATACATATGACAAAAAAGCTTAAATTTAATAGGATATGAATTTAAAATTAATTAAAATTAAGTATGTGAGATCTTTTAATTTATACAAAAAAGAAAAAAAATAGCGTGAAAATGTCGAATTATTTCCTCAAATTCACTGTGTAATCAGCTTCTAATCTAACATGTTTGAAACTTTTTCAGTAACATTTAGAAAAATAATAAAAACTATTTCAGTGACATGGGACAGTGACATGTTTCTCATGCACGCTATAATTTATTACCACTTTCTTTCGTCCAGTAATCAAGTAGATTAGTAGAAACACTTTAAATGATTCGAAGTTATTTCCGTACGTGTTGACAGAAAAAAAGAATAAAAACAAAGTTATTCCAGTACTTAGGCAGGTTGCCAGGTTGCGTTTGTGAATCTAATTACACGTCTCCGTTTTTGTATCACGTTACTTTTCTTTTGGATGCTTATCTATTTGGTTTTATTTAATAGACTTATATGATTTTCTATTAATATCGAGGAAAAAAGTTAATAAAAAAGCATCAAAAGGGACTTTGTTATCTAGCTCTCTTTTAAAAGATGCTTATTAAACCTTATTACTCGTTCGACGCACTTTTATTTTTTTTTACAAAACTAACCTAGCATACCTAAAACACTCTTTTTGTCTTTGTTGAAAAAAACCTAATTACGAAAATGCCATTACTTTTTTAATGCCACATAGGTAGATTATGGCGCTCAAAATTTAATAAGTCTACCAAGCTATGACGGTAGACTTATAAAATTTTGGTCAACGCAGAAATTTTGTTGGTAGATTTATTAGGTCGATGGTAGATTTATTCGAGAGTTGGTAGAGTTTTTAAATATTGGTAGACTTATCTTGATAGAGTTTTAACGAATGAGAGGTAGATTTATTATGTTTCGGTAGATTTGTTATGAATGGTAGACTTGTCAAAAGTTTTGGTAGACTTGTCAAAAGTTTTGGTAGACTTGTTAAAAAAAGCGTTGACTTACTCGCGTAGTTGACTTTTTCGGTAGATTTATTGACAATGAAGTAGATTTATTTTCTGCGTTGGTAGACTTATTTCCTTTAGTGGTAGATTTATGTGAAAAAGTTGTTAATACGTGCGGTAGATATATCTGTTTTATGGTAGAGTTATATATAGTTGGTAGAGTTTTCGCTTTTGTGGTAGATATGTTTGACTTGCGGTAGATTTAATTCCGTTAAAATTCATTCCGGTGAGTGGTAGATTATATGTTACATGAGGGAGACTTAAAAACTTTTGGTAGATTTATTTGTTTTGTGGTAGATATGTTTGTTTTGTGGTAGACTTAAATTTAAAATAAATTTCATTCTGGTTTGTGGTAGATTAATAATTATATGAAGTAGACTTACGAAATGTTGGTAGATTTGTTTGTATGTTTGGTAGAGTTTATGTAATTTGGTAGAGTTATCGAACGTATGGTAGACTTCTTAAAATAATAATGTGGTAGATTAATTAAGTTTGGTATTTACAAAGATAACCTTGATCTGGTAGACATATGACATGCTTATGGTAGACTTGTTTATATGGTAGAGTTATTTTTCATGCTTGAGGTAGACTTAGTAGTTAATGTTTGGCAGACATTTGACTTTATGGAGTGAAATTACTTTTTTGTCCTGAAAGAATTGTTCTATCTACGAAAAAACCTAACGTTTGGTAGACTTGTTTTGAAGTGTCATATGTTAAACAAGTTTCGTACATATGGTAGACTTGTTCCATGGTTATATTTGAGTTGGTTTTGTTACCATTGACATTTTCTTTGCATGAGTTTGCTAAGATTATGTCGGTTAACTGTGATTCGATCACAGATGATTATTGGTATTTACGATATAGATGCCATAATCAATGGTCAAAAATTTCTAACATGAATATTTTTTCTATGATATATATTTTCTCTAAGATAACTTTGTTTTTCATATTAACTTTGAACATATATGTCATATCTGTAATAACCATCTCTTAACTTATGATTTTTTTATTTTTATTTTTGAATATTTGTTACATTTAACTCTATTTACATAAACTCTTACAACATCATAATGTCAAAAAATTTTAGTCATGTGTTTTGATTAAAATTTTATTCAGTTATGATATACATCATAGTGAAAGTAAAGAAATAAATTAAATTGAATAATAACATTACTAGCAAATGTGGTAAAAATGTGAAAATATCTGGGTCAATGTTTTACGACAAATATAATTTGAAAACAACAATATTATCATTTAAAATCTAATTATCATTTTTACAAATTCAAAATACAGATATACCATCAATTTCATAATAAATCTACCATTATTTCAAAAAAAATCTACCAAATGCAAATCTACAATTCATAGTAAAACATGTCGGATCGATGCTGGATATCCCATCAAAGATTTGTTCACCATGGCAAAGCCCATAATCTGTCAGAAAAAAATAAACAGATACTGTCATTCGTATATAAAATTCAAATATATACGACTGATAAATCTACCATAAACAACTAATAAATCTACCAAACACAAATCATTTTTCAAATAAGTTACCATTAAATGACTAAAAAATCTACAAAACCACATTGTTTTACAAATAAGTCTATCATTAGATGACTAATAAATCTACCAAATGACATCGTTTTTACTCTAAAATAATTTTACCATCAAATAACTAATAAATCTACCAAACCATATTTCGTTTTCTAAATATCTACCATCAAATAACTAATAATCTACCAAACTACATATCGTTTTTCAAAAAAATCTACCATCACATATTATGAACTTTACAACAAAAAAATACAATAAATCTACCAAACTACTTATCGTTTTCCAAATATATCTACCAAACTTACATGAAACAAAAAAAATTAGGGTTGCGGGTTTTACAGAAAAAAACTTACGCCGCCGTCAACCTCCGGGACACCACCATTTCTTCGAAACAACATCTGTCCAGTGCGGTTGTGCGCGATGCAGCGAGAACGCCGCTTAAGAGTCGTGCCAATATTTCCGAGATCTCTAACACCAACAGTAAAACTCCTCCTCCGCCAAACAGAAAGTAGAAGACGAAGGGAAAGAGGAAGACGAAGAAGAAAGAAGAAAAAATAAGAAAATGAGAAAAAAAAACAAACCTGAACAAGTTTCTGAATGGCGATTGAGGCAAGATCTGTGTGGATCTGTGAAACAAAAGGAAAGCTGTGAAGAGAAAGCTGTGAAAAAAGGGAGACTGCCAAGTTATGAAGAAGAGCAGCTTCATGGGAGAAAAAGAAATTGGCGCAGGAGAAAGAGGGAGAGAAGAAGATGAATTAGGGTTTTTTTTTTTTTAGTTTTTGATTTTGTGTTTTTTTTTTTTTGCTTTTTTCGTTTTTAAAAAATGTTTTTTTTTGTCAAAAAAAAATTTATATAAAAAAAAATCATAATGGCATTTTCGTAATAATATTCAACATCTGGATAAAATGGACTTAAACCAACTTTATAAGGTTAGTCTAGTAAGCCCTTCAATATGTTAGGTTAGGTTTGTCATTTCATTAACCTTAAAGGTTAGTCTGAGGAATTTTCACTAAAAAAAACCTTTACAAGCCATATTTTTTTTTGGGTAAAACTTTTACAAGCCATATCTACCCTGTGTTAGGTTTTGTTTTTAAAGGACCCTGTGTTAGGTTTTCTTTTTCAATTAATACATTAAAGGTGAGTAGAAAAAAAATGACTTTGCCTAAGGAAAAAGCTACCTATTACTTTGCGACAGAAATAAAATAGGTTCACACATGAGGACTTTTACATGAAAAAAATCATAAATTGATATATTAATACTACATAAAATTCTAAATATATACTTTATACAAGTACCACGGATGAGTTTTGTTGACCAATTCGAGAGACTTTTATTTTTCGAAAGTTATAGTCGTTTTTTTAAGTTAAAATTTTAAAATGAAATATAAATTAAAAGTCTACAGCAGAAAGTTCTTGGAGCTTTCCAAGCACCCCTGAATTTCCTTCTTCTTAATTTCCAGTTCCTTAATACACGTAATAAAGACTTTGCCAAAGGAAGAAGTTATGTATTACACGGCGACAAAGTTAAAAGAAAATGCTATTCCGTACACACATGACGACTCGAGAATATATACTTACATGAAAAGTAAAATATATATATGAATAATACATAATACATAACATTATAAAAACATATTTATACGACCACTAATGAGTTTTGTTGACTGACTCGTGAGACATACATGTGTCACATATCACTTATATAATGTAGATTTGACTGTAAATTGACTAGTGTCCTTTTCATATATACACAGCTAAAGCCGATTAGATTGTCGCACGTCAAGGCCAAATAAAGATGTTTACGATGTGAGTCTACAACAAACATTTATTGGTCCTCGTCGCAGTTAAATGGTAATGAAACCGTCTTGCAAGCTCTGTACTTCCCTACATTGTTTAAATGTTCGTTCTCTAACCTGTTTTTTTTTTTACGAACCAAAACCAAACCAATTAAGATAGTTCTATTAAACTTGACTGAAACTTAAAGGAAAGTCGATGTAGATTTAAATAAAAACATGAGTAAATTAATGTGTTGTAACTTACCTGAAGAAATTCCATATCCCACGACGAATGATCTCAAGACTTGCAACAAGGGCAATCACAGTCTGTGTGTGCATTGACTCAAATTTAAAATCTAGCACCGTCTGCATCCACGCAAATCTCAGCACCACGTTCAATATCTGCGTTTAGTATAAACATCAGTTTTTTTCTCTTTGTTGTTACAACATTAATTTAATTAATCCCTAGCTAGTGATGTTGTGGTCTTGTAATGTTTTTATCTCACCATTGCCATGAAGTAAACTTCCTTGTATGGTAGGAGGAGTTCATCACGTAGCCAGGGATTCTTGGATGTGCGGTTAAGAAGTCCCCAGTCATAGACCAAGTCCCAATATGTACAGAAAACCACAGCCATGGCCGAGGTTATACCGCCTAACAATCTCCAGATAATTTGACGATTTTCTTCGCGATCAACTTCATAAGCCATCCCTAAGCAAACAGCAACTACTATCAAAACGTACTTGAAACTGTTGTATCCTTGTTCTATGTTTCTCTCTTCAAACACTCGCCTCATGCACTACACGAACATAACATGTCAGAAGATCTTATTGAAGAACTATTTAAGAATTATTGAATTGGTAGAGATAAAAATTGTGTACCTGAAGGAAGCGAGAAACGAATGGGAAGGCAGCAACAATGAATAAGAAAGTGTTGAAGACTTGTGACTTCCCACAAGTGTTTTGCCTATGTTTAAAGTCTCCCCAAGCGTAGTAACATATGTAGAACTGGATGCTTCGAAGAGTTTGCCCTTGACTACATAATTGATCTGCCAAGAAGGAATCAGGAAACGTCACCTGCATGAAGAAAAACAATAGTAATATATATTTGTCAGAACATTCTCTGATGAGCGGGTTGGATATAATTTTAATGTTTTACCTTGTAAAGAGGAGCAGCAAGGATGTGAAATAGGCAAGTGAGGAAGAAGAAGCGACTTGATCGGTAGAAGATGTTGAATGGTAGGATTAGAACTATGAACATAGCCTAATTAACATCAACAACGTTATGATGCCATTGTCGTTGAATAGCTGAGTTCGAATTCAGAAGCTAATTTTGGATTTATGGACTTACAATGAGGAGGAGAAGAGGAAGAAGTTCGGTTAATGCTTGGTAATCTTTGGTTTTGGGGTCTGCCTCCATGTCAAGATTGGCAAGGACACAAAGAAGCGCAAGCGCCCCAATACTGAATCCCACGAATAGTATTTGTATGTAACCAAGTTCAGTTCCTTGTTTGAATCCAAACATGAAGGAATAATTTACTCGATAACGCCTCCAAAAATATATATTAGCGGCATACATTGTCATATGCAACACGATGAATCCAAACAAGCTGCATTAAAAAAAAAAAATCAGAATATGCTTAAACATTCAAGTTTTACCAACGTAAATATTTCTATTGACATGAAAAAATGATATCTTTGAATGATATAAAACGTTTTCTAGTTTATCATATTTTCTACAAAATGCAACCATATACGCAAACAAATAAAATTTCGTAAGATGATGTTTAAGTATACCTATATAGAGGGAACATAGTATTCATATACTGTTTCTGGCCTTCATCTTGTAAGATGTTTCGGGTGCGAATGATAGCTACAAGAGCCACTATGAGAGAAAACATGCATCCACCCAAGAAACCTGAAACATAATTTCTCAAAAACACCAATTAAGAAGAAATTGACAAGTAAAGTTAAGATCGAGAGTAAGTGTTAAAATGATTGTGCCTGTTGAAAATGTAAGTCGGTGTCTCTCTCTTTTAACTTTTGGTCGCAAGGTGTTCACTCCTTTTGTTCTGTTACCATTCGTGAAATGCTTTATGAATGTACTTTCAACATGATCCAGGAGTCTCATAACCTATATGCCAAAAGAAGAGCAATATCATATCAGTTTAAGCTTAAAATATAGTTTTAACATATGTTTCTCTATTAATATTGTTTTCAACAATCAAAACTATATTTAAGCTTACCTCAACAGAGCTTCCAAGGCAAGAGTTATTAACCATTGTCATGTAAGACTTAGCAGCATCCCTCGAAATTATCTATAAGTGTAATTTCGTCAATCAAACACATTTCAGTTATGGGAACAAACCCCATGCAAAAAACACTAAAATTAAAATATGAATCTCTAACCAAATCTTACCTTATCATACTTCTTCAATATCTTCGAAAGCGCCAACACATTCAAAAAGCTGCATATATATTATTTTATTTTTATTCAAATCTCAACTCCTTTTATTATAAAACTAAAACAATTTACCAAACTGATCTTTTTTTTTTTTTAATGAAATGTAAAATTTTATTCACCAAAAAAACTGTTTTGCATCAAGTGCTACAAGAAAACATACTAGTAAGTAACTAATTTAGAACCTAAAACAAAGTTCAAAGATAAAGGCTGTATAACTAGGTTGTTGAACCAAACTGATCTTAAATTGTAATACAAAAATATACGCACCTATAGCTTTTGAGAAACCAAAGCTTTCGATGAAACTCGACCAAGGCACTGCTTAGCTTCTCCTCGATTTTCCTCAGATTACCAATGCTGAATCTGAGCTCTGTCCCGTTGGAGATTTTGAGAACGCTCTTAACGGTGGATCGAGGCGTTTTCTTCGTGTTGTTGATCTTGACGGAACCTAGAACCTTGACTGGAGCCGGACTCGCAGCTTTCATCTTGCTCATGTCAATATTGGCCGGTTTGAGAAATGTATCGTTATATATTTCTTCTTCTACGTTATTGTCATCTTCATCGGATCGACCAGCTCTACTTGACCCTCCTTCCTCTATGGCCTCCATGTGAGCTTAAAAAAATATTAATTCAATTTTCAAATTTTGCTATTCTGGTACTACTACGGTTTTATTGAATATTATTCAAACCATGAAGACTGCAAAACCGATTTTGGTATTATTTATGACTATATTATTATATACTGCTGTTTCATATATCTTATTTTAGTTTGAAATGTTTTTTTTTTATGTAAACATGAATCTAAGAAATTTCGTCGTTCCAAACATAATTTAGTGATTTGAAAGTTTTGAAGCGAAATAAAAACCAAAAGAGAAAAGGGTAAAACAATTTTAAATTATAAACCTAAGAGTATTCCATCTGTTGAGAATCTCAAAAGAGCTTCTCAACGTTGAAGATGTTCTAACGATCTAAACAACGTTTTTTAAAAAAAAACAACAATAAAAAACGACCAAAATGGACAAGACAAGATTTGTCCACCTCAAGTTCTAGTTCTGTCTTAGTTTGAATTTTTCGGCACTCAGGGAAAATATGTAATTTATTGCGGTTTTAATTTATTTAAGAATCCTATTTTAGTCAAAATACCATTTTAGTCAACCCGTTTCGGTTTTTAGATTGTATGTTGGTATCCGGTTTATCAATCATATGTTAAAATATTTAATTTGATCTGACAAAAAAAAATTATATAATTCCCTTACGAGGTGTATATTCGATGAGCTCCGCCGGCGAACGCTCCTCCATCTTGAATCGAAACGCGATTAGAGCATCCATCTGTTTGTTAAGCATCACAGCTTCTTTCATCACTTCCTCCACTTTCTCTCTATAGAATTTCTCCACTTTGTTGAATTCGTCGTCTAGTCGCCGGAAAAACACCAATTCATATTCTCCTCCTTTCTCCTCCGTCATCAAAAACGTCGTCTCGTAGCGGTCACTCGCCGTAGAACTCACTTGAATCGGCGCCGTCGTTATTCCTTCCTCCATGTCGACCACGGTTGAAGAACTGGTTTTGCGTTTGAAGCGGTTGATATCTTTGATAAGGGTTTTGAGATACTTGTAGTTCACGTAAGCTTGTAGCCACTCAGGCACCATCTGTGACGAAAATTCTTTTCCGAATTTCATTTTTTATTTCCTCTGTTTTTGATATCAAATAGTGAAGAATTTGTTTATGAACAACACTGAGAAATGTGATATATTTATAGATAATGTCCAAACATAATTATTTGACTGTAAAGTAATTGAATTAATTTCAGTATTGAGTCAATTAACTAAATACGGAAATAATTAAAAAAATTAGAAAAAATTTAAAACGGTAGTATAGTGGGGGAAAATGACTATAGCAAGATGAATCCTAAGTCAATATGCGAATACAAATTTACCAAAATCAAATACACGCGTTAAAAGCATCCGTACGTTATTAAAACGTGCCTTGGTTCCGTACAATCGTACCTGATGGGGAGAGTCAGGGAGTCATGTCTAGGTTAAACGTATAAAACTTTTTTTTTAACAGTTTTGTTGTTGTCTTTAATGTCAAATTTTTGAAAGACTTTAACAAAAATTTGTGGCACCCTAGAACAAAATGAGTTGATAAACGTGTATATACATATGTATAAATAGAGTAGTGTAGATATAATAAATGACTTCGTATAATTGTTTGAGCATTTTGATCAATATGTTAAGAGAATGTGCTATATGCCTTTTGTCTAAGATGGTAAATGCTATATAGCCATATTGACCTTGTCGACTTGTGCAACAATAGCCAAATCGTGATTTTTAAGGATTGATTTCGAATATCCAAAACATTGACCGTATCTCGGATCGGTGAAATCGTTATTTCATGTTTTCATCGTCAAATTTGGGACCTAAAGTTCTTGTATACCAAAAATTCCTAACACAGATAAATTCGGGTCCAGAATAATTTTGAGTTTGACCACTTGTTTTATATGATCTAACAGTTATTTGAAAAAACCATGTCTTTATAATTAAATTCTTATTATTTGAAATATTATATTTACAAAATGCTATTAGGTTTAGGTACTTTAAAAAGGTGCTAAATTAGGTTTAGATATTTTAAGAAGAGTTTATTATTTTTAAAGGCCATGCATTTTATAAATAAAAAATCATAGTTTTAGGTACTTCTACAAAGTATTATTAGGTGGTTTTAAAGTATTATTAGGTTTAGGAACTTTTTCTAAGTGCTTGACAAATTGATTTCGTCCACAAATTATTATTGTGGAGTTCTTCTTCACATTTGTTATAAAAAAACAAAATTATAAGTTACACGTACCAATTATAGTAGTCATGTGGTTCGTGTATAGACCAAATTTAAGTGTTTAGTGAACAAGATTATGCCGGGAAGCTTTCCGGAGCCGATTGTAGCTTCTAAGTTTCCCTTCTCTTAGTATCTCAACAGTTTCCCTTAGTATATTGATGAAAAAACGTGAGTTCTATTTTTCTTACTAAACAAAAGTCCAACATTTTTTATTGGTTTTCCAGAACTCGTTCCATAAGCTCATTTTGTACTTACATGCTGTTTTAGTTAGTTAGTATGTGTTGTTGATTGTGTGAATTTGAACATCATTGTAAATATTGTTTGATCCAAAACGAAAATCGAAAATTGAACCATAGCTTCTGAAATTGAACTTCATTTACAAAATTAATGTCTTTTCTTCATTCTTAGGTTCTGAATTAATATAAACGGGGAAACACACATTGTTAGTAGAAGTGTTTACATTTCTGTTACTTTTTTTGTATAGACAATAGTAATTTGTCACAAACTTCAATTTTTCTATTAGCATGTATAAGAAGAAATGTTTCAATGTACTTATGCAAACTTCTAGTCCTCTTTCTCATCATCCTCGTCGTAGTTGAATGGTAATGGAACAGACTTGAAAGCTCGGTACTTACCAACATTATTTAAATGCTCGTTTTCTAACCTGTTTGTTTACAAAAACCAAAACTCTTCAATAAACTTTGAAAAACTGTGATGGTAAACGATGAAAGAGGAAACCAAATAATAAAAAAGTGTACTAGTAGAGTATAGTAAACCTGAAGAAATTCCATATCCCTCGGCGAATAATCTCAAGACTGGCCACAACCGCAATCACCGTCTGAGTGTGCAGAGACTTAAATTCAAACTTCAATACCGTTTGCAACCACGCTAATCTCAACACAACGTTCACGATCTGCAGTTTGATATCAAGAATCAGTTTGTGGATAGTGGAGATAACATAAATCGAAGCACACATTTTGTCTAGATGATAAATGTTTTATCAATCGCTCACCATTGCAATGAAGTATACTTTCTTATGCGGGACGAGAAGTTTATCTCGAAGCCATCTGTTCTTGGATGTTTTATTTAGAAGGCCCCAGTCATGGACAAAGTCCCAGTATGTACAGAAAACAGTAGCAAGAGCTGAGGCGACACCAGCTAGTACTTGGAGGAGAAACTTATGATTGTGATTCTTGTTGCCCTCATAAGCTGTTCTTAAACAAACAGCTACTACTGTCAACAAGTACTTTAATCCGTTATATCCTTGGTCTAAGCTTCTTTCCTCAACCATTCGACGCATGCACTGAATCAATTGAACAACGAGGAAGACTATCGAATGCTGGATCGAGGTTAGATTATGTTTTTTGGAAGAAACTTATTTCTGTGTACCTGAAGGAGCCGGGATAGATATGGGATTACAGCAACAATGTATAAGGAAGTTTTGTAGATGTCCATGTCTTTACAGGTGTTTTCTCTTCGTTTGAAGTCTCCCCAGCCGTAGTAGCATATGTAGAACGAGATACTTCGCAGAGCTTGTACTTGGCTAGTTAATTGATCTCCTAGGAAGAAATCGGGTAACGTTACCTGTATGGAGAAGGCATTAGTAACAATATGACATTATCAACATTGAAAAGCCGTTGAAGTGTATGTTTTACCTTGTAAAGAGGAGCAGCAAGGCAGTGAAACAGACATGTGAGGAAAAAGAAGCGACTCGAACGGTAGAGGATGTGGAATGGCAAGATTAAAACTACAAACATAGCCTAAAACAAACATCAAATAGAGTTAGTTCTATCATATAGCAGAGTTTTGCATATCCAAAAAGCCAATTTTGGATTTATGCACTTACGACAAGAAGGAAAAGAGGAAGAAGTTCGGTTAAAGCTTTGTAACTTTTAGTTTTGGGGTCTGCTTGCATATCAAGGTTTCCAAGAATACAAAGCAACGCAAACGCTCCAATGCTGAATCCCACAAACAGAACTTGTCTGTAACCAAGTTCAGTACCTTGCTTGAACCCAAATATGAAGGCATAATTTACTCGATAACGCTTCCAATAGTAAATATTAATAGCATACATAGTCATGTGAAGCACAATGAACCCAAACAAGCTGCAAGAACAACGACAAAGAACAGAAAACGTCTAAAAATCACGTTTCACATTAAAATGCTCAAATTAGCAAAGTTAGTTTTACCTATAAAGAGGGAACATAGTGATCATGTAAGCTTTGTAGCCTTCCCTTTGAAAGATTTTCTGGGCGCGTATCATGGCGATAAGAGCCACCATAAGAGAAAACACGCATCCAGCAGAAAAACCTGAAACCAAATCCTTCATAAATACAAAAACAAGACAAGAAAAAACATAACATCAGAGCATGGTATTGTATAAAATATGATTCTACCTGTGGAGAATGTAAGTCGATGTCTCTCTCTTTTCATTTGAGGTCTCAAGATGTTCATTCCTTTTCTTCTGTTACCATTTGCGAAATGCTTTATGAATGTAGCTTCAACACGCTGTATCAGTTTCATAAGCTGTGACATAAAAGAAGCAAGAGAAGATCAAAACAGAGGAATCAATAGAGTTAATTATCTAGTTTAGATCGAATTTAAGAATGTCTAATCAAGCTCACCTCATCAGAGCTTCCGAGATACGAATTATCAACCATTTTCATGTAAGGCTTGGAAGCTTTTCTCGAAGTTATCTGTGAATGTAATTTCGTCGAACACCTTTCAGTCACGAGAACATAATCTTTCAAAACTCTAAAATCAAAAATCTCTGTTCTAACCAAGTCCTACCTTATCATACTTCTTCAAAATCTTCGAGAACGCCAACACATTTAGAAAGCTGCGTATACTTCGATTCCATCACTAACTCAAAATTTCAACAAATTCAATGCTCGATAATCCAAAATCTGCAAACATACGCACGAACCTGTAGCTCTTGAGGAGCCGAAGCTTCTGGTAAAACTCGATGAAGGCTAATTTGAGCTTCTCTTCGACTTCCCTAAGATTGTTTCTACTGAATTTGATCTCATCCTGGTTCGACAAATGGAGAACGCCTTTAATGGTGGACCGAGGCGTTGCCTTGGTGTTGTTGATCTTGATGTGATCTAGAACCTCGATTGGAGCTGGCCTCGCAGCATCTATTTTGCTCGAACTGCTTATTCTTCTCGCGTCACCGGTTGCTCCGCCGGCGGAGCCGCCGTGATCTTCATCTTCGTCGGATTTGTAAGCTCTGCTGGAGCCTCCTTCATGTATAGCCTCCATGCGAGCTTGAGCTCGAGGCTTCACTGCAACGAAACGCGAGAGAGAGATTGAACATCGATTTCAAATTGGCGATTCGGTTACGCTGATACCGGAATAAATCGAATTTCATTAGTGTTGTCAAATTTTTTTTTTTCGACTCATTAGTGTTGTCACTGTTGTCAATTTAATCATAGAAATTTATATCGACTCTGTATTATTATTTTTTTGGTAATTTTTGGTTTATAATTTGTAGGGATATTTAGAAAAAAAAAAACTATGCGAAAACATCATAAATGGTAAAACATTCTTTTAGTTTAGCTTTATTTCATTTCAATTTCGTTGAACGTTGTTCGTAAAAAAAGCATAATTTAACCAGATTTGATTTATCTTACTGGTTCGAGTTATGGCGGGAGTAGAAGCAGCAATCGCAGCCGTGGAAGTAGCTACATCGGAGGCCAAACGAGTCATCTCCACCGTCCGTTCCTCCCAACCCCACCCAACAGGATTCTCAACCTTGACACGAAACGCAATTAGAGCATCCATTTGTTTATTAAGCATAATCGCATGCTTGACCACTTCCTCCACTTTCTCTTTATAAAATTTCTCAACTCTATTAAACTCATCGTCTAATCGCCGGAAAAACACCAATTCATATTCTCCTCCTTCCTCTGCCGTCATCAAAAACGTCGTCTCTAGTCCATGACTCGCTTCGTTGACTAGTATCGGAGCTTTACCTGTAAATAAATCTCACACCGGAAATTAAATATGAACTTACAATAAAAATATATATATAAGACATGAACCAATAGACTCATTGTTAATTTATTTTGAGGTACAGGTCCATGAAACTTATATCATATTACCTTCTTCAATATCACTTTCTAAAGAAGAGCCGATTAGCCTGGGACTTTGTCTTTTCTTTCCTGGAGTTTGGACAAGACCACTAAAAGCTCGGTATAGAGTCATTTTCCGGCCAAATCCTTCACCGGAGACAGCGTGATGTGGTGGAGGAGGAGGAGGGATGGTATTGCGTTTGAGTTTAATGATTTCTTTGAGAAGGTTTTTGAGATAATCGTAGCTAATGTAAGCTTCTTGCCACTCTGGTACCATTTGTGACGACAATTCTTTACCGAACTTCATCCTCGCTACTCTCCTTTCTAAATTCCTTGTTTGAATTCTTTCTTTGTTGTGTCTGAAAGTAATACAAGAGGAAATGAATATATATACACAAAAGTCAAAAACAGTTTTACTATTAATTTTTTAACCACATGATCGTTAAAATGTCTCGATTCTAGTTACATATAATGTATGTATAGATGTCTAAGTCATGTATTGATGTCTAAGTCATCGCTCAGTGAAATATCGATCGCTATCTTAATCAATGTTATAAGTCACCCTAGGTGTATATTATACATTACTTAGAGTCTTAGAGGTTAGTTTCCAGAAATAAACGATAGAAAATTAGAAATTACTAAACTATTCAATATTTTAATCAGTCAATATATGTCGGTTTCCATTGTTAGAAAGTAAATATATTTATACAAGGAGACAATAATTAATAACCATGTGGTTTGTGGATGACACAGGGTCAATGGCAATTACAAAATCAATAATACAACTGGAATTTTTTTTTTTTTTTTTGGGGTTTTCTTACTCATTCTATCGCTTAAGAAAACAAATTTTATAGATGTATAAAGTGATACATTAACTTGCCACCTTTTTGATACTTATCCATCAAAACCTGTCAATTACAAACTAAAAACTTGGTAAAAAAGTTACGAAGTTTTTATCAGAAATATAGTTACTGGTTTGAAGATAGAGAATGAAGATTCTACATGAAACGTAACCTTAACAACAAAACTAACCATTTAAAAGTTTCGGGTCAGAGAGTAAGTCTCGAGAAATCGAAAATTTTCTTTTCTAATAATGTTAGCAAAGATTTGGCTAAACACAAGCGATGAAAGTAGAATTTAAGCGATGCATGACCTCGGGAAGTATTTGGGTATACCTATACTGCAGAAAAAAAATTAACAAAGACACCTTTGGAGAAGTAGTAGAGCGTGTGACGTCCAAATTGGCAGGATGGAAAGGAAGGTCACTGAGTTTAGCGGGCAGAATTACGTTGACAAAATCCGTTATTACTTCGATTCCGGTTCACACAATGAGTACTATTGTTTTGCCAAAGTCAACGTTGGCTAGATTTTATCTGGGGCAGTACTTCGGAAAAGAAAAAACAGCATCTTATCTCTTGGAATCGAGTTTGTTTACCCAAGAGCGAAGGAGGACTTGGTATTCGGTCTGCGGAGGCCATGAACAAAGCCTTAGTTGCGAAAGTTGGGTGGAGAATCATTCATGATGGCAATAGTCTCTGGGCAAGAGTATTACGGAGCAAATACAAGGTTGGTGATGGTTATGACACGTCTTGGACAGGGATTAAGAGTAATTGGTCTTCTACATGGAGAAGTGTTGTTACGGGTTTAAGAGAAGTGGTGTTTCCAGGTTTGAGTTGGGTGGTTGGTGATGGGAGGAGTATACGGTTCTGGAAAGATGTTTGGATGGGGGATCGACCTTTGTTAGATCTCACAGAACATGATATCCCAGGTGATTCGCTTGACTCAAGTGTTCGTGATCTGTGGAGAGATGGATCAGGTTGGATGATGTCACAAATTACACCTTTTGTTCCTCATCTTGTTCGTTTACAGCTTGGTGCAAGGGTAGTTGATTCAGTGACAGGTGCGAGTGATCGAGTCTCATGGGGAGCAGGTCAGGATGGCCAATTTACGGTGAAGTCAGCCTACTCTACTTTCACTCGGGATGAGACATCACGGCAGTGTATGGAGCGATTTTTCAGTGTCATATGGCGGAGTTGTGTCCCAGAAAGAGTGCGAGTGTTCTTTTGGTTGGTTGCAAATCAGGTGATTATGACAAATGCGGAGAGAAGACGACGACATTTGTGTGATTACGGTTTGTGCCAAGTTTGTAAAAGTGGTGAAGAAACTATTCTCCATGTGCTAAGAGATTGTCCAGCGATGTCCGGGATTTGGGAGCGTATAGTGTCGCTAAGAAAGAAGGAATTGTTCTTTAAGCAAACTTTATGGGAATGGATATTTACCAATTTGGGGGATATGAGTTTGCAAATGGAGATCCCGTGTGCAGTAACTTTCGGAATGGGAGTTTGGTGGGGATGGAAGTGGCGATGTTGAATGTGTTTGGTGAGAGTTTTAAATACAGGGACCGCACACGTTTTATTGCGGATAAAGCGAAGGAGGTTTATCACGCTCACGTGGCGGCGGGTGGAGGTCCGAAGGAGGCACTAACGGTGGAGAAGCAGATTGCTTGGAGCCCTCCGAACGCGGGCTGGTTGAAGCTGAGCACGGATGGAGCGTCTCGGGGTAATCCGGGTTTGGCATGTGCGGGAGGTGCCCTCCGTGATGAGCATGGTATGTGGTGTGGTGGGTTTGCACTGAACATAGGGATATGTTCGGCTCCAATGGCGGAATTATGGGGGGTTTATTATGGCTTATACATAGCCTGGGAGCGTCGAGCTAGTAGAGTGGAGCTTGAAGTGGATTCGCAAGTGATGGTTGGTTATCTTACGACAGGGATAGGTGATACTCATCCACTGTCATTCCTAGTACGTCTGTGCTATGGCTTTTTGATGAAGGACTGGACAGTCCGTATTTCACATGTGTATAGGGAGGCCAATCGTCTAGCCGATGGATTGTCAAACTATGCATTTTCCATGCCTTTAGGTTTTCAGTTTTTTGATTCTTGTCCGGATTGTGTTAATTCGATTATGGTAGACGATACGAGTGGTTTTACGAGACCCCGCAATGTGAGATTGTAATTTTTTATTTTTATTTTTTTATGAATAAATTTGGGGGAGACATTGTCTTCCCCTCTCCGACCAAAAAAAGAAACTAACCATTTAAAAAGTAAAAAAATGGACCTAATATTTAGGAATTTTCATATAATAATATTATTTTCAAAAAATTATTCAGATATGCAAAATATAGAAGAGATATTTCCGATCTTTTTTGAAGAATTTATTTTCTAATTAAAGTATGTATTTACGTCTTAGAAAATGATTATATCAATAGAGAATGAATTGAATTGGAATATACATTGAATATGCCAATATATATACTTTTGAATTTATATATATTACGTAATTTAGGGAAGATCTATAGGAATATATTTATTGACCATTATCATCAAATTTTTTATTTAATAAGAATTTCAAATAGCAAACGGGGCAATTAGAATGCAAGATTCGGATTGACAAAAAATGGAAAAAAAAGAAAGAGTGCATGATCTTTGAGGAAATGATGAATAAATATACTCAAAAACTGAATTATCGAATAATTAAATACAATCTTTTTTAATTAGGGTCATAGTGACTATATGGCAATTTTCAAAAAAGTATCATAGTAAAATATTAATTGGAATTTCCGATAATTCGTAAACAGTTTCAAAAAACAATTACTATAATTAAACTAAATCATTTTAATTTATTAAGAACTGGATTCGAATATAGTCATTCCAAATTATTACCATCCAAAGCAAAAATAATTTTTTATAGACTAATTTCTAATTTATTTATCAAATAGTTCTATTATAGATTGTTTTTTAAGGAAAATACATTTCTTACATATGAAAAAAAAAATGAAAAACATTGAAAAATAAAGAAGTACTCAGGCTAGGGCTTCAGATTAGAACGCTTTTATTGAATCTCTTGGCACATTCAATGAGAACTGATAGCCTTTCATGTAAAGACTTATCTCCACAGTTATCTTTAGGTACCATGTTGCAAATGTGGTACGCAGAATTTGTGCAATACACGCCATATCACTCGTAGGGAATTGAAGCTGAACCGCTTTTTAAGGAAAAAAGTAAAAACCTTGAAAGTGATGGAGATATATGATGGCACATCCCATCACAAGTTTTCAGGAAGCTAATGTCCTCATCCACGTTGAGTTCATCAACATAGTTCAACATGTCCTGGGTGAAAAACTCATCTGCCTCCTTATCTGCAGTTAAACGGTGTATACCTTCATGATTAATACATAAAAAAGATATCAAAGTTACACTTACTTTGGTACTGAAGCACTCCTCATGATCAATTGAAGTTAAATGGTATATATATCTTCTGCATCAATTTTCATGATTGTGTTCCGATTATGGCAATTAAAATTTCCAAACCGGATATGAAAAATGCAGAGCTTGTGGATTCTTGAACATCAACAGAGTATAATCACCAACTACACCATCATCCATGACTTGGCAAAGTAGCACAAATTATGCACTGGATTAGAAATTAGGAACTGGATAGATGATTTGTAAATATATGAGCAGTGTATGTTTTTAAAAATTGATTGTGGTGGAGAGATGGGTAAAGTAACACAAATTGTGTATAAATCTACTTTTGCTTTCCTTAACGCTTTTATTTAAAAAATCAGATCAGATCTCTTTCTTAATTTTCTAGATCAGATCTTTTTCTTAATTTTTTCAGATCGAATCTCTTTCTTAATTTATCTGTAATTTTCAGGATGGCAAGTCTTTCCAATTTTCAAAATAATTTGTTGTTTTCTCTACCGGCGCTTGGACTGCTTAAAGTAACCTTTTCATTAGTTATTTTGATTAAGTTTAACCAGGTGTTAATATCAATTTGAAGGATAACAAGAGTTAAACAATGCTCCACTAAGATGCCGAAGTTGGGAACGCATAGCGTATTATCTTCCTACTAATTGGAGGTACATATTTCTACTTAGATAAGACAAATCAACATTTTGTTTATTAGATGAATACTTGAAATATATCATGAAAATGAAACTGAAGTATACTTTGGAATGTTTTTTTAAATGATTATTTTTTTCTATAATTTTTAGGATGATAAGTCTTTCCAATCTTCAAGACGATTTGTTGTTGAATTTTCTGTCTTATTGCTGGCACTTTTGCTCAGGCTATTGTCCGACACCAGCACCAGCAATAGAAGAAAAGATTCAGCAACAAATCATCATAAGTGATTTGTTTGTAAATAACATACATTTACAAAATGCATTAGCATTTAGCAGTGCGTGTGGTAGACTAAAATTAAGTGTTTAGCTAAATTATATCAATGTTTTTATCGATTTTAAGTGTTTAGTTTCTATGTGTTGGTTTCTTCTGATAGGTATACCATTACGGGCTCAATTTTGGCTTCGGCTTTCTGGATTTGTGTCGTAGATATTATTATTCACTTGGATTCGTCTCATTTTATCCAAATTTTGTTCAGCTGTTTTGTAATTTTGAATCTGGGTTTTTTCGTGATTCATATTTACTTAACTGATAGTAGTTGTTTTCTTTGTATATATAGAACTACTATCAGTTAACAAGCCGTTCAAATGGCTAAGAATTGAAATATGGATTTTCATTTTAAAGAGTTAACAAGCCGTTAAAATGGCTAAGAATTGAAATATGGATTTTCATTTCAGAGAGTTAACAAGCCGTTAAAATGGCCAAGAATCGAGGATCTGCGATGTCTCTTGAAGCCTTTGTGTCAACAATGGCTCCACTTATAGACATGGAGAAAGAGGCTGAGAGAGCTGAGTTTTTCTCGGGTATTCGAGGAACTAAACTGTAAATAATATCATCAACATTATATAGTTTTAGGGAACCAAACTCTAGTTAATGTAAAGTACCTTATATAATTTTAAATTTTTGGTAAACAAAAAAAAAAAAAAGTGTGACACCACACAACTTAAAAACCCAAAAACAACAAAACAAATTTGATAATAGAAATATGTTAAAGGCTCATATCCAAATTTAGAGAACTCTTCGTTCGGTTTTACTCTTTTACTGAGTCAACCATTATATTAACCAAAATCACTCTTTTACTTTATCGTTCGAGATTTAAAATTTCATCTTACTTTCCAGTTAATGCGAGGGAGCATTCTAGAAAATTCTTTTTAGTTTAAACTAATGAGGCGACTTACGTCAGCAGCATACGTCAGTAAGATAAAAGGATAAACAGAGAACACTAGACAAAAGACAAAAATCAAAAAAAAGAATATATATCAAGGCAAAAGACAAAAATCAATTTTGGTTTTATGCTTGCTAGAGGACAAACAATTAATTACGTGGCAATTCACACAGTCGTGGTTGCAACTTGCAATTGTCTTTCTCCTTAATGAACATGATTAATTTACACAGCTCCAAACCCACAGTTGTCGACAGCACCAGCAAAATTAAGTTACGACCTCACAAAATTAATCCCTACAACCATTAACTATTAGCCCAACTTTGTTCAAATGAGCTCGTAACTTTTGTTATAGATCGAAGACGGAATTAATAACAACAAGAATTAAAATATCATATTAAAGATTTTAAAAAACCCCACATTCAAAGCGTATAATATGATCTGAGCCCGTAACTCTCGTCCATTCCAAGTCTTCACATTCTCCTTCTATTAAATTGTCTACCTCCGCCTCAATTTCAGCTTTCTTACCTTGATGAAGCGTATCACTCTCCCAAAACGATTTTCTTCTTCCTCGAGTCCAATTGCTGCTAGAACTCGCTGAACCTCCTCAACAATTTCCTTGACAAAACCAGCTTCAGTGCTGCCAAAAAAAAAAAAAATGTCCTGGAGATGATTTTGGAGGAAAAGAATAAGAGTGATATATGATTGGAAAGTACCTATTGTCTTTCAGTGGCAAACCCATCTTCTCGGAGATACGTTCTAACGCTTCTTTCCATTTCTTGATCTGATTTCCACTAGAAGCTCTCGCGAGCTTCCTGAAGTGTTCACCAAACTCACCTTCTTGTTCTTTCACATCTCGTGCTCTCACTTTGTAAAAGATTGGAATGACGTGGAGCTTTTTTTTATCCGCACGTTTCTTCATCTTCACCAACTCATCCAGACACCACCTCGACTCCGCATACCTAGATTGAATTAATTTAATGCTAATTCTTGGAACTTCTGGGTTATTGAAGTAGATATAAATTAGAATGATCAAAAAAGCTAACTAGCGTGAAAGAATACTAAACAAAACCTGGTAGAGAATATTGCAAGCGCGATCCTCGACTCTTCGATCCTTTCAAAGAGAGTTTTGAGATCTTTGCCTCTCAGCTCGGAGTTGTCTACGAAGAAGTCGATTCCATGCCTTTTAAAGTCATCAGCGAGATGACTCACGAAGCTGTTACGTAGTTCCTCTCCCCGGTAGTTCAAGAACACTTGAAGAGGCAAAGATCGAACCTCAGTGGAAGAGAACATTTTTCTCGTTCTACGATACGTGCAGTGGCGGAGGAGTCACTTTTTGCCTATATGTAAATTCGTAGAGAATGTGTTGGTTTTTTATTGATAATGTGGAGGGTATTTATAGTTGCAATAAATTTGGTGAGCAAATATAAATAGAATATTCACAAAAAAAATATATTAGCTAATTAATCAGAAAATATCCTTTTCCGTAAACCCCGAAAGGTTGGGTTTAAAAGTCCAAGTCTTTGGTCAAGTAGTAAGGAAACGTCGATATCGTGCGATCAAGTTTGATACATACACCCCCAAGTCAATAAAATCCGCCGATTTTTCTTTTTCCCGGAAACTTTCAATGAAAGAGTGAGTGAGGTCTCCAAATAGAATTTTGTTAAAGGACCTGAAAGTGACCTAAAAGTGACTCTAAGGCGGACAAGGTCCATAAAAGAAATCATAGTTGCCATATGAGCGCATTAGACTTTGTGAAACATGGATTCAAGGGCAAAGCAAACTAGTTATCTTGTCATTCTCTCTGAATAAACGTTTTGTTTCTCTGAAATTGATGTAAACGACTTTCAAAGCTTGGTAATAAAAGAAACAAAAGTGAAAATAAATATCAGAGCTCTCCACCACTCACTACGTTTTAATGTAAACAAAATGTTCTTCTATAATAGAAGAAATTTTTAATGTCCAGCAAGATATATATGTTGATGTTTCGTTAACTCAACAGTGGAAGTAAGTCAACATCGTAAGACTCAGAAGCATAAATAAAACGAAAAAAGGCAACTAAAAGGAAATATCAAAAAGCAAGAAATAAATTTATCCAGGGAGAAACCATAGAGCATCGATGAGATTCATGTCGTCAAGATCAGGAAAGCGTTTGAGGGTCTTGGTTGCAAGATTGAACACACAGATGTCAAGGTCACGAGGTGTGCAGTGGCAGGGACGGTAGTGACGGGTAAAATAGATGGAGTCTGGTTCGATACCAAGGGAATCGTTAGCAGGCACAGTGAAATCCATGTCAAGAAGCAAAGCCTCACCACCAAGAGAATCTTTTTCAAGAACCGTGTGGCCAGAGGAATATGGGTCTTCTAAATCAAGATTATATTTGTAGAGGCGGAAGATGCTCCTATTGCATGGATCACTCTCAAACAACAAAACCTCTCCTGATGTTGAAACCGCAATGCTAGAATCGCATGATGAGTCATGACGAGAAAGAATTGAGAGTGGTTTTTTCTCGGTGAGCTCCTTGAAGAACAAACCTCCTTGTTGCTGTTCAGACAGATCTATGATTCGAACATAACGACGAAAGGTTGTGATATAAAGACGGTAACCATGTAGCACCATTCCAGATAAGCCATGCATCCAGTGGGATTCATGGTCGAAAACTAGAGGAATGTCAGTGTAATGAGTAGCCCCGTTCTTGCAAAAGCTTATAAAATAGTGCTCATAAGTGACGTCGAAGAACCACACCACAACATAATCTTTTCCACTCTCGTCTACCCACAAAAGACCCCTCACAGAATCGGTACTCATCAGTTCCGTGAAAGCATGCCCATTATGTTCCCTTACAAATACGTTATCTCCCACACGCTTGAGAGTACACATAGTACTTGGCCTAATTGACACTAGAGGCGGAAGATCGATCGTTTTCTCGCTAAACACATCTTTGATAAATAAATTGGATCCAGAATCTAACACCAAAAAACAGTTACCGGAGTTTGCCAGGAATCGACACCCTGGATAGTCTCCAAGGTTCTTTTCGATCTTGCCTTCTTTAGGGTTGTACAGCACACAACCACCGTCTTTGGGAAAAAGCATCAGCCCTGGAGAGAACGTTGCCTTTGACCTCCACGAGCTCCCAGCGTCGTTTGAGCGAAGAAAATACATTCATTATATTATCAGGAGGCAGTTTCTCGCGTTTGCTTGAGTGAGGCGTCACCTTCCGTCAATCTATATTATTGTGTGTAATACATAGGGTACCGCTTAATTAGGGTTTTTTTTCTTGCCCATTTTATAAACCATAAAACAAACAAACAAAACGAAAAAGACAATTTGGGTTTATAAAAGTAGTAATAGCCCATTATAATATTGTACTGATAACACCCAATCATGGGTGTGTGGGGCACACACTAAAAATTAAAGTGATGATAATATTATGGTTTGCAATTAGTCCCATTTTTTTCTCTCTTTTTTTTTTTATATATGAACCAAGTTTAGTCGAGGAATAGGCTACAAGCCTACAAGGGTTTAGGTCGAGAAAATGGAAACTGAATTACGTATGGTCAGACATAGTCAATGTATACTAGTGACAAACTGAACAATTCCTTTAAAGCCATCTATATATAGGGGATATGTATAGCAGAGCTCCTACCTCACCTTTGGACCATCATGGATAGATCGTCAACTGATAAACTTAATGTTTCAACCTAACTCGAAGTCACGCCAAGTCAGACTCAAAAATAAAAAAGAAAAGATAACTCATAAATAACAAAAAACAAAAAAAATGGCTGATCAAAGATTTATTAATACCGAATTGTTGGAGTTAACACGTAAATAAAATATGAGATACAAGGCTATAAAGTATAAACACATAAGGAGATAACGGAGGAATGGATCTGCGATCATTTGCAAACATACACACAAAAATATTTCTTATTTATATTCATTAAATATACTTATGAACTCAATAAAATCCCTATCTGTTCATATATTTGCGTGTCCGTTCGAACACTCGTTCTCTTGTTCTACCAAGGTTTCTCATCTTGCAAAACACTCGGTTATTTGCTATCCAAAAATAACCGGTACAAATCTTTAACGATTGAATTCTAGCATCCACAGTTTGGAGCCGTCACTGGGGAGAAAGCTACTCTAACTCTCATTGCAAACAGTTGTCATGACATGATCAAACTCCTAACAGAGCCAGGGAATCAATGGGACATGAGAAAACGGAATAGAACGCTTCAACAGTAATGCCAAGATCAACCTGGTCTCAAAAAAAAAAAAAACGATAATGTGATCTCTTATACACGGATCTTGACTCAGATCGTAACGAATCTCGAATCAATCGTGATGCGTACACCCAATCAGGTTGGAATAATCCCATATGCTGCAATCACTTTGGAGTGTTTAGTTCCTCCTTAGGGGATTTCCAAAGTAAAATCCACACCAAGGATTCTAGTTTCTGGGATCCAGGCTACGATTTGAATCAAATTTTGGCACTAATCAAAACCCATTATATGTGAGAGAAATAAGTGTTGTCGCTTGTCGAGTGAGAAGTTTCACATATTTTTAAACCTAGTAACGTCTAAGCCCTAAGTGCAAAGCTCAAGTCATAGTATAGCTAGGTTCGATCCGCATGGAGGTAATAGTATATATTAGGAATGCCAGCAACAAGGGAATCTTGGATGATAAAGTCTAAGGCTTTAGCTTATTGGTCGTAAACGTACATGCAAGGGAAAAACGAGATAAAAACTAAAGAGAATTAAGATGCAAAAATATGGTAGTAACAAGGCCTAAATAATGTAACAAATCGTATTTAATGATCCTAAGTAGCAAAAGATTTGAATATGAAATGATCAAATGATTCAAAGTAAAATAGCAAGAGTAAATTACTTTTGATTATCAATATGATGAAAAATTGTTCAAGGCTCTAGCGTAATTGATGGAGACAGAAATCAATTGGATCATGGTTCCTTATTGGGCTTTGATTTCAACACTAATCTAGAAGTTTTGATTCTTAAAAGTGGATTACCCACTACCATGGTAATAATCATCCACTAACCACTCAGTAATCAGTATGATCCTTCATGTAATCACTATGATCCTTCATGTAATAAAGAAGAGCAACAACAAGAAAACTAAAGATAGAATAAAAATGCAAACTTTAAAAGCATAATGTGGAATAAATTGTAGAAGTTAAGCCGAAAACCGCATCTCCATGTCAATGTATAAAATATTTAATGTGGTTTAAATGATCTGAAAAAATAGCACACAAATTATAGACTTGATAAAAAATAAGGAACTCAGATCGATGACATGTAAATATATGTTTTAAAAATCGACAGTGAAGGATGAATGGGTAAATGATCCATGACTTTGGAAAGTAGCACAAATTATGCACTCGATTGGATACTAGGAACTAGATAGATGATGTGTAAATATATGAGCAGTCTAATGTTTTTTAAAATTGACTTCTGCTCCATTTTGTTCAAAGATAAGTCTGGGGACACTCCCCTTGACTTGACCTATCGGATTGCATATTTTGATATTATGATATAAGTAACCATCTACTAGAAAATGGAACAGAAGTCACCGTCGCGTGGAACCCCCTCACTGTCAATTCCCTATCAGATAATGTCACCAATCTTCACGACCGAAATGGCAAGGCTCCATTCATTATGCTAACAACGAAGAAATGTTTTACACCTTACTTGCCAAAGGTACATTACTGTTTAACATATATAAATGCTTAAAAGTTAACTTTCTTTTCATTAGCTATTTTATGTTGTCATTGCAAGTGCTTATATAGATAGGGGGATGATGAGGGAAGGACGTTATTTCATTATGCTACCAGAGATGTAACATTGAGCTTATGGATATACTATTCACTAATGGTACCTTTTCTTACCTGATGAATAAAGTATGTCTGTGTGTACTTCTGAACGATGACAGTATGTGTCTCTGTATGTGTGTAGGTGCTAACATCAATTGTCAAGACAGAATGGGGAAAACGTCTCTTCACTATGCGGCCAATAGAAGAGTGATGAGATAGATTCTTACTAGAGTTATATAATATTTTTGTAAAGTTTCCTTATTAGCTGACAAATTTTATGGGTATCTCTTTTAATTAAGTTCAAAATTTTTGTGCAGGTGTAAATATAAATGTGAGAGATGGAGAATGGATGACATTGCTCCACCATGCTGCAATGGAAGGGAATGTGCGAATCATCAGATTCTTACTGCGTAGAGGTAGTTTAATTATACTTGTTTTAGTGTAAAGTAACAGTATGTGTCTCTTTATTCAATCAGTAAGCTTTGGATTTGGTTTTCTTTTGTATGTAGGTACGGATAGAATGTGTACAGATTACCGGAATTGGACTCCATCCAACTATGCTGGGATAAGAGCATCTCCATATTGTCATGTGTCGTATAGATTACTTATGTGATTTATGAGTGTGGTTTAGGGTTTAGGGCCGGGTAAATGGTAATGGCAGAATGTGTACAATTGAAGCCAACCAGATTGAATGACATTTAGAGAAACAAAAATTAGATCTTATACGTAAATAGATATGCACTTTGATGCGTTGAAGCTTTAAAGTTTCAGTTACTGGTTATGTACTTTTCGAAGTGAATAGACATTTTGAACAGAATTATTCAGACAACTACATAACAAATTCTTTCCAAGAAGGCAAGTATCTTCACCAAAATACAAAAAAATGATGTTTTTCTGCTAAATTACAATAGAATAGTACAGTTTTAAGCAGAAATCAAAGATTAAGTAAGAGAATTTTTTTTCATGAAAGTAAATAAAAAAAGACAATAAAGCAAATAAAACCTGAATAGGAGTCCAACCACAAGGGTCAGGATAGAGATCAGAGCCAATCGCTGAGTAAAAAGTGTTTAGCTAAAATATATAAATATTTTTATCGATTTTAAGTGTTTAGTTTCTATGGATAAATTTTGATAGACCAAAACATATGATGTACAAGTTTTGATGGACAAATATGTACGAAAGTTACCAATTTCTAGTACCATTTGCGAAACTGGTAAAACCACAATCATTGTTTTAAAAAAGGGTACAGTGAGCCATTTAAAAAAAAAAAAACTCACACAATCTACAAAATATTGGGCGAAACTATTCCAAAACTTACGTATGATCGAGAAAATATAAAATTGGGCCCATTATGAACAGTGAAGCCCATTAAAAGGTACGGCTTGAGAAAATGGTCTCTACACAACTAGCTTCCACCACCATACTCAGTCAGATCATCGTCTCTCCTTCTTCTTCTTCTTCCCCACTCTAGGTTTTTCTTTGTCATCATCTTTAACTGCCCAACTTAAGGCGTTCCTTCTCTGATACGAAAAGAAGAATACATCGGCTAAGAACAAACCTTTCTTCTGGTAGGTACACCATTACAGGCTCAATTTTTGGCTTCGGCTATCTGGATTTGTGTACTAGATAGTATAATTCACTTGGATTCGTCTCAGTTTATCCGAATTTTGTTCAGCTATTTCGTAATATAGAATCTGGGTTTTTTCGTGATTCATGTTAACTGATTGTAGTTGTTTTCTTTGTTTAGTATCTCTCAAATGTTATAATTGAAATATGGATTTTCATTTCAGAGAGTTAACAAGCGTTGAAAATGGCCAAGAATAGAGGATCTGCGATGTCTCTTGAAGCCTTTGTGTCAACAATGGCTCCACTTATAGACATGGAGAAAGAGGCAGAGATATCTATGTCGTTAAGCACGGGCGCTTCAAGAAACATTGAAACCGCTCAGAAGAAAGGCACGACGATCCTCAATTTGAAATGTGTTGATGTTCAGACGGGTCTAATGGGGAAATCTCTTCTTGAGTTTCAATCAAACAAAGGAGATGTTCTTCCTGCTCACAAGTTTGGTAACCATGATGTTGTTGTTTTGAAGCTGAACAAATCTGATATTGGCTCATCTCCTCTTGCACAAGGTGTTGTATATCGTTTGAAAGATTCCTCGATAACCGTTGTTTTTGATGAGATCCCTGAAGAAGGACTAAACACCTCTCTCCGGTTAGAAAAACTTGCGAATGAGGTAACGTATCGCAGAATGAAAGATACATTGATACAGCTAAGCAAAGGTGTGTTAAGAGGACCTGCTTCTGATTTAGTCCCTGTCTTGTTTGGCGAGAGGCAACCAACAGTGTCAAAGAAAGAGGTTGAGTTCACGCCTTTTAACAAGAACCTTGACCAATCTCAGAAAGACGCGATTTCAAAGGCGTTATCTTCAAAGGATGTGTTTTTACTACATGGTCCTCCTGGTACTGGGAAGACAACAACGGTGGTTGAAATAGTCTTGCAAGAAGTGAAACGCGGCTCAAAGATTCTTGCTTGTGCAGCTTCGAATATCGCAGTCGATAACATTGTTGAGAGGCTTGTACCTCACAGAGTAAAGCTTGTGAGGGTGGGACATCCTGCACGGCTTTTACCTCAAGTGTTGGATAGTGCTCTTGATGCTCAGGTTCTAAAGGGAGATAACAGCGCTCTAGCGAATGACATCAGAAAGGAAATGAAGGCCCTGAACGGGAAGTTGTTGAAAACGAAAGATAGAAACACGAGGAGAGGAATCCAGAAGGACCTTCGAGCTCTGGGTAAGGAGGAGCGTAAAAGGCAGCAATTAGCTGTATCAGACGTGATCAAGAATGCTGATGTCATTCTCACAACTCTGACTGGTGCACTATCACGAAAGCTTGATAATATAACTTTCGACTTGGTGATCATCGATGAAGGAGCACAAGCTCTTGAGGTAGCTTGCTGGATCGCGTTGCTAAAGGGTTCAAGATGTGTACTTGCAGGAGACCATCTCCAACTTCCACCGACGATCCAAAGCCCTGAAGCTGAAAGGAAAGGATTAGGGATAACTCTCTTTGAACGTCTTGCGGATCTTTATGGAGATGAGATTAAGTCCATGCTTACTGTTCAGTATCGGATGCATGAGCTTATTATGAACTGGTCATCGGAAGAGCTTTACGATGGAAAGATAAGAGCGCATACAAGTGTTGCCTCGCACACGCTTTTTGACTTGGAGAATGTAGCAAAATCTTCTGCAACAGAGGCGACTCTGCTATTAGTAGATACTGCTGGGTGTGACATGGAAGAGAAGAAAGACGAGGAAGAGAGCACCTATAATGAAGGTGAAGCAGAGGTTGCCATGGCACACGCCAGGAGGCTAATGCAGAGTGGAGTTCAGGCCTCTGATATTGGAATCATTACGCCTTATGCTGCTCAGGTTATGGTGCTTAGGATTCTTAGAGGTAAAGAGGAGAAGCTAAAGGACATGGAGATCTCAACGGTGGATGGTTTCCAAGGTCGAGAGAAGGAAGCTATCATCATTTCCATGGTTCGATCAAACTCAAAGAAAGAGGTTGGATTTTTAAAGGACCAAAGGCGAATGAATGTGGCTGTTACTCGCTCTAGAAGACAGTGTTGTGTTATCTGCGATACAGAGACAGTTAACAGTGATGCGTTTCTCAAACGCATGATCGAATACTTTGAAGAGCATGGCGAGTATCTCAGTGCCTCTGACCATACCAACTGGTAATCCTCATGTTTCTTAAAATCTCAGGCCAATCGATGTTCTTCTAACTTCCGCTCAATTTGAGTTTGAAAATACATTTTTGAATGAATGAGAAGAGTAATGATGATACGTTATGAGATCCAACAAAACTCTTGTTCCGTCTTTTTCTTTATTCTTCCATCTTTATCGAAATCTGCAAATGACAAGTTACTGAAAGAAAGGAAAGGTTAGTCCGAGGAAGGAAATGTCTCTGACCAACCAGATCTTAAGGTATAAGAGACATTATTCAAAGAACTTGGTTTTGTTGGCTAGCAAGGCAAAATCATCTCTAGTAAACCAAGTTGTAATTTAGCCAAACCTGGTTTGGTTAGCATACCAATTCCTGATATAGAGATGAAGCAAGCCTTTTAATTACATCTTTTACTTTACAGAAACGAAAAAAGGTCTATAAACAAAGAAAGAAAAAACTCAGAGATGATAGCTAATTAGATCCTACTCTAGTAGTTAGTGATCTATATGCTTTAAACAAAAAACAGGAGCCTTCACTTTGTTAAAGTGGATTTTCACTGATACATTCATGAGGATTGGCATAGAAGTAATCTTCTTCCTTAGGTTTATTAGAGATTACTTTCCGATGAGTTGGTTCTCCCATCCGTCTTCCCTCATGAGCCTCCTTGACAGATACTGCAAACTGATCCCAAGAGATCGTCTTGTTATTATGCAAGTCCAAAAGCTCCACAAGTCTCTTCCGGTTTAGTAGGATTGTTTTCTTAAACCCGAGATATCTTCCAAAAAGAAAATGCTCATTTCAAGATTCTTGCTGAGAACTTTTATAGTAAAAGCTTTTATAGGTAGGTACCTTCGATGACCTTCAACAACCTTTGCCATGTTTCCATAGTAGGTAGGAATAAAAGTGTTGCTGGCTACTGATACAATGAAATCTAGAGCTGCCATTTGAGATGAATGGTTTTGAAACTGTTGCAATTCCGTTGGATCTAGCAGCATTTCCTTTTTCACCTGAAACCCACAGGTCATCAACATTCCGCCAAAATGGATCATTTTGAAGTTGCTTAATGTTAAAAGTAATAGAAAACTCACAATTCTTGGAAATGATTCTTTTAGAAGGGCTAATCTCCTCGCACCACTGTAAATCTCACTAGCTGCAATGTAAACCTGTGTATCCTTTTGAAACCCTAATGCTTTTAGGACCAAAACTGCCTCTTCGGGTGTCAATGGACACATCCCTTGCACCCTTCTCTCCTCAGAGACTATCTCTTTCTCTCTTTACCAAGGATATGCATACCTAGAAACACACAAGATAACCATGGAAAATCAAAGATTTTAATACAGAAAAACAGAGCGTCAAGCTAAAAACATTCTTTTTCTGACCTCATCTTTTTGAGTTCTTCAGCTTCTTCCTCGGTGCAGCCATGATTGCAACCAGAGAAAGCCAACATGTCCATCTCATATCTCAAATGCAAAGCCACAAAAGGCCCTCTTTGTTGGAGGATCCGAACTAGCTTTGATCCCAAAGCCTCAATCCGCGGAGTGAACTTCAGCCCTTGGAAATTCACACGGCATCTCAGCCTTTGGAGATCGAGAGAAAGACCATTGTTCGCTAGTCGTGTATCACTCCTGTTAAAATGTATAACTTTCTGTTTCCTGAATCGCGGCAATACCTAAAACAAGAAATCCTATCAGTCAAAACGCAAGCAGATCATAGGCAATTGAAAAACGAAGAAAAATCTTGCAAATTAACCTTTTGCAAGTAGTATTTGTCATTCGACCAGCTCACGGGGGGCATTTCGAACAATTTGTGTCCATACTTGTTGCTATACCGATTGGGAAGCCTCCTTAAGATCCGAACTTCATCTCTTAATGAATCAATGAAATGCTTTATATCGAAAATGTCCTCAAAGTCACTGCAGAAGATTGGCAAGAAAGAAAGCTTAGATTAGTAATAAAAACAAATGTTTGGCATATTGAAAAGAGATTTCTCAGAACTAGCCAAACAAAGCATATAACCTTGGATCAGCCCAAAATGATTTCTTATCAAGCTCAGGAACAACAAGAGTCAAGTTCAATAGCCTAGCAACAGTCACCATATCACAGATCTGAAACAACAAAAGCGTCTAAGATATGTAAAACCCAAAATATTACAAATGAAAGAGACACAGAGAGAGGGGGACGAACCGCTGCACGCATTTGATTCAAACCGCCATTACAGGACACACGTAGAATCCCATTGCTTGTGTAATTTCCTGCAGAAAAATCATTACTTTTCTTAAACCCATAATCACCAGATACCAATAGATTACATAGGCTGAGAAACAAAAACCGTAATCGGGAAAAATCAAAGACAAAACTCACTTCGGGGAGGAAGAGGAGACGGCGGTTGAATTGGCTCGACAGGGAAGGAAAACCGGGAAATCTGATTGGTTAAACCGGTGGAGAACCGGGAATGCCAAAGCTCGTCGGTGGCGAAGAGCTGAATCAAGCAAGTCCAAATCAAAATGCTTGAGCAGACGCTGACGAACCAGACTTTTAACCGAGTTTTGAGAACTGCTTGACTCGGAGGCTTATAATCGCTCCGCGTCTGAATATTCTCCGATCTAATTTCCATCTATCTCCGACGACCTTCATCGCCGCTTCATCGGGTACAAATTTTAAAACCCCGAATTTTCCGAAGACTGTGGTATCGATTCTTGTAGAGTCTTTGAATTAGATGAAAAAACAGCTTAATTTTAGCTCCTCGAGTTCTGGGGATTTGTATCATAAACTAAAGAAATTACTGAGAGATCCCAGAAAGAGACGAGGAGCGAAGGATCACGACTCACGAGGGAAGAAACGGTGGGAAAATGAGTGCAGAACAAATGTGGACAAAAAACAGATACAACAACTGTTCAAAGGTTTTTAATGTTTTTCTTCCGTAAGAAAATCGAAAATTTTCCTGAGAAAATCACCAACTCGGAAGAAAGATTTTTCAAAATTTTCCCATATTCGCAAAACCAGGGTATCTTTCAAAATCAGGAATTTCTTAAAGAGAAAACTTGAAAATCAAAACAGAACCGATCGCATTTGTTTCACACGTTCTCTCTCTCTTCTGCTATTTAAATTTTTAAAACTCAATATAAATCATCAATGTTTGTTACTATTTAACTAAATTTTCCCATATTCGCAAAACCAGGGTATCTTTCAAAATCAGGAATTTCTTAAAGAGAAAACTTGAAAATCAAAACAGAACCGATCGCATTTGTTTCACACGTTCTCTCTCTCTTCTGCTATTTAAATTTTTAAAACTCAATATAAATCATCAATGTTTGTTACTATTTAACTAAATTGAGTGTGAAACAACACAACATATCACTAAGTTCAGTTTATTATACAGTTTGATTATCAAAATTTAAGCTCACTTAACATGGGCTCTCTCCTTTAGCGGTACAAAAATTGGAGTGAAATCAAAGCTCTCTTAAAACTAGGCCCAGTATATTGTTGCTCTTGTAAAGGAAAAAAAAACTTCAACCAACCGCTGCCGGGCTTCGTACCCGGATTTCATTCATATCATTGAAATTGCCTGTGTGCTACAGCGGATTTTGTTGCTCTATTGATATTAAAATGCTATTTATAAACTATACAAAATCAAAATGGGCCTTGGGCCAAGAGGTGTTATATATTAGCTACACTAATATAAGACCATCCACAACCCTGAATCCTATGATGGGGTTTATCAGCATTTTTTAATAATTTTTAGAAGAGAGAATGTGGAAGAACTTTGGGTGAACCTAAGGTGAAAAATGAGTGTCCAACCCTAATAGCTATTTTGGGATTCAACAGAATAAAATAATAATTTTTTTTAACTATTTTAAACATTTGAATAAAATAAAATGAAAAGAGTTCTTAAATTGAGAAAACAAAAGTGAAAGTAAAACTATTAATTTTCTAGATGTCCAAATTTATGCCAAAGGTAGAGGGTATTTTTTTCTAAGTCGTAGCGTGCTCTAGAGTACATTCTCGTGTTTTTTCATCGAAACCCGCCTTGTCTTCTTTGTATAGCTTCGCTTTGGCTTCATCAAAGTAGTCCCCCTCACCTATTTCGGGGTTTGTCAGCATCTCATGAAGATTAATGAACATCTTATGGATGGTGTGAATAGGCGAGAAGTAGTCCGTTGTCAGCATCCTTAGGAAGATATGACCACGATCTCCTACATTAGGATGAAAGATTTTGGTTCTGAAGAAGACCTGTAGAAAATAAATATTCAGCAAGCGATTACTATAAAACCATGAACCGTTTAAAGCATCATACCTTTGGTGGCTTGAACGGGTATTCCGGAGGAAAGTCCATGCTGATTTTGAAGACTCCGTTCTCGTAAGGCGATCCTGCTGGTCCGAACAGTTCACCCTCCCAATAAAACATCTTTCCATCTATGGGGCCTGCCTTGTAGAGCGGGCTCTTAACCCTCTCAATCTCTTTTTTCTGCGAGGTTATGGCTCTCTCCCAGTACGGGACATCCTCTGAACTTAGCATACTCTGTCCACAATAAACGATTTGTTCATTTGAGTTACATAAATATCCGAACCAAATGAGAAAAACAAAACTTGAAAACAAACCTAAACTCAAGTAACAACTTAAATCTAATAATTCGATATAACCAGAACACGATTACAATACGATGTCCCTAAACATTCGATACTCCTAAACACACAATGAACCATTTCAACCTAAACATTCGATATGACTTAAACATTCAATACTTGAAAACACACAATGAACCATTTTAACTCACACAAGCGATTCACACAAGCGATCAACAAATCGATTAACTCACACAAGCAATTAACTCACCCAAGCGATTAACTCACACAAGCGATTAACTCACACAAGCGAACCAAAATTTACAAAAGCCCCAAGCGAATTAGACGCCAATTGCAATCCCAAATGAAAGCCCCAAAATTTATAAATCGATTGAATATAAGAACAATGAATCGCAAACAACTCTTAATCAACACCAAAAGCCCCCAAAAAAAACTTCCCGAAGAACCCTAATTTTTCTCCAATTTTGAAAACCCTAATATCGATTCAACCAACCGATCAAAACTCAATCAAAAGACTTCTAAAGGATATAAACGATGTACCATACTGATCGATCGGAGGGGAAGCGACGATTCACCGGAGATTCGATCGGAGGGGAAGATTGGATTCGAAGTCGCGATTTTCGCAAAATCGCCGTGGAAGTTTTTTTTTTCATAAAAAGAGAATGTGAAATAACCCCAAATATTCAACCCCGACCCCCAAAAATTTTCCCCAAACTTCAACCAATCAGTGCTTGCTACGTAGGTCGGTGAACTTCGACGATACGGGCTTGTCGGGCTCATCCCAGAGAAACAGTATCATCGAGTTTTTGGGCATAATCGATTAAAAAAAATTAAAATAATAGTATTGAGCTCCACAAATGAACCCGCCCATCCCACGTTGTGGATGATCTAACCTACCATGCATTAAATACTCGCGGCAAAAATGGGAAAACACAAATTACCATATGTGACGACGTCTAAGATTTTGTTCACGTGTTTCAACGAATTAGATAATCACACGTGGCGTATAACATTTTGACTCTCCTTTTGTCTCTCTGCATCTTTCCCGAAACGGCAAAAAAACTTTGAATTACTGCAAAAGATATCTTTTTCTCTGTCTCTCTCTCTGGTGGTGGTACCGCCATGGATCTTCGTATGAGATCGGTTTTGCTTTTGATCCTTACAGTGTTACCTCAAAGAACACTCTCGATGAGGTACGAGCTTCATTCTGGGCAAACGAAATGCATAGCGGAGGATATTCACGCAAACTCCATGACCGTTGGCAAATACTTCATCGTAAACCCTAACGAAGATCATCCTCTTCCTTCTTCGCACAAGATCATCGTCAAGGTACATACACATCGATTTATAATTGTTTTATATTTAAGACATGGATTTTTGTTTGGTCGGGTTTGAGTTTTTTCTGATATTGTGGTGATAATATTTTTTTTGTAAGGTGATGCCGCCACAAGGGACGGTGATGATGCACGAAGCAGATATGGTGGAGTCTGGTCAGTTCTCGTTTACTGCATCTGAGACTGGTAATTATTATGCTTGCATCTCAGCCGTCGATCATAAGCCGGAGACTACGTTGACCATTGATTTTGATTGGAGGTCTGGTGTTCACTCTGTTCACTCCAAGGATTGGTCCAAAGTTGCCAAGAAGAGCCAACTCGTTGTAAAGTGCCTCCGTTTTCTTAATCTTTGATTAGTCTTAATTAGTCAACTAAATTTATCTGTTATGTGGTATTGATCCTCGGTAATCTTGGTCTCAAAGGGTACGTTAGTTTTGTTGGTTTTGGTGAAATAGAGTCTGCAAGCTAAATGTGGTTTATGATTTGCTTGTGTAGATTGTGTTTTAACTTTAAGGGTTTGTTTTACTAACCTGATTGTGGTTGGATTTTGATGTTGTTGTTCCTATAGATGATGGAATTGTCGGTTAAGCGCTTATTCGACACTGTTGAATCCATCCACGAGGAGATGTTTTATCTTCGGGAAAGGTAAAATATAGACCAAGAACAAACCTACCTTATTTTATCTTCCTTAGTTTTGTTGGTATGAAGAAAGAGATATGGTGAGCTTAAACCTCTTGTATCTTCTGGTTTGATTGCATCAGGGAAGAAGAAATGCAAGGACTGAATAGATCCACAAACTCGAAGATGGCTTGGTTGAGTTTCTTGTCGCTCGGTGTTTGTTTATCGGTTGCTGGTCTGCAATTTTGGCACTTGAAAACTTTTTTCGAGAAAAAGAAACTCATCTAGTTAGTAGACAGATTCACTGTGGTAAGACTAAAGACCATTAGAAAGCTATATATATATAGCTATACAACTGAATTCGTTCTATTTTAGGCACCAAAAAAAAACCTTCTTACCCTTTTGGTAAAAAAAAAGACAAAAAACAAAAAAAACCTTCTTTGTGATGATTTTGGATGATCGTTGTTTTTTTTTTAACTAGAGATTTGGGTCGTTATGGAGTGAATAAGCAAGACGTTGTGATCAGAGGTTATACAGTTTTCTTGATCGGATCGTCAACTTACTACTTTTACTTTTCACCTTCAATATTTACCGCCAAGTAACATATCATTGTTACATCGTTTGTACTTATGCTTTCCATTCTGCGATTTGGTTACATGGCGATGCCAACCAAGATTGCAGCATTTTGAATAATTTCCAATTATCTTTTAGTATTTATCTATTATTCAGAAGTTTATGATGATGTGATTAATAAAACTGAGAGTCTCTCTTTGTATTCATTACGATGATTTAACAACATTTATATGACTGTTTCTCGGGAATCAAACTGTAAACCTAATTTCATCAACACTATGCTGCGTTATATAGTTTAGGGGAACCAAACTCTAGTTACATTTGTAATGTAAACTGACCGGAAACGGCGAACGGTGGAAGTGAAACCGCGGGAAAAGACGATCGAAAGAGAACCAAGGAGAGAGAGGGATCGAAGAATATTGTTGAATCAAGAGTGTTGCAGAGAGAGAGAGAGAGAGAGAGAGAGAGAGGCACTGTGAGAAAGAGAGAGAGTGAGAAAGAGAGAGAGAGAGAGAGAGAGAGAGGGGCACTGTGAGAAGAAAGGAAGTTCGTGGCTAAGAAGGATGAGGAGCCGAACATAATTGATCGTGAGCTTCTTTCTTTGTGACAAGAGGAGGATTAATCTTTTTAACTATTAAACATACAACAACAAAACAATAACAGATTTTGCACAAAAAGGGGTATATATCGAGAAAAATGACTATATACTTGACAACTTTTTGGTTTTAATCCTCTTGTAATTGGGAAATTCATCATATGTTCCGGCCTTTCTTAATTTTCTCCCAAAATGATATTTTTCTTCCTCGACTCCCAATTGCTTCTATAACTTTCTGAATCTCTTGAACAATTTTCTTGACAAAATCAGCTTCAGAGCTGCCAAATTAAGAGAAGAATATCCTTCAGATTTTTAAGGAGGATTTTATTAGTGTATGAAAGAGCAAAAAGAAGAAGAAAAAGAAGAATAGGCACTGGGAGTGAAGTACCTCTTGTCTCCCAAGGATAAACCCATCTTTTTGGAGATGTACTCTAACGCCTCTTTCCATTCTTTGATTTGTTCTCCACTAGAAGCTCTTGCGAGCATCCAGAAGTTTTCACCAAACTTACCTTCCTGTCCTCTCACGTCTTGTGCCTCTACCTTGTAAAAGATTGGAATGACTTGGAGCTTGCCTTGTTCCTCGAGTTTCTTCATCTTCACCAACTCTTCCATGCACCACGTCGACTCCGGATACCTATGGTTAAGACGATTTATTATATAATTCTTGAAATATTTTTTTTTTTTTAGGGTTCATTTTTAAATGTCGTATATGCTACAATACGCATCCCAAGTAGATCTTGAGTAAATAAAAGCGTGAAAGAATACTACAAACCGGGTAGAGAAGATAGCCAGCGCAATACTCGACTCTTCCATTCTTACAAAGAGATGTTTGAGATCTTTGCCTCGCTGCTCGTCTTTATCTATGAAGAACTTGATCTCGTGCCTCTCAAAGGCATCAGTAAGGTGGCTGACGAAATTTTCGCGCAGTTCCTCTCCCCGGTAATTGAAAAAGACTTGATGGACCTTCGCCGGAGAAAAGATTCCGATCGAATAAAAACCAAAAAGAAGAAAAAACCAAAAAAGGATCTCCATCGATTGGAGAGGTACGTGATTCTGAGAGAATGAGAAAGAGCTTATTCAGAGTTTTTTTGTTTTGAAGTAAGCTTATACCGATTTGCAGAGAGATGAGAGAGGACGATATGACTTATTGAGTACTTATAGAATTTTTAAAAACAAGTTCGTTGATGGTGACATGATCTTATTTGAACTTATTTACGTTCGGTCTTTATTTACGTTCGGTCTTTATTTACGGTGACATGTCAGAATTCTATTGGTTGGTTGGTATCTTTTTGTTATTAACGTCTTTTCTCTTCCATCTTCTTTCTCTTTCTCTCTCTTTCTCTGTCTTTTCTTCCGACCTTCTCTAGACACAAATTTTTTTTTATATTTGGGTTGACTGCGGCGTCGTACTTGGGTTGAATGCGGCGTCAACCAGAAAATAAAAATAATGAGGGTAAACTGACCGGAGAGAGAGGGATCGAAGAATATTGTTGAATCAAGAGTGTTGCAGAGAGAGAGAGAGAGAGAGAGAGAGAGAGAGAGAGAGAGAGAGAGAGAGAGAGAGAGAGAGAGAGAGAGAGAGAGAGAGAGAGAACAATTATGTTAATTGATCACGATCAATTATGTTCGGAACATATGACCAAATGTATGATTCTAGGGGTTTTTGCCAAAGCTCGTCAATTCTCTTTTCCATGACGCCGTCTTTAAACCCTAGGCCTAGCTTAAAGGATTGATGAGCTAATTTCCTAATCAAACTTGACTTCCTAAAAGATCTAAGCCTCTAAATATACCAGTACTATAAACAACATTTTCGGAAGATTCTAATAGGCGTTGGGAGTTTCAAGAAGTTCTTGGCCGAGAGTTTCCGAAATACTAGAAGGTAGTGTGCTGTGTTTTATCCATTTAGATGTTCACTGTCAAACCATTTTAGTAATGAATGTTATTTCACCCAACAATAGATATGAAACAAATCAAACAAAATTAATTATATAATCTATTTAAAAATGAATAGGGCCTTATAAACTATTAAATTTGAATTGAATTAATGTTGGAAATCATTTGATTTTCTTTTTTTTCTAAACAGATTTTGAATAACATATGTTTTAATATTATTGGTTAAAAAATTTGGAAGAAAATTTTGTTTTGATATAATATCTGTTGTCATTGATGAACGTATCACGCTTATTTCATGAGATCCGTATAAAGACATACGTAGAAAGAATCAATCCTAGAAAAATAAAAATAAAAAGACTTTGTCTGAATATTTATTTTCAACCGCATTGGTACTTTGCTATACCTTAAAAAATATGGCAAGAGTTTCTCGCAGGGTTATTTTTTTGGTCGTCGCTCTTGAAATTTATCCTCTCTTTCTCTCTTTTCTCAATTTTTTTGTTCACATGAGGGGTTTGGATGCGGGCATAATGAGAAGGAGTTCATAAGTTGGCACAATTTTATTTTTGGACTAAAGAGAAAAACAAGATTTTTCAGAATTTTTGTCGTATATATGACTTGGATAATAATAACAAGCAGCTTTTTTTTGGTCTACTGACAAATGTAGCTTTGATAATTATCGTATAACATATTTATGTTATATACAAATGATATCTGATCAAAGTTTTTTTTTGAATAATGAAATCTGATCAAAATATTTTTTAAAAATCTTAAGAACTCTCAGAAGAAGTTCAGGGCTGGAGGAGAATAAAAACATGGAGTTTTTAACTATTTACTAATAAAAAATTATTAAAAAAAGGTTATGAACCCCAAAAAGAGAATCAGAGATTGCGAAAAAAAAAGAACCCATAAACCACACCTTTTACCCGACCATTTTAACAGAAGAGAGAGAATACGCGCAGCAAATCTTAGGGATTGCAGACTTTCTCCAACAACCTGCTATCACGTGTTGTGTTATTTGTAGATAATTTATTATATAAAGAGCAAAGTCTTACAAGTGTGACACATCAGTTCTTCTCCTTATGACACATCAGCTTTCAATTTATTATGAAAAAATTTTTAACACCAATATTAATTTTTTTTTTAATCCCAAAAATTAAAAAAAAAAGAAATATCTATTTTTTTGTCATTAGCACTCATTATTATCTCATTAATCTCATTCCTAGAAGTTAGAAAGATGAAATAAGATGGTTATCACGGTGATAATTTTAAAATTTGGTTATCACGGTAATAGTTTTTATAAAGATAGTAAACTTCATCTAATGAAATAACTTAGTAAAACTGAGATGATTAATTTGCTGTGAATTATTTACTATCTTTATAATTGTAATCTCTTAACAAAATAGAGATGTGAGTTATTTACTAACTAAAAAATTATTTACGAACTAAAATAGAGAATAAAAAATAAACTATTTAAAGCTTTATTAAAAAATTTTTCGGCTTTATATGATTATGTTTAAACATAACCAGTTGAAATGATTGATAAACCTTTTATATTTTTAAAGTTGAAAATGTTACAACTACAACCACGGATGTAACTATGTAAGTAACTATTTTGGGAACAAATTTTAATACAATTAAAATTTACAGTTATCTTACTATATTTTTATGTATTGTATAGTCTTTCCAGAAGAATTTTATAATTGTAGGGTTTGAAATTTTAATATTTTATTAATTCAAATGTTTCTTTGTCTAAAGTCATTGATTTGAGCTTATTATATGCTAATTTTCAGTACCTAAATTTTCTACTTCTACAGAAATCATCCCAACAAGTGAAAAGATGTCAAGAAAATAGAAATGTGCGACCAAAGCCTAGAAAATATTTTAAATTATGCATGTCTTCTTACCAGATAGCATATTATAATGGAACTATAGAATCATAAGACGTCATTTTGAGAAAACTTGGGCTGATGGTTTTTGAATCTGAACTCAACTGCATCAATAAGACTGATGCTGCGCTTATTGAAAGTGTGAAGATTGTGATTAAAAACCAGGCGGAGATGTTTAAAGTTGACATGTTTCTGATTCCCACAAGAGTATTGGTGGCTCTTTAGGCAAAAAAATCAAGGATGGAGAGTTCCATTTGTTGTTTAGAGGAGACAATGCTAATGTTATCTGTTACTTGACACTCAAGTTGGTAAGGTTTCACTCTTTTATCGTTTGTAAAGAC